GTCTCTGTTACTGCATCTCAAAAATCTTTGGTCATCGTAGACATATCCGCGATCACCCACAACCCAACCACTCGCGCTTTTTTACTTGCCACGACGACGACGACGACGACGTGAAAATAAAACCAACAAAACGCTATGCCTACTAAAAATTGGATGCATTTGTAGGCTTACTGGTGGTGTGTATTAAATAATGTAGTTATCACGGTCCTATACAAAACGCGTGTACAATTTACGGATTTTCCCTGGTTATTGTTAAAACTCTAGCACAGTTCATTTTCCTGTTTCCCGTTCGCTCGCACATCATGGACGATAGCTAATAATTTCATTTAACTTATAATTTACTAACTAAAGTACTTACCGACAACGTAATCTTTTGCATAGGTCAAAATGTTGTTTATCTCACTTGACTTAAAAAACGAACAGAAACAGAAACGAAATCGAAAAAATGCATTATTGTAATGAATATTGTAAACAACTTATAAACGTAAACATAATTGTATCAATGACAGTTTGCAGAAAGGGGTCTGGTCTAACAGATGAGTTCATAGAGGAAAGTGTGACAAAAAGTGCACACAACGGGGGTTTTAATTGCGGAACGTGGTTTTGGCTGAAAGGTTGGTCAAAATCCGTTACGTGCCCACAACTCCAAAAACTTAATAAGACTAAAGAGTCCTTGTAGCCTAGACGTTTTAACTCATAAAATAATTAAATAACTACAAAGTAAATTTATAATCTCACAGTATACTAGATATTTAAATTATAATCACTCCGGTGTTTGAAAATATATTTTTGGACGGTAAATAACTCTTTTTTTTCAGCGGTTGTTTGAAATAAACGAAATTAACATTGCTCTTATGGTGTGATAATCCAAGATGGATGACAGCTTCCATGGACTCCCTTGGAGAGCAATTGAAAACTACAAAGAACATTTCTAATCCCACAGTATGCTAGATATTTAAATTATAATCACATCGGTGTTTAAAAAAATATTTTTGGACGGTATATAACTCTTCAGCGGCTGTTTGAAATTATCCAAGATGGTCGCTAGCCTCCATAAAGACTCTTAGTATGAACACAAAAGTGTACACAACGTAGTTCTTCAATGACAGTAATTTTTTTTTGTAGAAAAGAATCATTTCCAGATATTTACGACGGCATTTTTGTAGGTCTAGCTTGTGTAACTATTGTGCGAAGTTGCACTTTGCGATCGCGCATTTTATGTTTTCTACAGTTACTATAAAGCATATAAATAATCTGTCTTTCAAACACTAAACAAAACGTTTTTAGGTTACTATAGGTTTTTCAGTTTGTGTGCATCGCAGGGTTGGAAAATCCACGCACACTGTTAAAAAAATATTTTCCTGCAGATGTGCAGAATCCCTTTATAAATTAAAATAGGCTAAAAAATAAGCACAACAAATTTGAAAAAAAAAAAATAACATGATCAATTATCAATTATTTAAGATGGGGACGCCAGTATGTGCGTATTTTAACCCAAATATGAGTGAAGGATGAGTGTAGGATGAGTGGCGCGATCTTGTAGTCTTGTTAGTGACTAAGGCCGACATGTTCCTTAGACACAGCTGTTAATTAATAGCCCATACAGCTAATGGCAACTAAGGGACCTACAGTTTATTGTGGAATCCGAACCACATTTTTTCCTCGTAATTAACGAATTGGTCTAATTACTAGGATAGTACTGAGGATAGTCGTAGTAATCACTAGTGCGGACGTTAATCCACACCAGGGGCCTATTTCATAATAAACTACAAGTTACAACTTGTAACTTGTAATTTCCATTAGATTTGCATTAGGCGATCAGCTGATTTACTAATAATATTAGTTTGTACTTTATTATGAAATAGGCCCCAGGGAGCATCGCATCCACAGTGCATCACTATAAATATCCACAATTCATGACCTCCTAGTAGCTGAATTACAGGACGCCACCTGTCCCATGGGCGTTATGGGTTGCCATGCTGGTGACAAAATAAAAACGAAATATAAATAGAAAATCTAAACAAATGGAAGAAATTCCAATCACATCATATTTACAGCGTGGGGTGAAAATAGAGAAGCCTGTACATTACATATTTTTTCCTACAGTCACCTGACAAAATTGGCTTCCTTGTACTGTTTATAGTACAGAAAGCTGCTAATTGCTGCATATTTATACTTTGCCGTACGGTTTATACTTTGCCGTACGGTTTATACTTTGCCGCACATCAGGATTCCAACGAAACAACACAAAACAGCGTGGTTCCATTATGCACGTAATCCGTGTACGCTTGGAAATAGGTTGGCAACACTTAAAAGATAATTATACTACGAGCAGCTGATTGACTATTATAACTACGATTTAACCTGTCATTTCGTGTTTATAGTTTCGGTATTTCTGAACTTTCTGGACTTTTCTTTTAAACGTTTTTAAAACCTTCCTACGATCTTAATAAACAAGAAAATACCTTTTAAGCATTTTTTTAGGCGTGGAAACCACTTCAAATTACAAAAACATATGGAACTATATTCTCAAAACACGGAGCACATTTCTTACCGAGGAAAAATAGCGGAGTGATATGGACCGCGGGTACTACTTTCTCTAGGGCACCATTTGTGTTGCCAGCTGAACCTAAAAACGTGTTGCATAGTGTTTGAAAGACTAATTATTTATATGCTTTATAGTGACTGTAGGAAAAATATAATGTGTAACACGAGTGAAAAAGGCCTTTGCTGCACTCGAGATCATTCCACACTCGCCTGCGGCTCGTGCGTAAACATTGCTCTCGTGTGCAGCTAAGTGCCACTTTCACCACTAGTTACACAAATAACTATTGGTTGAGTTTTCGACCACTGGACCACTAGTTCCTGTCTAATAGTCTTAGTACAGTATTATAATACTAATGACTTTTTCCTACAGTTATTTGACAAAGTGGGCTTCCTCTTGCACTGATTATGATTATTGCACGCCAAGTAGCTAATTAATGCATTAACTTACTTTTGCCGCAATCACTTTTTCGCTGCACTCTAATTTTGCCGTACTCCATCAGTATTCCAACCAAACAACACAAAACAGTGTTCTTTTATTATGCACGTAGTACGTGTATGCTTGAAAATAAGTTGGCAACTAAGGGAGTATGTTTTATCTATGCTACGACTACGATCAACTGGTGCAGTGTTTACCATTTCGTTCATTACTTGATACTTGTAGATTTCCCACTGGAAGCGTCCCTGCGCCGTGGTCGTCAAAAATATTGGCCTTTTCATTCATCCTCAAAGTACTCTGTCAGTGAGTAGTATGGCCTCTTCAATAAGTAATCCTTGAGTAAAATCTTGAATTTTTCTATTTCTTTAATATTTTTGATTTCATTTGGGATCTTGTTATAAATCTTGGAACAGATAAATTTAGGACCATTTGCTACTAAAGTGGAGTTTACCTGGGTAAGGTGGACATTTTAACATTGCCTTGCGTTGTAATTGTGGAATGCTGTATTTTTTAGGAAGAGTTGTGGATTCTTATTAACGCTCAGTGCTGACTCCAGGATGAAAAGTGCTGTCATGGTGAGAACCTTGGTCTCTCCAAACAATGGCTTACAGTGTGCAAGAAATGGTTCCGAGAAAATAGATCTTATGATTTGTAGGAGAAGTACTCGTTGGGTAGCTGGGCTGTTTCCCCATAGTAGGATCCCATATTTCATGATGCTGTGAAAACAGCCATATCTTCATTAGCACTTCTTTTTCCAGGAGTGGCTGGAGCCTTCGAACCATATAGCAAACTGCCGTGAGTCTTGCAGATATATTAACGATATGTTGGTGCCATCTCAGGTCATCACTGATGTTTTACAGAATTATCAATGTTAATGGTTGACCCTCCTGAGCGCAGTAATGGGCAACAATCAGGTTTTTCCTAATTGTGTATCTGAAGAGGCTTTGTCTTACTTCTATTCAGTTATTCAGTAATAGTTTATTCTTGTTACACCAACTACTCAGCCCTTCTTGAGCATTGATTCACAAGGATTGAGTATCACCTCCTCGTACATGGTGGCAAACATCATCGGCAAACAACCAGGTTTTTCCTGTCGTTATCGAATCGGGCAGGTCGTCATACTATCGAGGCCCAATAATTCGTTCCAAAGCAGTTTTAAGATGAAACATTTTATTTTTACTGATTTTTTTCTCACACACTAGACCTTGCCCACAAGCAAGCCTAGCACTTTTCAGACGAAATAAGTAAATAGTTCTATCATTTTTTGGTAAGTTACAAAAATAATTCTAGCATCAAAAGGGTTAATATATAGATGACTTTTTATTAGAAATTATTAGGATTATTAGACAGGAAAAAATTTGAATCTTTAAAGGAGGCTACATAAATAGGCAATTTAGGCATCATAGATACAGACAACTCAGACAGAAATTTATTTAAGACCAGTTTCGGCCCTCTTAACGAAAAAGGCCCTCTTCGGGACCTCATCCAATTGAAAAGTAAATCAGTCATGGTTATATCATATTTCCTAAATGGAAGATTCTTTTAATATTCCCTATATAGGAAATTTGCTAATAATCCCTATACAAATTTAGTTAACTGTTTAAATGTTATGAAAAAGATTAAGACAATTTTAAGATATGATTGGCCCTTTTGATTTTTCCTTTTGAACTGACATAATTGTTTCTTGTTATCAACTTCATTCAAATTGCAGTTATTGTAAGAACGATTTATTAAAAACTGATGCCCAGGCCCAGAGCTTACCATGCCACCTACGGTAATAGCTACTTCCCTATAGGAAAATTCACAAAAAAAAGGCCATTGTTATACTTATTTTGCAACAAGATAAAGGGTTAGACCATTCCCTTTCATACAATTTTGTTAATCCCACTGAAAACTCAAAATATAAATAGTGGTTATTTAATAACCCGGAAGCTCCAATGCACTTCAATTTGAACTCTCAATACCAAATGAGTTAACTTATTTCAGATAAAGGACAAAAATAACAAATTACTGGGGATGAAAACAACATTTTACTACACAAACTTTTACATCACATAACTTTACAAAAGGATAATTGAGCAATATTTCCTCTCCAAAGATCAGTCCAAATCACGCAACACAAATCTGAGCAACATAATGCGGTTACAGATTTATAGAATGACCAGAACCAATGATTGAGGCATATTTAACAGTCAGGTATCAACTATGCTCCCTGCATTACGACTACGATCCTTTGTATAAAAATACACAATAATCATCGTTATATAAATAATTTAGATATTCGTACGATACAATGGATTATCAGTGTGTTTAAGGAACTATAATGTAAAATATCTACACGCTTGTGCTAAATTACATTTTCTTTCACTTAAAATCTCGATTTATCAACATCAAGCATAATAATGAAACAATTCGACTATAACTAAATAAAGAGAAAGCTACACAAAAATGAACCGTCTCTAATATTAGGCTAACGGAAGCAAAATTTAAATAGTGAGTGATATAACTAAACACAATGAAGAAATAACAATTGGTTATTGCACCTACAGTATGTTACAATACTTAAATAAAACAAGTACAGCGAAACAATTAAATAGGTATCGATAATACAAAACTTTACAACAAATATATACATACAGCTTCAAAACAAAATAAACGCTATATAAGTTCAGTATACCAGATTTCATTTTATGAAAAAATCAATATACTATTACACAAAAGAATCTACTGCTTTATATCACCTTCAAAATATAGTCTTAGACCAGTTGTAAACAAAACCTAGAGCGAACAAGAATACATTTATTTAGCCTATGCAGTTTGAAATAATAGTTTTAACTGCTACGAGTAATTTGTGTATTGAGTAGAAAATACCAACACAACTTCAAGCTTAGTACATAATTTTGTAATCAATTACTTTTTTTTTAACACAGCTAAAGAAGTGTATTGATTATTTTCAGAGATACAGTATTACATAAGACTTTTAAACATTATAATAGAGATATATTTACTGTTCAGTAATTATGGAGGCTGTTTATAGGACAAGTTTCAAATGTTTAAGCATTTTATGCAAATAAATCAGTAAATTTATATCTTTTGCATCAATGCCCGAAGTAAGGTTATTTACCACCTACGGTAATAACTTCCTCCCTATAGGTAAAATTCACTAACAAAACAAATTAAGTTATATAAACATAGGCTCTTCACCTTCTAAAGACAGTTAACCACAAACAAACATAAGAAAGCAAACGTCAATATTATATGGATTGTTGAACTGTGGTTGCTTAGCAATGACAACAATGAATATAATAAAGTTAACAATATTAATTACTAGTTTTCCTAAATAAAATTAATAGCTGACCAGCAGGAATGAAGTGTTTCTTGATCTCACCCTTTAAACCCCTATTTTAGTTTATCAAGTGATTTTAAAGATCAAACTATAATACACATGGTGAAAATATTTAATTTAAAATGAATGGTAGATTTGAAGAACAAGTGGCGCTAAATAGGTTATAAAAGGAGGTATTTAATTTCACAGAAAATTTGTTTTATCTGTTTACGAGAGTTATCACTGGATTGAAGAAACAACTGTAGAAATCAATTCCAAGTTTAAGATAACAACTTAAAACCATAGAATAGCTGTCAAAGCAGTGCTACTTAATTTAATTCATCCATGGTTAAGCAAAATATAAACCAGGCCAAATTCTGGACCCTTTTAATAATAGGAAAACTCGATTTTAAGTCTAATATCATAAACAAACATGTTCAAATTGTGATTTTCACACCCTTACTCTTCAATCCCGTTTAAGCTGTCAGTGTACTTTGCAAGCTATAAACTGACAGATAATTTTTGGAAAATATAATGTTTTAGAATAAACTATCATCAACAAAGGGTGTAAAGAAAAAATAAATAGTGATCTTAAACGGAAACCGTTTTCAAGCTATAGACAAAGTTTTGAGCCTTAATTAAAAACTAACTAAAACATTTTTTTGCAATCAAGTAATAGTTTTACAACACTAGCCGGTTATTGTAAACTATTTATGTTTTTATAGTGAGCTACAACTAAACAGAATAGGATTCATACAACATGGCAAGGTACAAAATATTATTAACTGTTACTTCATCTTAGACCATTATAAGTTCTGACCATTATTTTGGAGTTCTGGCATAAATAAATTTATATTGAGCATGTAAACAACACCAAAATCGTGTCAGGTGGAAAAATATAAGTAGAGTTTGTAACAAAAAAAGCCTTGGCATATTAAATAAGCATAGACTTAAGAATATTTCATCAGGATTCCAACTCACATATTATATCAAAGGCCCAAAAACTCAAGTGAGCATATACAAAATTTAAGAAGTAAATAGTGATTTTGGACAACTACCTTAGAAAAAGCGAATAGTTTGTAATTATTGTATTTTAGTTGTGTAATTATTGTATAATAATTATAATACAAAATGGCGGATATCTGGTTAACAAAGCGATTTTGGAAAAAGTTGTATTCGTGATTTTCTCTTTATTATGACCCAAGGTATCACTACCAAAATTATGTCCCCAATTTTTTTGAACACCCTGCATAAACAGTCCTGTCTAGTTAGAAGAAACATTCATAGCATTAAAAGTCTTATTCAAGAAGCCACTAGAATCACTAAAATTTAGGAACCTCTGATATAAGATATGAGTTGGATGAAAGATAGAGCATGATATCTTCAAAAGACATAAGGTTTAACCTAAGCTTATAGCATACATACTGAAAACCATACATCCCAGGGTAGATTGAAAAGACAAGATTCCATAAAAATATTGAGTACAAGTGTATAATTTACGCTAATCTGCAAAAACCATATACTTTTTACAGCGTTTATATAAAATAAATATCACAACACTACAAAAGTACTACCACATAGTGTTACAGAAACTCGTAAGTCGCTGAACACAAACGCAACAACAGGTTCCGACTTGCAAAGTTTGAGGTATGATAAATACTGGCACTCTCCTTTCTGAGGTAATTTGGCTTTGTTTCATTTCACCTCTACATCAAAATCTAAAACTAACAGTTTGGTCTCCTCGGTGCCGTTCCTGCTGCCGACGGCACAGACGAGTTTAGTCTCGTTGGCTCGGATACGCCATACGACACCTCCGCTGCCACCACTGCCGAGCGCCACTAGGTTGCGGATAAACTCACCTGCAAACAATCATAATGACAACTGGGGGAATTGTACAATATGTGATGGTTTGTACAGGTCTAATAGAATGCCCAAAAGCATCAACTAAAGAGAAAATGTTCAAGATTGGAACGGTAGAATTTTGATTACATAATCCTTGGTTATCTATGCTATTCGTGACATATTTCTGTGTGGTATGTCTAAACTAGTTGTTCTCAATATTTTTCCTGGTGCGCCACTTCACAAGGACAAAAACATTTTGTGAACCACTTAAGTCAGGGTATTATGGATGGAATATGATTTTTATTTGTTATTTTTTCCAACCTCTCAGACAAATTTGTTAATCATAAGTATGAACCTTTACTGAGAAAGTTTTATCTGTGTAATTTATGAATACCTGAGTGAAATATTGAGCACTGTGCATATTATTTTTTTTTGCTCATATTATTGAGTACAGTTATATTAACACGTTAAGTGTGCGGGGCAAGAATTCCTGCCCTGAGGTACCGGCACCACTGGAACGATCCAGATTGGATTTATTGGTTTAGCTTCAGTTGGGAAATGTCGACCTCCGCTCCTCCCATGCCAACAACCTTGCTTCAGTGTGAGCTCAGTCTTGCAAAGTGATCGCCGCTCATTGTGCCAGTTTTATACTTCAATCCAGTTCAATTTGTTTTCAAAGCTGACGTGTAGTGTAGGGTTTGGGTTAGATTTAGTGAAATGGAACAGAATATTGATAATAATTAATGTAGTTAAGCATTGAAGAAGAAACCTAACCCCAAAATTGTGCTTGACGCCTTTTTTGCGGTATTTTTTTATGGTGTGACCAGGTTTTTTGCCCTTACTTTTTCCTCCATTTGGCAATACTTAGGGCCTGCTAGTAGTTTTGTTTAATGTGCTATCTATTAGGTTCTTTAAAAACTGTGTCCATGACTAGAATGCAGTACATGCTAAATATGCCTCTCACTTGGATGAAACTAAATTTACTCATTGTTATGGCTCAGTGTTCTCCAGCCGACTCCCTTGACTGTACAATTAAATAAATACTGTTCATCACAGGCCTGGTTATAGTACAAATCACAACCTGGCTGAGTGAACGAGAATCACTTTATCTTATATTTCCCAATAACATAGTTGTTTTAGTGTATTTCCCATAACTAAGTTATCACTGAGGCATGCTAAGGCCTAGCCCTAGGACCAATATTTACCTTTTCATTTTGAGGTCCCCAGAGGCCAAAAACACCCTCTGTTCAATTCATATATAGGCCTACATTTATATATGTGTCCGTTAGCACAATAATGAGTAAAAATTATTTGATTTTGATGAAATTTTGTACAAATCCTTGTTTATTTGAATGAGTTCGCGAACCAGCATGATCAGACAATGGGAACAGGTTTTTATGGAGGTTTTTAGGGGATAAACAGTTGTATCCATTTTTGACACTCAAAATATTAAGTTTTGCAATATCTTTCTAAGCCATTTTGTAGAGCTTAAGAAACAAATAATTTAGTACATTGGAATGTATGTGTAATGGTGCCAGAGAAAATCCCAAGAAACTACATTTAAAATCCCCATATTATTCTTATGAAGAATAAGTAAACTGTTGTGGTTTGCTAGTTTATCAATTTATTGTGATCAAATTTGGAAAATGTATTTACTTTATACTAAGCATTTCACTAAAATACAAACTTTATTACTTCCCTGTAGCAGCAAACCTAAAATCAAATGTATTTGGGTAGGAAATAAGTGTTGCATATTAAAGGAAATCTAGTAAATCAGGCAAGTGGAAATTCACTTAAGACTCTAGGTTTGCTGCGGCGAGGGTATTTATTATTGTCTGTGTAATCTGACCTTTTTGTTTATCTTCCACAGCCGGTTTCAGTTTTCTGTCATCTGTATTCAATCAAAAAAACAACTTTATTGGTTTAGATTCAGTTGGTAAACTGTTGTCCATGAAAATATTTAGTTTAGGTGAGTCAGTGGCTCAGTTGGTAGCATTAAGGACTTCCGGCCTAGCAGTGATGTCATGGCTTTGGATCCGGCTACCAGTCACGTCTTTTTTTAGTTGAATTTGCCCTTTAATGTACTGGCTCACCTCTTGCTTTGCTGTATGTTCAATACACAGGCCTCTGTGGCCCATGTGGACGGGCAAATGTAAGGTAAAAGAGGCCACCAACCTCTTAAAAAATAGGTAAACAGAGATGAAAATGTCTTAGAATATAAGTGTTAACTGCACTTATGTTTTACATGAGCTGTAAGAGCACAAGCTGAATTGAATAACTGAGAAGAAAAAAGTTTTACCTGTTCAGGAACAAGAACTTATTCATGGACTGAAGGACTCAATATTTAGCTTAGCAACTTACAACAGCTACAATGTTGTGTCTTATTGTTGAAAAGACCATAAACAATTTAGTATATTTCATAATTTTACCTGTTCGCACATCCCACAGTTTGACAGTCCCATCATCTGAAGACGTGATCACAAAACGATTGTTGAACTGGAGACAAGTAACAGCTGACTGGTGTTTCATCGGCCCTAAAATACGGAAATGGAAATTTAAAAATGACAAAACTTTCCTTTTAGTCCTTAAAAATAATTCAGATACCGGGTATGCTATAATTTGACCAATATGCTGCCGGTGTGTCAAAATGCACCAAAAGCTTAAAAGTACAATGTGTCATATAAATGATGTAGACTTCCAAAACAATTTCTTCAATCAATTTTGCTGATTTTTAATTGATCATGATAACTTAAAAATAATATGTTCAACAGAGAAAGAATGCTACAGTTATTAACTTATCAACTATAGTCCGCTCACAATGTTTAGGCAGTTAGAGGGGAAGTTCCCATATCACTTTTTTTTTTACTTTACATATGTTGCAGCTGTTAGACGTTTTAACAAATCTCAGCTGTTGAGCTATGTTTTAATGGTAGGATAAAGACATGAAGGTTTTTTTACAGAGGGCCAGGCTTAAGTTACCATGGAATTGCATCGCAACTGGAACAGCTAATTGTACACCCTCATTCACACAGGTACTCATTCTCCGTCAAATCCCAGGTCCTTGGTGAACCATGAGATCCTTTTGACTATGTTAACCTTTTCTTCCCTTTGATCTCCAGCCGATAGGCCAAGGGATCTCATACGCAGACCTTGCAGGGCTGGGCACATAAATAGAAAAGACATGGAGGCAATAGATTTCTTCCCATAAAACCGCCTAAATATTGTGAATGGAGTATACCTTCAACTAAAAGTGAATGACTCAAAGTATAAAAAATGAAAACACTATTTGTTAAACTATTTTTAGCACAGATATTCGTTTTTTAAATAATAAAATTCATTAGGCACTCAGATCGCTGTGGGATAAGGTTGTAATCAGCCTATTCAGAAAAATAACTCTATCATCATTGTGCCAGTTTTATTTTTTTTAATCAAAAAACAACTTCTTGGATCTGATTTGTGTGTAATCTATCGTCCAGAATCTTTGTTCACAACATATTTTTTAGTAAATTTTCAATCTTACATCATTAAATAATTAGAAGGAAATTGTTTTATTGTTACAAATCCATGTTAATATATTTCTGAAACACTTCATCCTACAAATTTTTATATTTTGTTTAGATTATCAGCAAGTCTATTTTTACCTGACAAAGTCTGCAGACACTGCCCAGTGAGGATGTCCCACACCTTGACAGTGGAGTCTGCGTTGCCCGACACCAGAATGTTGTTCCGCAGCTCCATACCCGACGTCAGCGACTGGTGACCCATCAGAGTGTGCTTACAAGCTCCCGTCTCCACCTCCCACACTCTGATACTGGTGTCCAGCGAGCCACTCACCACGTGCACTCCGTCAAACTATGTCAACAATTACACCAATCAAAGCACCTAGGCCTATAGAGTCTTTATTATTATTATTTTATGGCCAGCATTGGACCACTTAAGTCAATATAATGGTTAGGTTCTTTTTAAATTCTGTCTCTTCTTCTTGTCCGCCCAATACTTCTTCTTTCTTTCCGACCGTTGTTTTCTTTCTTCTTCCGAAACCACTCTTCCTTGTCTCTCCTTGTCACTCTTCCTGCAAAGAACTCATAAAATGTGTTTGCAAATTCTGTAAAAACAAGTGCAGCTGCAGAACTGCTCGTTTATCTTGCACATTATCGTGCAAATACAATGAATGTGAACAATAATACCCCCGCCGCAGCAAACCTGCAGATTAAGCGAATTTCTATTTGTCTGAATTGATTTTCAATTAAATCTATTTAAACAACATTAGTTTTAACGAGTACCTAGGATTGCTGCTACAAGGAAACTAATAAAGTTACTTTTCAGTCAAATATTAATAGCTTGGTATAAGATAAATAAATTTACCATTTTTATTTATATATATCTATAAACAAGCAAACTACAACATTTTAAAATATTCTCCATAAAAATAACATGAACATTTTAAATTTACAATTTTTTATTTTTTTCTGTTACCAATAGCCCTACAAAAACACTTTGATATACTAAATCATTTGTTTTTAAGCTCTTTAATAAGGTCTATACTATATTAGATTTATAGAGAGGTATAGAGGTATAGAGATATATATTGGAAAATTTTATGTTTTGAGGTTCAACAATTAGAAAACCCAATTTTTACCCCATAAAACAAAATACCGTTCCTATGGTCCGATCATGTTGATTCGCGAACTCTTTCTTTATTCCGCCTTACACCTTTAAACCAAATTTCATCAAAATCGGGCAAAAATTACTCAAGTTATCGCGTTCACGGACACACACACACAAATATGTAGGTACATATATAACAAATTGAACGAATGGTGTTTTTTGCCTCTGGTGACATTAAAATGACAAAGTAAATAGGTCCCGGGCCTAGGTCTTACCATGCTACCTACGGTAATAGCTACTTCCCTATAGGCAAATTAGCTAAAAATGGTGTTGGTAGAAATATTCTGCAACTTATAAAATATAGCGTGTTTTTTTATTTGGTGATATAAATTTTCTGTAAATAAATTTACGTTTATTACATTATTATTTAACTTGTTTACTTACCTTATACCTAAAAACTAAAACATTGGTCAGAAACACCATTTTGCATGATGTATATCAAAAGAAAATATATAGAAACCCAAAATACAGGCAGCCATTTTGAAAAATCCCGCCATTTTGGATTATAGCAACTTTGGTTGGTGCCTCCCCATCTTATTTGCATTGCCTAACCTTAAACTACATTCCCACCAAAGGGCATACTCTTATCACAATTTGCAGTTTTCTTATGGTTTTTTTACTGTAGCTCCCCCACTAAAAGGCACTCTTGCTATTCCACAACTTGTTAATTATTTTCTTGCTTATTCTATTTTCCGGTATCCTTAAAAGATGTCCTATGAATGAAATTCTTTTCTTTTTAATTATACTTGTCAATGGCTCTATCTCCTTATATAGGCTACAGTTTTATTTGAGGCCAGTCTCCAAACTCCATCTTTTTGATATTTTTTGTTTATACACGTTCTGATGATTCTTCTTTCTATTTTCAGTATTTTATCTATTGCTACAGTGTTGGTTGTTTTAAATATAGTTTCACTTGCATATGTTTTTTGTGGAAGTATGACTGCTTTGTAGTGTTTCAATTTTGTTAATATTGATAGACATTTTTTGTTGTATGTGTTTTTAGTAATATGTTGCATTCTGATCAATTTATTAATTCTATTTTGCCATGATGGATTTTCTTTAAGATTGTATGTTATGTTATAACTTCACCTAAGTATTTGTAATTTTCTACAATTTTGATGCAATGTTCTCCAGTTTTGATTTTGTTAGCCAATGGTGGTTTTGTTAACATTATTTCAGTTTTCTCAAAAGAAATTTTTAGACCTATGCTCTGGGCTATTTCCTGAAGTGATTTTATTTGTTGCTTGGTTTCTTGGATGTTATTAGCTAGAAGAGCCAGATAGAATCTTTATAATACAAATAAAAAATTGAAAATCCTGTAGCAGAACTACTGTTAAGAATTCCAGGATTTTCTTGTCAAGCCACAACAGGTTTTTAGAATGGAATGATCCTCTTTATCCCTAGGGTTGAAAAGAGTATTTATAAACGCAAACACAAACACCTGGACACAACATTTAAGCTAACAACAATTTTACAAAAGGTTGAAAACATTTGGAAGACATCAATCACTATCACGTTATACCAGCTACCTTAATTATCATTAGGTTAAATAGTTGACAGTTGTTCAATATCGTTGTGTCCATTCATTAATGTTTGCGTTTATGATGACTGTTCAAGATCCTAGTGTAACCTAGATTGGGAAAAGTGGTAGCTTAACAGAAAAAAATATCACTTAGAATTACAGGTACTTTAAAACTAAACAAATTAATATGACCCTTAGAACAAGCATGGTTGGTCTGTGAGCCTGACTCTATTACTTTGTGTCAGGTTTTAACCCTCAGGTCTGTAAACCAAAGCGGTCAGGGTCCAAACCGGTTGCTTTGCAGAGTATTGATTCTGTATTCTGTATTTGATTCTTGAATACTATCATTAACAGCTACAACCGGTTTATACATAATATTGTACATCATCTCCTCATTTCACGGTAAAATTGTGAACTCTTCTACGGTCAGAATGAAATCGTGAACCTATTCCACGGTCACGGCGATAATCGTGAACATTTTCTACAGGAAGTTTTCAACGTCTCCTGCAGTTACAGAGAAAACAAGAACATCTTCTACAGTCATGGTGAAATCGAGAACATCTGCCTTGGACACAGCAAAATCGTGAAGGGCTTTAACGGTTAGCAGTGAAACCGTGATTGTTTTATGCCAAAAAGCAATGTTTATCAAAGTTATTCCAAAAAAGAGAACATTTTCTGCAGTAATAGCAAAATCATGATCGTCCCCACTGTTACACCAAAATTGTGATCTAGTTCCTAAATCACAGCATTTGTTGGCCTTATTTCACTATCACAACAAATTTGTGAATGTCATGGGCAGTAACAGTAAAATAATGAATTTCTTCTCCAGTCACGACAATCTCTCCTAGACCCATAAAGCTTTGGGGACACGAACACCCCTACGTGACCAGTAATCAATATTATATTTGTAAGTATGAGCACTACGTTACCTGGAGAGAATACACCCTGTTGGTGTGCCCTTGTAGCGTATGCAGGCATTCTTCTCTCTCCGGGTTCCACACTTTGACCATGTAGTCGTACGCACCAGACACTACCAGTCTACCGTCGTACTGCACACATCGTACAGCTGCTAGGTGGCCTACCAGTACATGTAGACACTCCCCACTCTCTATGTGCCACACCCTCAGTGTAGCGTCTCTTGAACCACTCACGACTCTGTAAACCATAGTTACACTGTTACTGCTCTGACACTACCAGTCTGCCGTCGTACTGTACACATTGTACAGCTGCTAGGTGGCCTACCAGTACATGTAGACACTCCCCACTCTCTATGTGCCACACCCTCAGTGTAGCGTCTCTTGAACCACTCACCTCTCTGTAAACCATAGTCACACTGTTACTGATCAGACACTACCAGTCTACCGTCGTACTGCACACATCGTACGGATGCTAGGTGGCCTACCAGTACATGTAGACACTCCCCACTCTCTATGTGCCACACCCTCAGTGTAGCGTCTCTTGAACCACTCACCTCTCTGTAAACCATAGTCACACTGTTACTGATCAGACACTACCAGTCTACCGTCGTACTGCACACATCGTACGGATGCTAGGTGGCCTACCAGTACATGTAGACACTCCCCACTCTCTATGTGCCACACCCTCAATGTAGCGTCTCTTGAACCACTCCAAAAAGTAATTAAGTAGGCCTAAGTACTAAGTCAGGCCTCTTATAACCAACATACTCACTTTTTGCCATGCAGATGCATACAGCGTACAGTGGACGTGTGGCCGTAAAGCGTGTGAAGGCACACTCCAGTCTCAGCGTTCCACACCTTGAGCGTTCTGTCGGTGCTGCCGCTGATGATGATGCTTCCAGACATCTGAGAAGACCATACTCCACCGGTGTGTCCCACCAGTGTCCGCAAACACTGCAACCAATCAGCTGTTACAATCTACATGTTAATAGATAGGAATAAGCAATACACAAATGACTTAAGTTTTCGCCTACTTCATTTTGAGTCCTCTGTGGTGGTGAAATATTAACCCATTGGCATACCGAAATTGCCCTAAATGATTACACACAGGATTTTTAATTTATTTTTCTCTTTTAGTGACATGCCTACAGAAATGGAACAAACCCTAAGAACTGGCTTAGGCCTTTTTAGACAAGTAAACCACAATTGAGTGTCAGATTTAAAAATCAACTATCTTTTGACTCATTGTTGTTGAAAGTTACGATTTCTACAACTACCTTGGCAAGATAAGGAGGCAAGTGGGGTGTTTTCTCTACATTAACATTACGGTACTGAAAAATTGGGTGAGTTCAATATTGGCACTTGTTTGGAGTTTAATAAGGAGGAATTGTGATTTAAGAAATTCCTAAATAAATCTGTCCTTACCTTACCCGTTGTTGCAGACCAAACTTTAAGCGTATTATCATCGGATCCTGAGACAATCCTATTGCCGGAGAACTGAAGACATGTAATGACGTGATCATCGTGACCTTTCAGGATCTTAGGTGGTCTAATCGGCTTTACCCTCCAGTTCATCTCTATCCGATGATGTCTCATGAAGGCAGCCTGAAATGTATATTGTTGCATAAACTACTGCTACAAATCCCAATTAACCATTAATTTCCAAGTACTTTGAGTGAACAACTTGATTCTGGTTTTCCCAGAGATAAAAACACTAGACCTCCATAAAGATATTTGCAACCAACGTCCCATGAAATTCAAAAACACCAAAGTCAATTGCAGCATAGCAATGCAATACACCGCATAGTAATTACATTGCCAGTACAGTAGAGTCCCGCAAACTCGGCGTAATGTGGACTGTAAGGGTGCCGAGTTTGTGAAATGCCGGGTTATTGGGAACTAGGGTTAAAAACAAGAACAATACAATTTTTAATCTTATTAACTACTCCTTTAATTTATATGTTTGTTTATATGTCCTTTTATATTACAAGTTAGTATTAAGTCATCAGATATAGTAAAACAAATCATTTGTACGAGCTGGAAATGATTTGACTTGAGCTGGCTTGAGTTCATGTTTAACTCGGACTCAAAAAATCACTAAATTTCTGAGCCAGGTGATGGCCGAGTTATCCAGACTGCCGGGTTATCGAGTGCTGAGTTTGCGGGACTCTACTGTAATCAAATTGCCGTAATTGCCGGTATAATCAAAGCAATTTAGTACTTTAAGTAAATTTTGTTTCAGGACAGGCTTTACACCAGAATTGTGAATTTTAGGAAAACCCGTAGCTTACCTTAAAAAAAGTACAGCTAGGTCAGGGCACACATAGAGGACATAGAAAACACATTTTTTATCCCCTTAGGAACTTTATTCAATTCGAGAAAAAGAGAGTTGTAGAGAAACGTGTACATGGTACCACTCATACTTGGATTTCTATCTATTTCTACATTTGACATAGTCCTCCAGGAAAAATATATAGTGTTCTGTATCTTCTATATGGGTACCATGGCCTAGGCCTACCTAGACTTTTCCTAAGGTAAACAAGCGGCTATCTGTTCCCTTTTTTTTCTAAGTACCGGTACCTAAATGTTTTAATATTGTGAAACCAGCTGCAGTTGAACCTCGGTAAAACAAATTACTCGATAAGACGAGTTTTAAAAACAAACAGAAGCTTGTCTCAACATGAAACCCCACCCATTCCTCTTCCTTCCTTATTCATTGTTTGGCACGTGCCTGTGCAGAGGAGAAACCTCTATAAGACTAATAACGGCGGTATTAAACCTCGATAAAATGAACCTCTTTATTAAGAATACCTCGATAGTACGAATTTCCACCCACTCCTTGAAATTCATCTTATAGAGGTTCGACTGTACTGTAGAAAATAAGTTACAGAAAGTCGTAACAAACCGGAGCCCTAACCGTACCTTCCAAGGTGATGCAGGGTTGTTAGCGTTGGGTTGACGGTGGCGCATTCTCTTGCTTGTCTGACTGTCCATGGCTACACCGGCCTCTCTGCACTTGACTCTCCACAGCAGGTTGTCCTCAGAGAGGAATCTCCAGCTGGTACAAGTCTGTGCTGCTCTCAGCAGATCACGCGGCTCCAGGAACGACAACACGTATAGAGCCAGCTGTGGATAGTTACAAAAAATATAATAGCCTACACTCATAAAAAAGAATACGGTAATCACTGACTTTCATGTCTTCAAGATGTAGGCCTAACCAACTTACATTAAAATGAGAATACTATTGATATTAAGTTAGTGAAAAACTTAGCCGCATATGCCAATACTTCATTGCAATGTTTTGTGATAACTTTTATTCTTCTTGAGTGAAAATAGGTATGAAAAGTACTTACCTACATACCTGTACTTATAAACTGAAACTTACTTGCTGGATTTATTACATAGCCTACAGTTACATTCTAAAATTAACTTAGCAAATTCAATGATTTTTTTCTAATTTATATTTTTCCAAATGAAATTCTGTTGTGTTTCATAGTAAAAAACAATACCTCTACAGACACAATTGCATAGTATTACATTATAACGATGGGAACGGAAGTCTCTGGATTCGTTCTAAAGATTATATTAACCAGTTTCAAAATTCAGGTAAAATATGCCCTACAGTTTTACCCAGGAAGGGGTGGTTTACCTGAGCGGTGGTTGTCCAAGGGTTAGTTAAGAAATGATGAAAGAAACTTTACGTTTCTTTGCCATCATGGTGTTTAATCCAAAAGTTGTATAAGAGCTAAAAATTTCCCATTAATTAATTTTAATTTCCAATTCAATAGCGATTAAATTTTTCTGTGGGAAGCAGAACTTTAATAGTTCAATGTGAAAAGAAATGTATTCACGGCACTGTAATTTTACTAACATTAAAAAAACTCAATAGTGGAATTTTGCTATCTAAAACAATTAACAATAAGGCTTGTCACAGACTGCGTCCGGTCCGGTAATATCGGATCAGGTAAATTCGAAAACCATTAATTCAAATGAAAGTCTCCACACTGAATCCGGTCCGGTGCGTCAGGTGCGGTCCGGTAAAATTATTTCGGATAAGAAGCGATAGGTTACCGACAAGCTTCCGGCGCCGGAGAGCTTGCGCATGCGCAGACCAATCTCTCTTGTGTCAGGGTAACAACCTGGCCAACCAGAAAAAATTCATAAGTAATTCATGAGTAAAAATAAATCCCGGTAGTTAAGTTCCTACTTTTCCATACTAAAATTTCCAACGTTTTTTGCGCGCTAACTCCCGAAATGATTTTTTAGCGCTTACACAGCTTGCCAGACTCGAGATTATATCGTGAGGTTATATCCCGGTCATAGAAACGTCATCGTCGTCACCCGCGGTCACGGAAACGTCATCGTTGTCTCCCGCGGTCATGGGAACGTCATCTCCCGCGGTCACGGAAACATCATCGTCGTCTCCTGCGGTCACAGAAATGTCATCAACATCACCCGCGGTCATGGAAACGTCATTGCCTTCACCCACGATCACGGAAACTTCATCATCGTCTCCCGCGGTCACAGAAATGTCATTGTCATCACCCGCAGTCATGGAAACGTCATCAGTGAAAACACCGGATCAGAATTAACCAGACCGCACGCAGTGTGTGACGAGCCTAACATTATTATTCTCCAATCCCATACATGATTATGGTAAGATTTCGCTAACTCAACAAAATCAACTTCCATTCCAAACATGTTTTAATCTTACGACTTGTACCTGATTTGTTCTTACCTCTTTAGGAAGGAGTGAGATGAAATCCCTTTGGAACTGAGGCTCGATGAGCTGCATCATATGCCTGACTTGCGTTGGTTCACATAGTTCAATGAGACCATCAATGGCTAGAAGCCTCTCCGCATTAGACCACGTCTATAAACAAACAAAATATATCAAGTTTGCCTCAAGTAGTACAGGAAAAGTGGTATTTTATTAATGTTAACAGAACTAAACAATGTGTAAACACTAAAACAGTGTGTCCACCAGTTGATCAAACTAAATTTATTGACTTTGATGGGGGGGGCTTAAACTACGAAAATGTACAACCTTTGGATAAGACAGTAATTTCCAGTGACTTGAACATAGTCAGGGAGACAATATTTTGTGCCGTGACGATTTGAGTTGGTTGCCTGCTCCCAAAGTATATTCGCTCTCACTGATTCTGCATTATGAATCAGTGAATTTTTATTATTGTCTGCAGCAAGGTGCAAAACATAAGAATTTAGCTAGGCCCTATTTTTTGTGATTTTTGTGACTCTGAAATTTTGATACTTTTCAGTGATACTTTTTTCTAGCAAAGTCAATGACTTTTCCATGAATTCTGTGATTTTTCTGATCAGTAGACACCCTGTAAAATTAAAATAATGCTCTGTTGGTTTAGTTTATTTGATTTTTGAAAATATGACTGCAAAATCGCCAAAAGTGCCTTGATACTATAGAGTTTGTCCAGTGCCAGTTGGAGGGTTAAAAACAGGCCGACCGCACAATTAGAAAGGGACAGACTGATGTAGACAGTCTGTCCCTTGCTGCCTCTGTGGTCAGTCAACCCTTACTTAAATTTGGGAGAACATTGTAACTAGACGCTTGATCACGGGTCTAAACCTTTTCCACGAGAAAAATCGTTTCCATGCCGCCTAATTCCTGCGAATCTTGTCTTCATGAAAATTTGCTGATAAAAATTGTCCAGAGATATCACTTCTGCCTAGTGTAGCATGGTTAAACCAATGTCCGGTTAAAAGGTTTCCGGACGAGAGGAAGTCTACTGTATAGGCCTATACATATTCTTATCCATCCACTATTCAGTTCTGTATCATCACTCCGAAGAACGGGTAAAGAAAAAACCATGATACAGATAGTATGGCATTACAAATATCCAAGAATATTACACGATGGGTGAACTCACCTTGAATTTATTAAGCCAATCGGTTATTTCTACTGGTGGATTATCTTTGGATGGAATTACACTTCGTTGATGTCTTGTTTTTTCTCCTGAAGGGTTTTCATTTGGTTTCTTTTTTACACTGTAACATACCAAGAACAAATGTTTAATATAAAGGCTTTAACAATTTCTTTGCACAATAGAAATTATTATTGTTACATAATCCTCCACATTTTGTCTTAAGGCAGTGCTAGATGTAGTGTGTTCAATTCACCTCTTGTGCTTGAAGGGTCCGCTATAAATTGAATATAAAAACTTTATAAACATTTTTTTGTTACACAAAATACTATGGGAAAAACTAATGTAGGCCTACTTTAAACTCTGCTGGAGGCACTTCTTTTGGTAAAAAAAAAACTTTGAGTTTCTCTCAAAAGTACTAGTTGGCGACATCTAGGCTAGGGTACTGAACATTTTTAGAAAGGCGTAAAGACCTAAAAAGTAAGATAATATATCTATATAATACTGTTATATATCTACCTGTATTATAGTCCAGTGGTTAGTAGATTATTGAAAACATTACTACTGTAAGTGACAGTTGAGATTTATCTATGTAAACCAAGCTATTTATTTTATTATTAACTTTGAAAGTGAACCAGCCTACATTAATATAAACAAACACAGTTGTAACCATTTGTAAAATATCAAGCAACAGTGTGATCAGGTTTGCTGAGATTTTTGGTTGGCAAATATTATGTTAGCTAGGCCTAATAGATTTTACTTACCTAGATACAGCAGTCTTGTCTTCTGGAAATAATTTTTTACATGGTAATCCATTTGGAGCTTCTGCTAGGTGTTCAAGTTTTCTTTTACGCTGAAATTCAAAATATTGGTTATTCATCCTCATTTACGATCTTAACAAAGATCATAATAGGGTATTTTACATAGGCCTATCATTGAAACAACAGTCCAGGGGCTAAAAAATACACTCACAGCACATATACACTAATGATTTGTAATTAATTGTAGGCCTACATCAATTTTGTCTGAAACTGTTAAATGGGGCAAATAAAAATAAGTAAAACCCTATAGACACTACTTAAGATTATAAAGTTATAGGCCCCTTAAAATAAGAAAATAAATAGCAAAACCTAGAAATAATTAGAACACATATGAAACCATTGTTGTTCGTTAGTGAAAAGGATTGTGAATAACATATCAAAAGTCTCCAAAAATATCTTTGGTGGAACGCCACCATTTTTCCAAAATGGCGGCCAAATCCAGTAGTTTTTTGCTTTTTATTGAAATTCTGACTTTCCAGTCAATATTGGTGAAAAGTCGTCAATACATTTAATGTTCCTCCTGAAATTACCTTTAAAATGATACCAAATACATGTACCTACAACAAAACATAAACCCCGTAGAAATAATAAAATATTTCAAATAAAAATATTTTTTATAAATTAATGTATTAGTCCAAGCAAACTAAAAATAACGTACACAGGGATTGTATAAACATTTGCAAGTAAACATGTTATGGTTTTATTTTTATTGTTGTGGTGTGCAGAGTAACATACCAAAAGTTGCAAAAAATCAGTCCACGGGAAACCCCTAAATTAAGGAAAAATGGCGGCTTTTCCCAATATTGGACAAATTTTTCAACAAAAGATACCACATGTTTTTTTGCACATTTTTCGAGATATTGACTTGGAACCACGACCGATATTTATTGGATAGTCCGTACTTAATTTCAATAGGGGACGCTTTTTGGGCCGCCATCTTGGATCAGCCATATTGGATCTGCCATATTGGATATAAATATTTTTTAATGTAATTATAGTGTTGTGACACATCATTATGAACTAGATTTCCACGCTGATTTCAATGCTGAAATCAGTTTTTTAAATAGCGTTTTACGATTTTAAGATATATCAAAACTAAAACTCTCCCTCATACATTTCTTATGGACGTTTCGTACTTTGACAATTTAAAAACACATTGAAAACTACCACAGTCTAATTTTGTACTATCAGGTTCAAGTATGGCGTGGAAATAGTTCACCAGCAGATCCAACAGATTGGGAGTGGTGTTTGACTGATGGTACATATGACTAACTTACTTATAAATAACTGTACTTATAAATAACTGTAACTGTGTAACTTGGAAATTATATTTAGATAAATATAGGATATGGCCTTTAAAAAATTTCAACAAAACGTTTTATGGTTTTATTTTGTAGTGTTGTGCAAAGTGAAAACGGGAAAAACTCGTCATAGCTATTCGTTCAAGTATTGACTTTTATTTTAGCTGTGGATTCCTTATTGGGAGTTATTTAGAATTGGGGATAAATGTCTTTAACTAAAGACAAATTTCAAAATAACAATAATTCATTCAATAGTTCATTGAAGGTAGGCCTACATGATTCGTTTTAAATTTGTCATGTGTCATTTAATAATCAATAAAATTAAAGCCAAACATTTACTGAGTACTTTGATACCAGAATGAACTTGTTAACATAATAACAACCCGAGATATAAATCTTTTAACAAAAACTGATAAAAAAGTTTAATTTAATTTTGTGTTGGGGTTTGTACCTCGTCTATAACTAGTCTGTTTTAACCATAAATAAAACAAAATTAAAGCTAACTAAAATGAAAGATCTTTTATCACTGAATATTTTAAGGCCAGAACGAACTGCAAGCAATAATAATACCTGGAGAAAAATAATCCAAACACATTTTCAAAATAACTTACGATACGTCCATAACTGATGTATAGGGGAGAGTTTTCGTTTTAATATATCTTAAGCAACGAAAAAACTTAATTAAAAACGGATTTCAGCATTGAAATCAGCGTGGAAATCTAGTTCATAATGATGTGTCACAACACTATAATTACATTAAAAAATATTTATATCCAATATGGCAGATCCAATATAGCTGATCCAAGATGACTGCCCAAAAAGCGTCCCCTATTGAAATTAAGTACGGACTATCCAATAAATATCGGTCGTGGTTCCAAGTCAATATCTCGAAAAATGTGCAAAAAAACATGTGGTATCTTTTGTTGCAAAATTTGTCCAATATTGGGAAAAGCCGCAATTTTTTCCTTAATTTAGGGGTTTCCCGTGGACTGATTTTTGCAACTTTTGGTATGTCACTCTGCACACCACAACAATAAAAAAAAACCATAAAATGTTTACTTGCAAATTTTTATACGATTCCTGTGTACGTTAATTTTATTTTGCTTGGACTATTACATTAATAATTTATAAAAAATATTTTTCTTTGAAACATTTTATTATTTCTACGGGGTTTATCTTTGTTGTAGGTACATGTATTTGGTATCATTTTAAAGGTAATTTCAAGAGGAACATTAAATGTATTGACGACTTTTCACCAATATTGACTGGAAAGTCAGAATTTCAATAAAAAGCAAAAAACTACTGGATTTGGCCGCCATTTTGGAAAAATGGTGGTGTTCCACCAAAGATATTTTTGGAGACTTTTGATATGTTATTCACAATACTTTTCACTATCGAACAACAATGGTTTCATCTGTGTTCTAATTATTTCTAGGTCAAACCACATATTCAGAGGCCTATTAGGCTACCTATTGATTTTGCTAAGCTTGATGAAATTAAATGTTTGTTTGCAAATTGTAAAAAAGTCCAATGAAATTTTACAGCTGGACACAAAATTACAGCTAGTGAAAAATTTAAATTTAAGCAAAAAATTAGTTTGTTGAACTGATTGTTTTATGATTGAATATATTTCAACAGATTAATTGCCACTACTCTACCTCTGTAGAGTGAGGGAAAAAATTTTCTTGTAAACCTTTTAAAAAAATTAATTCACTTAGGCCTAATAAAAATTTGACAATTAAGGCTACCGGTAGTGTTTATTTAGCTAAGGGTAGCCTAACTTATGAAAGAAAATTGTTTCTAATCCTAAAATACTTAAGCCTCTGTGGGCTATTTATCGCGACAAAAAATATAATGGGTTTAACAAAAAATTTGCTAGTTTAATGACATTGCTTGCCACAACACAAAACATTCATACAGTAGGTAAGTGCTGAAATGCTTACACTTTTTAGGCAGTTTCAGTGTTTACAACAGAAATTTTGTTCATTTTTCGAAAGAAGTCTGAAACATTTGTTTAAAACTGTTTACACCTGAGTTTTCAACAGAATGCTTAAAACTTGCATTTACTACACCCCCTAAATAGGTACTGTATTATTGCCCACTAATAATAAATTAGTGCCAACAATATGTATGTATGTGTAACAAAAATACACAAAGATTTGTGTGTTTCGCAAAACAAAAACGGTTGCGGAGGAAACAACAAAAGAGATAAACAAATTTTAAAATCATTTTATAACTCAGAATTAATTTAGGAATCTAGGAAGAAAAAAATAGGCCTACTGATTTAAAAAGTGGTCAAGCAAACAATTAATTAGGTCTATTTTATTTCTGGATTACTTTATATGGATACGTACCGGTAGGTAAAACATTGGAATTAATTCTAAACAGTTTTCACAGCTACAAAATCAACTAAGGTACTTACAGCAAGGCCCGCTCTTAGCTCCTCGATTTCACCTACTCTATTTGAAGGGGGATTCTGTGAGGACACAACAAACGTTGCCTGTTCAGAAACGTCATCATCACTCACTCCAGTTCCACTCCATAGCCAATCATCATCCACTTCTTCTTCACTGTCCTCCTCCCCACCCTCTTCTTCCACTTCCCCCTCACTGTTCTTAGATGGACTTGCCGTCGCCTTCACTTCCACCACTACCTCCTCCTCACTCGAGGTCCCAGGCACTTGAGTTTCACTCTCCAGACATTCTGTTGGGCTAAGTTTGGTTGTATCAGTCTTCTCTCCCTCCGATGCCGATTGTTCCGACATCGAGCTGGATGGTGTTGCCAAGTCCATGTTGTGAGGTGAAGACATCTGGAACCATTGAGATACTTATTATGGTGATTAAATGTTTTACATCAAAGTTTAGTAAACTAGAATTTGTGACCCTAAGTGGGTTGTGTGAGGAGTTTAAACATTGAAAATGTTTTTCCCCTGTGAGCATAGACAAAAAGAATAAAATATAGACTGTCAGCCGTGCATTGGTTACTATGGTTACCATAGGTTCTGGCGCACACCGCTGGGAGCGCCGTGTAGTTACGTAACGCGTAGGCCGTAACTACATGACGCTCCCAGCGATGTACGCCAGAACCTATGGTAACCGCAGCAAAGCTGACGGTCTATATTTAATTCATTTTGTCTATGCTATGAGTCACCTGTCCAACACTTAGAACAGAGATAAATGTGATTTTAAGCTTTATATTTGTGATATTGTTAACCCTGTTTTTTTTTCAGGAGTGATGTGTCAAGTTTGCATGCAACATTCTTACACTAATACTGCGATCACCGAAGACGTCTGCAAAGTTTGCATGATTTAAAATTAATGATTCTCTAACAAAATGAAGGTAGACGTTAGATAGAAACGGATTGTTTCCTTTCAAAACGGTAAAAATGTGTTTTTCATTATGGCCATTGGCGTAGAAAACAGAAAAAAATTTAAAAATACAGTAAAATTTCTAAAATTCAGCTGTGTGTTAGTCAAGGCCGTAATAGTAATCCTTTCCAGCCATCTAAAATGTTGATATTTTAGTCCATCCTATATAGGCTACCGATTTCCTGCCACTGCTAGTCCACATTGTCCAATACAGTTGTGATTTGCAATGTTTTTTTTAAATCATTCTCCATAAAAATATCTCTTTAATTGACAAATAAGAACCGGTAGCCTACTCTTACTTAACTGCATGTTATAAACGCCACTAGCATTGACAACATGAACAAGAACAAGACTAAACTTTTATTGTAGGCCTAACCATAAAACAAAATACTAACCAAAATACTTTCCATTATTTGCATTACCATCTGGGCCAACTAATAAGGCAAACAGAACATTACACAAATTATTTTGCACATCATTTTTGAAACATTGTGAAAGTTTATTTACTTTTAGTAATTTCCCAAATAGGGAATAATCTTTGAGTTAGCGTAGACCTGCACCCAGGGCCCATTTACTATACAATGCAATGTATACTATACTAAAACCAGGGAGAATGTTATCATAATTGAGACTTTTTGAAATCCAAAACCCAAACCAAAGATTTTTGTGTCAACTGTCAATATTGGCTTTAAAAACTTGGAAATAGAACCCTAAAATCATAAAATATTAAACTCAATGTGGCTAATAAAACTGTTCATTTTGTATCTAGGCCTAATACCTAGGCTACTAATTTACTTCCCTAAAGTTTCATCACGATCGGATGGTCGTTTAGTAACGCATTTAAAGGACTTTAAAATATTGGATTTAATATATTAAGATAACAACATCCAAAGAAAACAGAGACTTTTTTAGACAAAGATATGGTGTACGTACAGGCATATCCATCTTGACAAATACATAATTTGATTCTTAGTTTGTTTAGATATTAAAATAGATTGTTTTACATTTTGAGTTTTTAGGGACTTTAAGTTAGCGCAAGAATTATTGAAGAAAAGTTATTTTCAAAATTACAAATGTGTAAGTGTGTACTATTTACCCACTTGCCCAATACTAACTTAACTTAGGGTTTTAAAGCTAATTATTTATGGAAGCTGTAGTCCACTTAAACTTACCCACAAATAGGGGTTTAACATAATTAGGCCTCTAGGCCTACTACAGGTAGTAACTTACAGCGTGTTATAACGTTTACAAAAACAACAAAAATTAAAAATTAGAAAAGAAAATTCGGTACCGTACTTTGGTATTATCCGGAGGCCACCCTCTTACAGCGCGTTGCAGCGGTTATGTTAGAATGGGTTATCATTTAAATATGTTTGTAGGACTTTCCTTGTTTTTTTTATGAATCAAACTAGTACCAGATGAGTCATATTTTCACCCGCCAAATCCCCTCCAAGTAGGCCAAGGTCAGATCCTTGACCAGAGCGTGCGCATCACCTGTCACCGCCCGTATCTGAAATAATGTCTTGAGTGATGACTCATGCAGTCTTGTTCGATTCATAACGAAACGAAGAAAGTCCTACACAAACATATTTATGATAACCCGACGTAACATACGCTGTTTACCTACTTGGTGGAGTAGCCTACATGTGGCAGCAAACGGCGGCGACAAATTCAACTCAATCCCCGCCACATCGCTGCCTTCTGGGAGGCAGAACTCAAAGGCCGCAAATTATTATGGATTATCTAGTCATAATGAGCAATTTACAACTCAATCAAACTGTAAAATTGGTGTAAATCCGTTGGCAAATAAATAAATTGCAATTGTGTCATATTTGTACAGTAAGGCAATTAACTTAAAGTTTGTTCTTTCCAATTTCCTAGATTTTTGAAACTTTGGTGTAAGAAACCCCTTTAAAATAAGTGGCCTCCATATAAGTTCATAGGCCTACCAAAGTACCAAAGTTGGTTTAGCCTACATATAAAGTAGGCTTAAGTTAAGTAAAACTTAGGAAATATACCAAAGTTTAAATCAAATGTTTTAAACCCAGTATGTTTTTAGGCCCAGTAACTTAGGCCGGGTACACTTCCATATCTGTTGGCACAGGTACACTTCCAAAAGTTAACTGTTGGCACAAACAACCGAATGAAAATATCGATCGATATATCGTTTGGTTAGTTAGGTAAGGTTAACCTAACCTAACTAACCAAACATTAAGTTATATCAAATGAAACAATCGAATAATCGATACTACTCATTCGGTTGTTTGTGCCAACAGATATGTAAGCATGGTACCCCTTAGGCCTATCTTAGCTTTGTTACTTTGTCTATTATTTTATATGCCTGATCAAAGTCAACCATTTGAAATTCTAGTAGCAGTGGAGTAAATGGGTTGTTACTCCACTGCACCTCATTTAAGTTACGTTAACATTTTAAGAAGAAAAACCTTTAAAATTAGGCTAGGCCTAGGGCCTAATCTTTTAACCACTCTCCACTAAGGTCACGTTTTCTCTGATTTTTCATTAGCTTACCAAAACCCTAGGCCTATTAAACTAAGCTAGTGATGGGAGAATCGAATACTTTCAAGAATCGAATACCGTGAATTCGTAGCCTCCCCTGTATTCGAATACTTTTACGAATACTTGTATTCAAACACCTTTGAGTATGCAAAGCATGGAAAATGAGTGTGTAATTCTTTTTTCCCGTTCTTTTGGCCACTGTTATTTCGTTTTACAGTAATTAATTCATCAATATAATTTATTCTATGTAATTTTAAACTATATGATTTTTAAAAGGTACATTTATTTTGACTTATAATTATTTCATGGTCAGTTACAGTCTTATTAATGTATTATTTTCTATTATATTAACTAATTAATATCTTAAATAATATGTCTTATTCATTTGTATGGATAATTTACATCAGATATGCATGTTATTTTGCCATGTAACTATATAAATCGGTTGAAGTTATAATAAATTCTATTCAATTGCCCTCTACCAGTTTAGTAACCTAATATTTTAAATATCCAATATATTCTAAATGTTAACGATTAATAATAATCTTATGTAAATTATATAGCTAATGGTAAAATTATAACGAATAGATGAAAACAAATGCTGCAGTAAAAACATTAAATACTCTTACAAATGCTACGGATTCGTAAGATATTCAAAAGGGAAGTCAGTAGTTGAAAAAGTGTTGAATACATTTTTGAATCCCCCGAATTCGCTTTCTAGATGCAAGAAATCCTGCAAAATCTGAGGTCAAGAGTATTCACAATAAGATTCAATAAGATTTATTGCAGCCATTAAACATAACATTTTGTAATAGGCATTGTTACAATAGTACTTAAAAATAGATCATACATCAATTATAAATTTAAATATCCAATTTAAATTTTAACTTACTTATCAGTATTCGTACGAATCTGAAGTATTCGAATCTACGAATACTCGGGCTGTATTCGAATACTATTCGATTCTGTATTCGATTCTCCCATCACTAAACTAAGCAAGATTCCATAGGCCCTAAGTTATCAATAAGTTAAAAGGCGATCTTAAGTTAAATTTACTTAGGCTAAATTTTATAAATCAGCAGATATACATTTTAGGCCTGAAAGCCAAAAACAAGGCCTAGGCTAAGCCCAATGGCATCAATTAAAAAATTACTCTTACCTTTGACGACTAAATTAGTCAAACTTAACATAGAACCCTAACAAAGATATAACGGTAGTACAGTAAGTTAACAAGACGATAAATAATAGTATATAAATCTAGCCTACTTTAAATTAGTTATTTCTAAGCTACGTGAAATGTTGAACCAGGTCTAATGTAAAGGAACAAGTCACCAATCAAGGTTCTCTCGTTCTCTGGTTTATGAACTTGGAAGTCACAAAACTATCAAAATGAGGTTAAGAAAGTCGTCGTTTAGAAAGAAACATTTGCTAATCCTAATTGCTTAATCTAAATTTAGTTGAGGGAAGTAAACTAAAAATCACATTATAGACATTAATTCGATTTACTGACAAAAGTACGGTACTAACCTATCAACTCATCTCCATTTTCCACTAGGCTAGTGCTACTTGCAGAAAAATTATAATGGGAAGGGGAAGAAGGGGACTTGTAGCATTGACTATATAACACTATATAACACTAGTGTTATATAGTCAATGCTTGTAGAGAACGGGATGACTGGTTGTTGCTGGTTCTCCTCTCCGTCTCCCGTGCCCTCCCACCCCACCATAAATTCTGCCCTGCCGTGCCCATGGTGGAAGGCGTGCCCTTAAGAAAATGTGTAAAAAACTTGCCTCTTGAACCTCTTGGTAGCCAGCCACCACCCGCCACTACACTACACAAGTAGGCCTATTGACTATACAATACACAATGTTCTATAATGAACAACAGCAGTAATTAAATATAACAGAATTTGAAACGCGAAACAAGACATTTTCTAAGAGGTAGAAGCCCTCTTTTACATTGGATTTGCCCGTCCACATGAGCCACAGAAGGCATGTGCATGGCACGTACGTATCCAGCAAGACAAGGAGTGGACCCATGAGTGGACCGGTAACTTAGGGGAGTAGTCTGGCTGGAGCGTGGGGTGTCATAGCTTATAATGTCATAGCTTATAATCGTGAATTTGTTCCATAGCTTATAATGTTGAAAATGTGGCATAGCTTATAATCAGTTATAAGCTATGCCACACTTTCACGAAAAATTATAAGCTATGCCACAATTTCTCTAAAACGTTATAAGGTATGACACATTTTCAGTTTCACAACTTATAATGGTCAAATAGTGGCGCAGCTTATAATTCCGATTCTGTTCTATAGCTTATAATCCTGATTTTGAGTCATACCTTATAATCCTGATTTTGGGGCATAGCTTATAATTGAAGAGAATGTTGCATTGTGGGAATGGCATCAGCTGCTCGCTTCAGTCAGGTCTACCATATATACGATATTTTATGGTAGGATACGATAATTTATTGTAATTGGACCGTACTGACAACTGCCCAACTGCGATATCGTAATTTACAGGGTTTCGAATTGGTGGGTAATTACCCACTTTGTGGGTATTTTAAGCTATGGTGGGTATTTTTGCGGGTATTCTATTTTAGTGGGTAAAATAGGGTATTTCATGCTCGCTTCATGGTATTTTTCGTTTTTAGTGCATTGGGAAGTTTCTGCTTTAGCAGGCTTCATGTTTAGAATCAAACCTTAAAAACATTGGCAACTTTTTTTGCCTTCAGCAAAGCCTTTTTTCTTCTTCCACTTCTTCGATAATTCCTTGTTGCGACACCACTGTCTTTCCGATATTTGGTATCGATACCGTATCGCAAAAAAGTAACGATACCGGCTCAGTATCGGAACTAAAGTATCGATACCATTAGTATCGGAACTAAAGTATCGATACCATTAGTATCGTATCCATTCGATACCAGTGACGTCATATTCTGATTCACTGATCTTCGATTAAAGTTCACTCGTTCCAGTACAGTGCAGCCAATATGGGATTCGAATTCAAGCTGCTAAAAACTACCTAAATATGTAAAACATTGATAAAATTAACCAAACATTGCCAACCATTGTTTTCAATTTTACCTTCAAGTATAAGTTCAAGTAGGCCTAAGCTTACCATAAGTTCTAGGCCTATATAATTTATATTTTCAATAGACAATGTTATTAAATTACCAACGTAACGCATTCGTGTTTACCATCAGCCTAAAAAAAGTTTATTTTTTAGTTAAATAACTTTAAGTGCGGTGCCATCTTTTTAGTTTATTTGATGTTAAATAGTCCATGGTTTCATTTTATTTGCCTAACACAACGTTGCTAACATTGACTTGTAACAAAATTAACTCTGCAACTAAACCCTTAAGTTGTATCATTGACTAAATATACGTCTGTAGGTATATATAGTCAATGGTTTTACTTATAGTTATGTAAAGTTCTATGGAAAGTGAATCATAATTTACTCAAACCACATATCAGACAAGCTAGATAAAAAAAATATTTAATTGGGTTAAAATTTTTTTTTACAAAAATACATCATGTCCATTTATTTTGGGTAAAATAGTTTGATATATATTTCAATTATATATTTTACGTCATTACACCACATATTACTCTTATTCAAGCTGAGTGGGTAATAGTGGGTATTTTTAGGTAAAGTGGTGGGGAAAATTACTGAAGTGGATTAGAAACCCTGGTAATTTATAACCTAAACATTTATTTATTTAAATGTTTTTAAACGATTTTTATACGAGAAATGGCAACAATTACATGCTATATGACAATGAAAATGCAAGAAATATTTATAGAGAGAAGTTAAAAGATATGAAAATGAAGTGAAGGATAACGGCATTGAAAATTAATGAATCTTGTCAATAGTCCGGCTGGTGTTGACAGAAGATAAAGAAGAGGAACAATAATTATTAATAAATTGTAAGCATCAAAAAATTCCAAAACTATTGAGGTGTTGAAATCCAGTAAGTTGTGTTTTAATCCAATCCTGTTCCTAGGCCTTGTTATTCAAAGTAACAAAAACGCAGTAGGCTATTATTTGCTTGAGTGTTATTAGGTTAAGTTAGTAGGTACAGTTGCCTAGCCTCTACTTAAGCTTAAGGTAGCTGTGACTCAAGTTACAGATTTCCTGTGACAGGCCTAAACAATTAACTTAATAAAAATATCAGTGAATGTATTCAACGGCTGCACTTTATTTTACGTCCTACACTCATTCGAATGAAAATATTGATTATTAGATTGTTTCATTCGATATATCGTTTGGTTAGTTAGGTTAGGTTAACCTTACCTAACTAACCAAATGATATAACTTATCTAATAATCGACATATCGATCGATATTTTCATTCGAATGAGTGTAGGACATAAAGTAAAGTGCAGCCCTTAAGTTTACGTCCTACACTCATTTGAATGAGTATTAAGTATTCGAGTAGGCCTATATTCGATATAAGTAGGCTATCAAGTTTGTATCATTTGTGTAACCTTAGAAATGGTAAGCGTGATAATACTGAGCCAAGAGATTTAACTTGGGTATTCCTACAGTTTCTTAACTGGGCTACGCTAACTTAAGTTAATATATTTTATTAAACTACAGTATTGAATTAAAAATATTGATTAATAATAGATATTTTAAAATATACCTATCTAAGTTTATTATAAAATTAAATTATCATAACCTAACTTAACCAACCAAACTTGCTGATGGTGAAAAAATCGCATGTAGGTTTACTAATCGAATCGATAGTTTCAATAAAATTAGCGTAGCCCAGTTAAGAAACTGTACCCTTTAACTTATTCTACCATCAATACTGTTAATACTATTCAATGAAATGGCGACGATACATATTAGGTATTTTAAGCCAAGTATGAATGGAAATTTAGTAGTCTATAAAATAACTTACAATAGGCAACGTCACAAAACTTAAGTTAGGTTAATTTCACACAGTAAACCAGGCAGCAAACCATGCAGTTAACTTATGGCAAAAAAACATGTAGGCTACCTAAGAAAATGAAATTGTGACACATACCTGAGTACATGAATAAAATTACAAATTAGGCAAGTAGGCCTATGGGTCAACTTTTTTCATATTAGCCCACTATACTTACAATTGATTGTAATTGGCAAAGGCAAATATCCTTGTATTATGTTTCTTTCATAACCTAAAATCAAATGAAAATTCGGTTTGAAGGTGTAAGGCGGGATAAATCTGAATGAGTTCGCGAACTAGCATGATCGGGCCATGGGACCGGGTTTTAATGAGTTCTATGCAGAGAAGGGGCCTAGGCCAAAAAATGGGGTTTTCTCATTTTTTACCCTTAAAACACAAAATTTATCAATTATTCTCTAGACCTTTATAAAGAAATTAAAAAAAAAATAATATGTTATCTATGTATCGTGTTGTGTATAGTGGAGTCGTGGATTAGTTGTCCGCTTAACTGTGTGTACGTGTGTGTAAGTGTTCGCTTAAAAAACTCAAGCTAACCGTTGTACCTATAGTGTTAAAAAATTGCACGAATCTTAATTATGACAACAATGGAAAGACACCATAAAATTTAGACAATTCCGTTCAGTAGTAATTATAAAACCCTCAAAATACATTTTTAAATTTGTCCCATAAGAATAACATTAGAAGCTACCTTCTTCTACTTTTTATTTGTTTATGTTTTGCGACCAACAAAAAGCTTGATTTATATTTTAAAGTATATATATATATAGGCTATATTTATTTTTATAAATCAAACTTGAAAGCTTTATTTTATACTAAGCTATTAATGTTTTAATAAAAAACACACTTTATTAGTTCCACCTGGGTAATGACACTTGGGTCCGAGAGAACCAGTGGCCTTCGAGTTTTTAAGTTTTTATCTACCAATCCAAATATTTGTACAAAGAAAATATGCCCTACCTTGAGCTATAGTTCTATATTCTGTTTTTACTTTTAACAAGAAGTAGGCATGAATGATGTACACTGCCTATTTTTGTTCCAGGTAAATTTTCTTGTAAAGCTTGGAGAATTGCAAATGTTTGGTGTTAATGTATGAGAGTACTTCATATGTAAACAATATTGATGAAGTTGTCTGCTTATTTGGGGCCAAATAAGAAGAAGAGAAATTTTCTTGGAAAAGAATCGAAAGCAATAAAGATAAGTAAGTTTGGCTAAGTTATCAATATGATTAAAAAGCATTTTCAGTCCTTGTTTAACATTAACACGTTGACTGCTAACGCCGACTCTAGTCGGCGTCGCTAGCACTTCAATGTGGCGCGCGCCGACGAAGGTCGGCACCAGACCAACAGAAATAGACGTTATAATCGTTGCCAGCCTGCCAGCTTAGAATGCGAGCTTTACTTTGGTGTAGGTTGGTACTAAAATTTCCCGTAAAATCCTGTCTGGCAATGCTTTTGTCCCGGTTTCGGGGATTTTTTCTCTTCAACCCACATTACAAAGACACTGGATACGGATCCGTGCAGTGCTGCTACCTTTGGGTGTTTCAGTGAACTACATCCACTCTCGGGGTAACGCAGCACAGTCACCACTGCTCTTTTGTGATTCGTCAGACTGAAATATTTGAATGCCAATTGCGTTCGCTGATTCGGTTGCGTGCCGGGGCTTCGCCCGCCACTGGGAGCGCCTGTACGTTGTTTTCAGCAGTCATCGTGTTAACTTATGATGTGCTGTGGCGGTTAAGTTTTTATATTTGGAAAAAAATACACTTTAATCAACTTACAGCACTGTTCAAGTTTCAGAGTTACCTATGGTGACAGAATAATACAAGGCATGTTATTTAAGTAAGTACTGTTTTTAAATTTCTCCGTTTCAGTGCTGCGATTGGCATTTTGGACATTTGTGCTGTGTATGTGGATGTATTGGCAAGCCTGCGCTGGAAATTCGGCACAAATCGGCTGTGTTTACATCCGGTTTAGAGCATTCAAAACGGTGCCGCCAATTGAGACTGCCGTCGCCTGTGAAGTTTGCGCTGTACCGGTACCTAATTAGATTTTTAAGTGCTAAAGGTGTGAAAGCCATTTAAATTCATTGACAGATTAGTGAAGTGTATGGGGAGAAAATTATGAGTGGCGGAATTGTACCTACGTAGGTGGGTAAGGGCATTTAAAGATGGCCGCACCAACGTTCATGAGAAGCAACGCCCAGGGTGGCCATCTATCAAATTGTCATGGTGATTTCCAGGATGTGAATCCGTTATCTTCGGAACCGGAGACTTACGCTGTACAACTACACCAGTCTAAATATGTGGAAAGATCAAGTTATTTGTTTATAGTTTATTGCCCCCACACAACTGGTAACAATAAAGTAGTTTCACATCTTTTTGTGGTAAAAAAATGTTAATACCAGCACAGAATTAAATTAGTTATTTTTCCCCAACACCCATTAAACCTTAGATACATCGATTGCTCATATGTAGGAGCTTGAACAAAAACGATCATACTAGTTTGATGAGACACCGTGCTTGTCAGATCATGTGAAATGAGAAGGGCTACTATCTTACTAATGTTATAAATGTGAAAGTTTGTGTGTTTGTTTGTTCGTTTGTGTGTTTGAAGTTCAATCACGTGTTAATTACTGGATGGATTGGGCTCAAATTTGGCATGATGATAGCTCACATTCACGATTAACATAGGTATAGGCATATTTTTATCTAAAAAATCCTTTTGGGCTCCGCCTTAGTGGCTCTAGAGTTTCCCATGTTAACCTTATGAGTACTCATATTTAAATGAAATTAAAGAATTTAGTCAGCTGTTTCAACTAAAAAGGTTGGTTCTATGATATGCAAAGGCATTAAGAGTTTATAAGATTTACCAACAGGATGCAGCACTATTATTTTTTTTTCATTTATGAAAACAGCTAATTTGAACTAAGCAGCAACAAAAAACTGTGATACACAATGAGAACTGTCTGTTTACAGTTATGTTTGTTTTTAATTTCACGAATAATTTGTGATATTTTGTGAATCTTTAATAATTAATTTTTAGCGAATTTCCCATATAGGGAATAAGCTATTACCGTAGTACTCATGGTAAGACCTGGACGCGGGACCGATTTTTTTTTCGTTTTGAGGTCCCTAGAGGCCAAAAACACCATCCGTTTAAATTCATATATATATATATATATATTTATATATTTATATATATATATATATGTGTCCGTTAGCACGATAACTCGAGCAAAAATGATCCGATTTTGATGAAATTTGGTACAAACGTGTAAACCTACGTTTATTCGAACGAGTTCGCGATCCAGCATGATCGGACCATGGGAACGGGGGTTTACGGGGGGTTTTATGGGGTAAAAATAGGTTTTTCCCATTTTTGATCCAAAAAACATAAAATTTAGCAATTTCTTTCCAAATCATTTTGTAGAGCTTAAAAAAACTAATAATTTTGTATATTCAAGCGTTATTATACGCCTAATGGTTACTGAGAAAATTCAAAAAAATTGTAAATTTTAAATTCCAATGTTATTCTTATGGAGAATAAGTAAACTGTTGTAGTTTGCTTGTTTATGAACATATTTTGATCAAATTTGGAAAATGTTTTTATTTCTTACTAACTATTAACATTTTACAAAAAAAAAAACAGTTTTACCCTCCCTGATACAGCAAACCTAAGTACTTGTTAAACTAATTCTATTTAAATAGGGAATAAATGTTATATTTTTAAGTAGACATTTCAGTGTAAATCTAATCAGTCAAATGGAAATTTGCTTAGTCTGCAGGTTTGCTGCGGCGGGGGTATTTTCTTTTCTTAGGGTGAAGTGGTAGAACATTATGGCTATGGTAGATGTGTAATACTATAGTCATAGACAATAGAGTAAATATAGACTGTCAAAGAAAGGTTTTGCAATCTGCGCTAGAGCGTTTTTGCCGTTCGATATCAGTTATCGGTATCGTCGTCGTTGTCGACAACTCGCCAGCTGTTACCAGCACTACCACTCTTGCAAACGAAATGATTATTATTCGCTATTGTCGTCTTCTGCAATCGCGTCAAAATCATGAACATCTTCCGCGGCTGTGTAGACATCATCATTGAATGCCGTGGTCACGAAACGTCATCGTCATCCACAATTGCGGCAAAATTGTGAACATCTTCAGCGGCCGTACATACAATCGTCTTGCGCGATCGCAGAAAAGACGTGATCATTTTTCCCGTGGTCCGTGGTCACGAAAACGTCGTCTAGCACAGTCGCGGTGTAAGAACATCTCCCGCGGTCGTGTAGACTCATCATTTATCGTCTTGCGCCGTCACGGAAACGTGATCGTTGTCTAGCACGATTGAAGTAAAATCATGCAATTTACCGACTTTGATATCAAAATAAAGACTAAATCCAAACTTTTCAAGACCATTTTGAAATTCAATACTAATACCTGACGTTTTCCCTGACTACTAGACATCCTGGTTAAATTTTATTTTGACCTTGCAAATATAAAACAAAACCTTCCAATAAACCACTTCCTAAAATTATGGATTAATAAAGAAAAACTTTGAATCATTGTAATGAAACTACAAAAGTATAACAAATATATGTTTAAAAAAAATACAATAAAAGATGGCATTTAAATTAATTTACTGCTTAATATTAGCCTAAATAAGTCAGTAAACTCCAATTCCGGGGGATTCCTCCAAAGTTGGCAACACTACTCCCAACTACCAAGTTGTTATGGAAACGGTCGCTAGCACTTGATGCTGCAGCGGCGTGCGCCGTAACTACACATTACCCCTGGTGGTCGGCGCCGGAATATACGCTAACCGCAGCACAGCTGGCCACTCTACTCCTGCCCAGTATGGTCAGACCAACTAGCATATGATTTTATGAAGCCGTACTTGGGCTACCGCTGTATGGTTTCATCATGACATGTATTTCAATCATTCACTGGGTTATAATTTGTATGTATTTGAATGGATACATTTAATACTTAATTGATAAAAGACTATGAAAACCGTTTAGTGCTCTATGATGTTCTATAATGCTATGGTGGACACAAGAGCGTAATCTGATTTGGTTCTACAGTACTTTACTTTACTTTAATTTTAGTAGTAGCCTGCTGTTAGCAGGTTTGTGCTGTGCTGGGCAAGTGTGTGCAATATCCATGGAAAAATTATGTTGAATCCTCTCACCTTGTGCAAGGATCCTTTAAGTCAATCTCAATTTCTCTTGCAGCAAAGTCCAGGACAAATTAACCACCAAGCTAACAAGACACCCCTTTCTCTATTTAGTTCTGATAACAATTTTGAGTTATTGTTTATTTGTTTCAGGATATCATGACAGAAGAATGCAGAAGGGTTGCTCAGCTCTTAACTTCGCCTTATAATCTTTATTTATTTCAATTGTGTTGTAAGAAGTATTTTTTAAACAGTAAAACTTTCTCCAATTTATAGACTACCTATTATGATTCATTGTTGTGTTTTATTAAGGTCCCTACCCTTATCTAAAAAATATTTTATAAACCAAAATGTTTAATGCTGTTCGCCTATTATTCTTGATGAAACATTAAAATACACTCCATTATTGAGCCTAATCATATTGATTTTCTACTTTAAAAAAAGTAAGTAACACAACCAAGACCAGTCCTTAAATAAAAGTACTTCATAATTATCCCAGTAAGACATAATGGATTTCCAAATTCCTCCCTAGGAGTTAATCTGCATCCGGACAACCAAATTTTTAAGATTATTATATTTAAAGAATAGGCTTGCTAATACAAATATTATGTTCATTTATAACTTTTATCTCATTATCTATACATAAAATTGATTAAAATATGTGAATGCGACTATTATTACTGGAGGGGAGGGGGCGCCACAACCACGTTTGCTCCGGGCGCTGCCAACCCTAGGGATAGCCCTGATATTTACCTTAGGCCCCATTTATGCTCAAGTTTGGTTTGCAACTAAGGCTTGGTGTGTCGCCCAAAACAAGCGACAAGCAAAATTTAAATTTCTTTCTTTTGTACCGAATGGTGGGGAAAGCTTCTAGCCAAGGGTCTGTCTCAGTGACCAGTGTGTCTCCAACCTTCCTATGCGTGGGGTGAGTTGTTAAGTTGAGTCATGCAAATCAATCCGTAGTTTGCAGTGTTAGTTGGCAAAAATTTAATTTTCAACAAACCCTAAAGCCACAGCCGCATGGATATAATTGCCAGGGATATAATTTGTTTGGAATTAAATTAAGTTAGGAAAAACTCATTTCATCCTCACCAACTTATACATACCGCTCCCGAAATTTCACGTCTTAGTTCAACCAAAATTCAATTTGTCCGCATTTTGGAAAAAAACTCATCCTATTCTCTCTGATTCCTTAAGTGTTTTATGTCTGACGTCCAGTTGTAAGTAACTATATATTATTTATTGTATTAGTGTTATAATTACTCTTAGTGGGTCGTACAAGCCGTTACATTTTATGTTATGTTTTGGCCTCCTGTTCTTTGAGCACATGTTTTCAGATTCAGATACTGATAAGTACATTTTGTATCCATTTTGATCTAATTAATTGGTATTGATACATAGTCAGTGATATTATCATTATTCTAAAAAATAAATAAATGTTCAATTATTTGTGATAAAATTAACGTAATTTGATTAAAATGTTTGTATTATAATCGTCATTGCAAACACATTGTTCCCATAACACAGTATTATTCCAAACAAAAAGTTACAAGAGTATAATTGCCAATAGTTTTTTTTTATTTTTGCCAATTACTTGGAAAATTTAATACACTTGGAAGGGCTGCAGGTTGGATTCTGGCTTGCGATTGTAGTTAGTGGGAGTGTATTCCAATATAGACGTATCCGCCATAACACTCTTTAGCTATAAATAATAAATAATCTTTCATACCATTGCCTTGAGTTACGTACAGTTATACTGTGTAACAAATTGGACAACGAGATCTACACTTCAATTTTATAGTCTTTCAGGGTGGCTATAGTGACCTGGAAATGTCAGGAAATATTAAATATCTGGAAAAGTCAGGAAATTTTGTCATAAGTCAGGGAAAATTGTAAAATGTTTAAAATAATTGTTTGTAAAGGTCGATCTGGTGAGAGTACGTATGCCGTGTCGCGGTAAACTAAAAAATATGTTTGTACAAGTAAATTTTGTGTTTTTGTACAAATTAAATTTTGTTGTAAACTGTGTATCATCTTATCAAACTCTGTTTAATTTTATTAAAGCAAGCTGCAAAGTTTGAATATAAGCTACAAGCCTGTATCTATAGATTTTATGTATTTTTTGCATGTCAACAAACATAAGATATTCTTCAGATAAAGATTAGTCCTTTTGAAGATTTAGTTAGAATTAAAATTGTAATTTTGAATTTTTCGATCAGGGAAAGTTTAAAAAAATCATGGAATCGTCAGGGAAAAGTCAGGGAATTTTTCAATGTGATTTCACTAGCCAAAAAAAAAAAACTAGCATTTGTCTTTGGATTTTGTGAGTGTTGGATCGTCTCAAACATTAAAATTTCAAACCTTAATGTCACTGTCGCGGCTATATTGTAACCGCGCCAATCACTTCATTCCTCTACCGAGAGGTTCGTTATACAGGGTGTTTTTTTTTAAACTTGCATCTTTATTTATGTAAAAACCGTAATAGATAGAAATATGCAGTTTGCGGGAATCATCTATTGACGTAGGGGGCCCAATTATTTTGAATTCAACGTTACATTCACATTCCCCCCCTTTCCCCCCTGCCCCCAACTTAATTTTTTTAAATAGCAAGGTACCCATTGTGACATATCAAATGAAAGAGCATAAAAAAAGAAAATGTTTGATGAAAAAAAATTTAAAATCGGTTCATAAATTTGCGAGATATTTTCCCCCCCTCTTCCCCGGAACTTAATTTTTTTTAATAGCAAGGTACCCCTTGTGACATATCAAATGAAAGAGCATGAAAAAAGAAAATGTTTGGTGAAATTTATTTTTCATTTGATATGTCACAAGGGCGGGACCTTGCTATTAAAAACAAGTTATGGGTAGGGGAAAAGGGGGGGGATTATCTCACAAATTCATGAGCCGATTTTAATTTTGTTTCACAAAAAATTTTCTTTTTTCATGCTTTTTCATTTGATATGTCACAAAGGGTACCTTGCTTTAAAAAAAAATTAAGTTCCGGGGGAGGGGAGGGGGGGAATATCTCGCAAATTTTTAACCGATTTTCAATTTTTTTCGTCAAACATTTTCTTTTTTCATGCTCTTTTATTTGATATGTCACAAGGGGTACCTTGCTATTTAAAAAAATTAAGTTGGGGGGAAAGGGGGGGGGAATGTGAATGTAACGTTGAATTCAAAATAATTGGGCCCCCTACGTCAATAGATGATTCCCGCCAACTGCATATTTCTATCTTGCGGTTTTTACATTAATAAAGATGCAGGTTAAAAAAAAAAAACACCCTGTATAGTAGTGATAACATTAATGGCAATTATATTAGGGTAAAAAGGCCATACATTTCATAACACATCACCTTGTGTCATCGTTATAATATAATTATATTCTCCACTGAAGTTATTTTTAAATATATGGAATTGTGATTTATTTACTGATTATCATTAACCTTTCGTATTTCAATCCTAGCATAAATATAGTTCTTTCAAAGAGTCGTAATTATAACCAATAAGAATCCACTACAAAAGATACACCTTGGGTGCAACACTAAGTTTAGTGTGGTAGTGTGCAAGGTAGAGTCAGTGTAGTCTTAAGATTGTTTTCAGCCTTGGAAGAACTAAACACTACCAAGAACGTCCCCTAAGGACTTCTGGGGGTAATTTTATTCCACAGGGCCCACTAAATTTTTATTTAACATCAAGCTTCCACTGCCAACGCTCTGTTGTAATATTTTTGTTCACTTAGTTCTTCCAACCCAGGGGCAACCAATTTGTAAAGAACCAGTCAGTCGAGAGGTATTTGAGAGTATTTACGAGTAAAAATATATTTGAATATTTTTATATTAAATATGTTGTTAGAAATCTGTTTTTTTCTTTACACTTTTACTTAGTACTGAATCACTTGATCAATACAAATAAAATCTTAAATGAAATTATTACTTATTCCTTATTACATTACATTATGACTATTTTGGTAACTAAGTGCCTTCTTGTGTCAAGTTTTGCTAATGACGTAGAGTTCAGTATGGATTTTAGAATTTTAGTACTGTTTATAAATACTTGGATATACCATTTTTGATATTAGAAATTACATCAATGGACAAAACTATTGTCAAACGTATGTTTCCGATCTTTGGGAAGAATATTTTAATTTTTCTTGCAATAAAAAATCATGCTTGGGTTACTTTTTAACAGAAAAGTTGCATTAACTTCTAATGTTTACAGGAATGGGGGTTGCACTATTTTGTAGTGCTTGTCCTGTGACACTGACCGCTACATGACAAGATCGTTTTATTTGGCTAAATGAAGGCGTAAACAGTGAAACAAATTGTAAACAAAACATGACCTCTATAATCTACATTGCACCGTACAGAAATAAAACTAAAATTTGGGCTTAAGCTGTTCCATAAGTATGACAAATCTACTAAATATGTTTTGATCGTAGATCAAACATCAAGTCCCTTAGAAGATTTGTTATTCTTGTTGAAAAGCTGAAGCCAATTTTATTGCTATTCTATGCCAACTGTAGAGGTTGTATTTCTTTTACAATATGTTTCTTAATTGTTATTTCAGTTATTTAAAACCTAATTTAACCAAATAAAACTATCTTATCATAAAAATATCTGGTCTCCTAGTTATATAACCAAACAGTAAAGCACAAAAATCATAAAATTACCCTAATATAATAGAAACAAGATTTCGTTTACACTAGCGATCAGTGTCGACGTACATGAAATAGAAACGAAAAACAAGCTTCAAAATCAACAATGGGACGAGAAGTCTACTTATGTTGCATAGTCTACGGTTTTATCTATGAAAAAGTATTTTTACACCGGTATTACACAATATTAAAAAATAAATATTACCTATACAATAGTTATCATCCATAGCATAAATAAGCAACACGAGCAATATTAAACTTATGATAATATATTTCAGCTTACATAATTAAAGTAAAACAGCAGATACAAAAAATTATTCCATTATTCAACAAAAAACCATTTAATATATACATCTATAACATATGTCGTCCAGGAGTAAAAAAAACTTGAAATACTTTTGGTTTTGCTACGTTGGCTGCACTTAACGCGACTTCTTATTGCCGAGTAGCGGCTGCTAGTCCATACGATAATTTGAGGACCATTGCACGATAATTTTTTTGTCTACTCAGGATAGATCAGCTGTCCCATCCGCTATGACGTAATTCCCGCGCGTTATAAGCTATGCCACGTTTTTAAAATTATAAGCTATAGAACAAACGAGATTTTATAAGCTGCAGCACATTTGAGCTATGCCATTATAAGTTATGCCACATTTTAAGAAAACCGTTATAAGCTATGCCACATTTCTACGATTATAAGCTATGGAACAATTTAAATTTTCCATTATAAGCTATGCCACATTTTCAAGATTATAAGCTATGCAACAAATTCGCAATTATAAGCTATGACATTATAAGCTATGACATCGTACCGGCTGGAGTACGAGAGTGAACTCTAAACAGCCTATTGTGACTCCTATTGGCTTTACTGTTACTGTACATTGTACTGGTAAAAAAAAATACTAAACTTTGGTTTAGTAAAATCATATTGAAATAAAATAAAGACTGTCAAAGGAAGGTTCCATGATGTGCCGTTAGAGCGTGCTCAGTGTGTGATTTACTGCCGTCCGGCGTCACAAGGCCACACTAAAAAAACTAAAAAGTTTTTTTTAGTGTGGCCTTGGTCGTCGGCACTGTCGGAAGTCGGCTCCTCATCATATGCTACCAGCAGACGCTGCAGCGGTGTGCGGCTACCTAGCCTAGCGGTGGACGCCATAGTGGAAGGAAAATCCGTCCATGGGTGGACGCAAGAACAAATTAACCGCAGCACTGCCACGGCTACTTTTAACTCCAGACCGTGGCCTGGTAGAATTTCCAACGTCCGCAAGTAGTGTTGTTATTAGTGCCAGACGTCCCAAAGATAACATGGCAGGCATCAGGGTGACACCAGCTAATTAATTCGAAAATCATTCATTTAAATTTATAAACATTAAAAGATTGAAAATAAAACATATAGAACTAAACCAAAACAATATAAATTAAAAATCTATTTCTGTACATTTAAACAAAACAGCTGTAACAACAACACAAGGGTTGTTATTTATTATTTGTTACTCACTGTTGTTATTTATTAATTGTTACTCACTGTTATTAATTTTTCATTGTTAGTTGTTATTTATTCTGAGAATATTTATTTATTGTTAGGTACTCTATTGCACTCAATCTTTGTCACTTTTTATTTATTTAGAGTATAACATAATTGAACAGCCGTCCATGTATTCACTCTTGATCAGTTTATTTGTTACTGTTAAGCATGCACAACAATGTATTTAACTGTATTGGTTGTAACCGTTAAATGAATAAATAAATAAATAAACACAACTTGAACCTCCCGGGGCTTACAAATGGTTCCAAACAACCCCCTCCTGAAACCCCCCCCCCTAAACCACTAGATGCGGTCCTGTTTGTACTTGTACCATAGATTAAACATACTCCTTGAGGAGTATGTTTAATCTATGCTTGTACCCATCCATCGACAATCGTCATCGTCATTATTCTAAATTATCGGCAATGACGGCAATCTTATAATTTTTATAATTAAAGGTATGGGTTGCCTTTTTTCTTTTCATCTAATATTAATAATACGAAATGTATACAAAATGTAAATTTGTTTCACATAATGTAAGACAATAGGCATTCTAAAATGTAAATACAGTAATAAAAAATTATTTCAATACAAGTTTGAATTAAGATGATTTATAAAAAGAGCATAAGCTTCTGTTTATTGATCAGACAATAAGTTAATTTATGTTATTTTATTATGTATTCGCGTTAAGTGTACTTAATCAACGCGTTTGTATAGTCGTGTTGTATTTTTTGGTCTTTTTGTTGGGACAAAGACATCAAAAACAATTTGAAATAGAAAATTGAAAAAAAAAAACAGTAAGTATGCACTAAAGCGGAAAAATATTCAGAACAGAACAGATCAACAGATGGTGTTTTATTAATTTGTATACCTAGGCAGGAGGAAGAATTTTCGATTTCGTCTTGTCGTCTTGACGTCTTGTCTCTGTGTAAAATAAACTGTTAACTGTTATGGTTGTCGAAGACTTCCTTTTATCGAGATATATAGGCCTATTTTAGTTTTCATACCCGCAAGTACTTTGGTCACGTGACTACATACTTTCATTTAATTAATTAATTAGCCTTAATAAGTAAGTAAGATTATGGGTCCAGTTAGAGATCAGATTTGTATGTAAGTTAAGCTGCGTGTTTGGCGATACGACCTGTAACATTTAAATAACGTTTTCAACTACCCACAGGTAAGTCTTTATCTTTGTAATGCTCTTTGTTATTATCCATTTAACAATTACCTAGCTCAGTTATGGTGTTTTGGCCTACTATTTTACACGCTATATAAACTGTCATTACCACACATTAGACTATCTGTTTGGCCCAATATACACTCTGATAAACTTCATAGGTCTAAGCCCACAAATACTAGAAAAGCCCCGGTATGGATCATAAACATAAACAAATAGCGTTTTTGGCCCGAAAGTAAACAAACCCCCTATACTACATTAACATATGGATTTGTTTACATTCGGGCCAAAAACGTCATTTTTGATGTTAATGATCCATACCGGGTCTTTTCTAGTATTCGTGCCTAGGCCCTAAAGGCAGCACTCTACTTTACGTCCTACACTCATTCGAATGAAAATATTGATCGATTATTCGATATCGAGGCTGCACTTTACTTGACGTCCTACACTCATTCGATTGTTTTTTCGATTCGATATTTTCATTTGATTGTTTCATTAAATATATCGTTTGGTTAGTTAGGTTAGGTTAACCTTACCTAACTAACCAAACGATATATCGAATGAAGCAATCGATATATCGATCGATATTTTCATTCGAATGAGTGTAGGACGTCAAGTTAAAGTGCAGCCGATATCGATTCATCGATATTATGATTAACTTAGGCCTAGGCCTACTCACTATTTCGATTGCGGTATTCTAACTTATACGTCGATTATTGCATTGTTTTTGTTTTAAAATTTACATTTTTGTTTATTTTTAAAATAGTTTTTGTATAACTTAAGTAAAGTCATTTTTAAAGAACTTCACCACGAATAATCGGAAATTTAACTTAGAGTAGGGCCTATATGATGTAGGTAATCCTGAAAATTGTTTCAAATGGATGCAAGATCAAGGATTACTATGTGAAACCTGGCACAACCATGGTAACAGACCTATGGAAATCATATTTTGGATTAGTAGCCTACATTAAATCTCGGTTAAGACCTATAACCATTTCTCAGTCAACCATAGTAGAAATTTCGTGGATCCAATTAAGTAAGTTCTGCTCATACCCAGACAATTGAATCTTCATGGAGATGTCTCAAAAAATCATTGGGAACTGGCATAAAAGGGGAAAATTTATCGTATCATTTTGCTAAATAAGTTAAGTACCGGTATCTGTTTCGTAGGAATGTTAAGATGTCTAAGAAAGACCCTTTCTTTTCCTTCGTTAAAGCTGTGAAACAACCATGTGTCTTCGGTGTGTTGAGTCGAGACTCGACACACGACCGACGCGCGTCTACATGTCCGTAGTAAATAAAATAAAAGTAGGCCTACAGTGTATTTGTCTTTTATTCGTAATGTATATAAGTGATAAGTTCGTGTACGTGTTCCAAAACTTCAAGACGCACCCTACGGGGAAGATCAAGATCTTATATTAGGACTGATGATGGCAATTTATTCTGCCGAAATGCATATCCTGTAATAGGACACAGCACAAGGATCGACTGGCGGACACAGGTAATTTAACCTGTTATTGTATACCGGTAGGCCTAATGACTTTTATGTCGTGGCACTGGCTTAAGTTATATAATTGGACGTCCTGCAACACTCCCCAAAAGCAAAATCCTTATCTTACCAGACCCAGAAGCCATTTGTCACTAACTTTAGCTATCGATTAAATTATGCTATTAAGAGGTTGATATTAGATAGTAACAAGACCGGATGTTTAGACCGCTCCCTTACAAAAAATGTTGGTAGGTATTTATTTAGTATAGATGCCTCCAAACAAAATTTTAATTTTGATATCTTACTTTATAGTTTTTTACCTCCTGGATCCAAATATACCATTATTTTTCACCGCTGATGAATATTTCTCAAGATATCACCATCAAACTATACAACATTACAATAAACAAGGTAGGATGTATAACATTACAATTGGAATGAACTGTGGGTTAACTAAGCCTGCGGCTGACTCTTTTCAACCACACGATAAGAAACTCCCGTCACAAGTTAAGGTTAAGTGAAGAGAGTAACATGGTTGATGAGAAGAATAACTTCGTTGATTAAACATAACTAAAACATTTCAAGTGATTCTGTAGTCAATAATGTTTTCTATAAAAGTAATTTCGTCACATTATGGAGATATAGATGGACTAGTGGACTAATTACATGTAGTTCTTATTTAGGCATGTCAGGATGGTAGGTCGACCTTTATGTGAATTCGTGACTGCATTAAGTGTTTTAAAATTAGGTTAGATTAGGAAGGTAAAGTTTAGGTTATAATGAATCAAGTTGTTAACTTAGTTTATGTCACCTGCAGACTGTTTTTGTAAAATTAAATTCCTGAGAAAAACACTTAAAATTACTATTTCAAAAATGCTTGCAAATAATGGTACCGGTAGGCCTATATTTGGATTCAGGAGGTAAACAACTATAAAGTTAGACATCAAAATTAAATATTTGTTTGGAGGCACCCTATCTATATATTAATTTGAAACTGTTTTTCTTTGTGACAGCTAATTTGAGAGAACGGCTGGGTGTAGAAACTCGGTAGGGGTCTCTAAAGAAAGGTCTTGGTCTGTAGATGAGCCATCAAAAGAGAAATGTGGTAAATTCCTTTGGGGCTCTGCCCCAGTGGCCTTTAAATTCCCATCCCATGTTATTCTTATGGAGGAAAAACGGGGTTTTGTCACAGCTAATTACAGAGAAAGGCTGGGCGTAGAAACTTGGTAGGGGTCCAAATGATTCAAATGATTCAAATGATTTATTAGGCCATTCAGTGCATACAGGACAATAGGCTACGTCAACAATACAATAAATAATAAATAACATGCCAAGCTTCTTCTAGCATTCTTGACTAACAAAATTAAATTAAAAGCTGAAAAAAAAACATGCAGGATCTCAATCAATATAAACATACAAAGCAATGCATGCAACTAAAAATAAAAAAAAAAATGAAAACTACATGCTGCAAGCCATGCAAGGCAGAGAAAAATAAATAAATTTACATTTTTGTAATACCTCTACTGGACTACTGTGGGTTCAACCCAATAGTAACAAGCTGTGCATTCCAAAACTCTTTTATGGAATAGAAAGGATTGGCAAGCATCCAAGCTTTTAGTGTGGTCGCAAACTTGTTCGGTAAGAGTTGTCTTACAGTTATGGGTAAGGCATTGTAGAACCTTATTCCTGCAACAGGAAAGCAGTTGAGAGTTAAATCTAGTCTAACTCTATCTCTAAAAATATTTTCATTGTTCCTAGTGCTATAATGATAAACATTATTAACCAATGGAAAAGCTGATTCATTGTTCTTAATCTCTAACAGGCATTGGTAAATAAATACATTGTGTACAGGCATTATACCATGCTGAACAAACAGAGGTTTACAATGCTCAAGCTGATGGACTCCACACAAGACCCTGACAGCTTTCTTCTGTAGTTTGAGGACTTTTTGCACTCCAGGGGAGTGACCCCAGAGCCTAGTGCCATACAGAATATGAGCATGGAAAAAAGCTAAGTACGCAAGTCGAACAAATTCAAATGGCATGTCAGCCTTCAACCGTCTGAGCAAATGGATTACACGACTTAGCTTACCACACAGGATTTCAATATGATCATTCCAATCAAGCTGAGGGTCAAGGGTGAAGCCCAGCAGCTTTACAGTGTTTTCTTTCCTCAGTTCCCTAGAAAGACTGAAAGTGATGTTTTGAGTTTTGGCTTGGTTCAGGCATAATTTATTGTTGCGAAACCAGATAGAAGCTACATCTAATAATTCCTGCACAGCAACTTTAGATACAGAAAAATCTGAGTGACTAGAAAAGAGAGTTGTATCATCTGCATATAGCAGGACATTGCCTGCAACACTGTGATACAAGTCATTGATTGAGATTACAAAAAGGAAGGGACCCATAATAGACCCTTGCGGGACTCCATTGTTCACCATCAGAGGACTGGAAGAGTTACCATTCCAAGTCACAACTTGAGACCTCCCTTCAAGATAAGATTTAATCAGTGAGAGAGCATCGCCTCGTACCCCGTACCTTTCGAGCTTTGACAACAGGAGACTATGTGACACACAGTCAAAAGCGCGGGATAGGTCACACATTATAACGGAAGTAGAATTTCTAATCTCTAGACCATTTAAGATTTCTTGAACAAGACAGTCCACAGCCTGAACGGTGGACTTTCCTTTTTGGAAGCCAAATTGAGCGGGCACAATAAGGCGATGCCTCTCAAAGTAGCTGTACAGCTGCTCTAACATGACTGCTTCAAGCACCTTACCAAAGATGGGGATGATAGATATTGGTCTGTAACTTACAGTACTGTCCTTTGGTCCCTTTTTGTACACAGGTACAGTCCTACTAATCTTCAGAGCCTCAGGAAAGACTCCTTCTCTCAGAGATTTATTTACAATATCTACAATGATTGGCGCAACTACATAGATACATCTTTTTAAAAGCTCAACAGACATGTTATAAAAATCTTGACTCTTAGAGGATTTAAAGCTACTGACTACTCTAAGCAGCTTATCAACAGTAACAGGTGTCCATGAAAAATTAGTGGGAACAAATGGAACAGAATTAAGGCAATCATAAGGAACAGATGGATCAGGTTTACAAGAGAGGATTAATTCATCAACAGAATCAAGAAAATATGAATTAAACTCATCAGCAGTGCAAAAGTCTTTAGCAGGAACAGTAGTGGGGGTTTTATGCCTATTGATGTAGTTCCAGGCAGCCTTGCATGCATTTGGAGATGTAGCAATGGCAGTAGCAGTAGCAAATTGCTTCGCCTCCCTTACCTTCAAACGATAATGCTTCCTGAGATCACGGAGGTAGGGCAGCAATTGTGGGTTACTCTTGCATAAGTCACTGATACCTAGGATAAAGTTCTTAAAGGCAGAGAGTTCAGGTGTGTACCAGTTGTTTACACTGCACCCAGCATTTGCATTGGCTGGAGGCACAGTCCTGTAGGTTTTATTTCTTAAGGGAAAACAATAGTCAAAAACTTTTCTGAACTTATCAAAGAAATAGTCAAAGGATTGTTCAGCATTAAATGATTCTATTTCAGAGAGCCACTTTACTGCCAGATCAGTCAATACACATTGAAAGTAACAGTAGTTACTTTCATTAAATTGTCTGTAAGTTACAGTTTTGACAGGATTATTTAAGTAGTCAGGTTCCTGCAGACCATGTTTGGATACACCTTCAGGTAGATCTAGTTTAAAAAAAACATGTTTGTGGTCAGATATCTGATCTACACTTACATGGGCCATGTATCTCCAGCTATCAAGATTGGTAAGAACAGTGTCTAAAGGAGATAGACCACGGGTTGGTTCATTGACACTGAAGAATATATCATGGCTGCGGAGAATGTTCCTGAAATCACTGGCCTCACTTGGATGGTTGAGTATATTCACATTGTGGTCAGTGCCGATTATAATATCTAACCCCAGGGAAGTTAAATAAACTAGACACATGTCAAGTAGATAAAAAAAGCGTTCAAAACTACCACTAGGCGAGTGATACATGGTGACAACAATGAGATTCAAGTTAGAGATGATTATACCTGTAAATTCTGCATGCAGTTCTTCACAGTACTCACTTAAGTCTAACAAAGAGTAGTTCCATTTAGTATTAATGTAAATTGACACACCCCCCCCCAAGGGGTTTTTCGACAAAAACAAGATACAAGGTCAAGGCTATTGATTCTAGAGTAGTATGCAGTTTCTGCCTCTAACAACCAATGTTCAGACACACAAAGCACATCAATGTCCAGTTGACAGCAAAGTATTTCAAGTTCAGCAATTTTATTACGTATAGATTGCACATTTATAGCACACACAAGCAGGCTACTAGCAGATTTTCCCGTACTAGGCAAGATTTCAGGCCCATAACCTAGGATTGAGTTTGACGGGGCTGCATCTTCCCTAAAAAAGTGCGTGATTGTACGAATTGAGGCTTGAGTCTCGGGACAAATTTTTGTTCAAACTCCTTGACCAATGAACCCTTAGGCCAGTAGTCAGCCTGTAAAAGTCTATTTGCATCCGCAGGTTGGACACCTATTTTAAAAGATCGATAAGGCCTATCAAACTTCGACTTTAGAAGAATAGACTCACCTGAAATTCCATCATCAGAGATGTAATTATCAATATCTTCCTTGGTTACATCATTGGCTATACGAGATAGGAAGATCCACGTCTTTTTTTCAACGGCTTTAACCTTAGTTTTAGCGACAGAACCTACATCCACAGACTTGGTGCCTATAATTGGTACAAGCCTATGGGACTTGCGTCTGTTCCTTCGGGATACATGTGTCTGCCAGTTATCAGTAGAAGGAGAAGCCCGAGCACTGACCTTTGTCTTTGTCGGCAATGGTGGAAAATGCTTGTCTAGGCCTATATTCAGATCACCAACAGCAGGAGTCACAAGGTTCACTGAACTGTTAGAATGGTCAATTAAAGTAGAATGGTCTTCTGAAGGAAGATGTATTACAGTTTCATCAGTCTCAATTACAGCGCTAACACTGTCAATTTTTGAAGTGTCGACAGACCTAGGATTCAGATTCAGACCTAACCTCACTTGACAACAAACATCGTCAACGCGTTTATTAAGTTGTAGGTTGTCGTTTGCAACTCCATTAACTAAGGTGACAAGCTTACTTACTATTGAGTTTAGGTTGAGAAACTCTTCAGGATTACCAATCTTTGTAAGCACCTGGTCTACCCTAGTATAGCAAGAGCCACAGAACCACTTAACCTTCGAATCCAGGTCACCAATTTTACTGTATTCAATATCCGTCAAATTAACACATTTAGAGTGATACCAGCTTCTACAAAACCCGTCACAATAAATTGCAGAGTGATTGTCTTTTACACAATTTCTACAGACTCCACAAATTTCGAGTTTGATTTTGTCCATAACCTCAATGAAGCTTGACTCAAATATACAGTACTACAATCAATCAAACACAAATATTATTACAAAATTGTTTGTTCAAAATATTTAGTGGACTTTAAATAAACACTTTTAACATTAGTTAAAATTAGAAAAATTAAAAAAAACCACTTAAAATCGCTTTTAAATGTGGGACTGTCAAACTTAAGTACTTTTACATCATGCAGCAGACGACTCTAAAGAGAGGTCTTAGTCTGTAGATGAGCCATCAAAAGAGAAACAAGGTAAATTCCCTCAGAGGCCTTTAAAGTCCCCTCTGCCCCAGAGGCCTTTAAAGTCCCCTCTTCAGATGTGTTTACATTACGACCATATGCATACATTTACACTACTTTTGAATGAAACAGCTGTTAATATTTAAATTGTGATTTACTAAATTTGTCAAAATTAAGTATTTGCAATGGTTTTTTCTGATTTTAAAATCGATTTTCTTCTGAATCGTGCCATGTTTTGCAATATAATGTTCTATTACCAAATTAGTGGAAAATCCTAATATCACAGTAACCCTTAAAATTATTTCTTATGGAGTTAACTTATATCTATTGTATGGGTTGGTTTCTGGCTTTTTTACCACCTCTTGGAGATTGCACGTAGACAATATTCTTTGGCGTATTGCATCTGTAGTAGACGATACTTGGTTGGTGTAATTTTTAAAATTAGAATGGAAAAAAGTGAGAAATACTGGGCAATTTGGTATACTAAAAATAAAACTGAATTAACACTGTGCTACATTTCTTGAGCAATAATTGAAAGAGCCGATTTGCAAACAATGGAAACAGGAAAGTCATAGAACACAACCAAGTACAGTAGAAGAAATAGAAATGTTAGTTTTTTTTTTCATTTATATTCGTTATTATAGACAACCTAATGCGGCTATGAATGGGGAAAATTTGTAGAAAACACGAAAAAAACAAGGTCAGCTTTTGAAAAAAGATAAGATATTCACAAAATATTTTGATTATATCTAACTGCTGTGTACATCTTGAGTATTTCCATAATCTTTGAGTCGACTCTTATAAAGTCATCGGAAATTATGACTGTTATTCGTTTTAAAATAACGCCTGTAATGCTTCACAATTGCTCGAATTCGAGCAACAGGTACACTAGTACTAAATAATTACCAAAACGTTGCAAAGTGCCACTGGGGTACATAAACACCACAACATAAAAAAACCCCTTGCTTAACCTTAACATAATTGATAACCTTAACTAAATTAATATAGAAAACGCTCAGTCCAAATCCACTTAATATTTTTCCTAGGCTATGAAGTTTCTTACCTATTAATTAATTTGGATTAAATTTTCTTTCAGTTGTAGCACTGGAGCAAGGATAATTAAGTTAGGCTTACCAAATTTAGAATTCATTTCCTACTACTGGAACGTTAGTTATTAATAAATAATAATAATATTACCTTCTTCCGTTCCAAATGATTGTAGTTATTTACGACGCGTTTCGTCAGCACAGTGACATCATCAGGTATCCGCTATCGCTTCGTCTTGAATATATTAACATAAAACAGTCAACAGTGCGTACGTGAGTTGTGGCCACCGCGACGACAACAACGACCGGTCTTTAAATGTATTAAATGTGTGTTTGTGTATTGTGCAATGACTGTTTTATGTTAATATATTCAAGACGAAGCGATAGCGGATACCTGATGATGTCACTGTGCTGACGAAACGCGTCGTAAATAACTACAATCATTTGGAACGGAAGAAGGTAATATTATTATTATTTATTACCAAATTTACTCCCCATTTATTGGTGACACATTCTAGATAGATTAATTAAACATAGGCTTAGTGTAACTTAATTAATTGCAAAAAAATAGATTTTATAGAAAAAATATAGACCCAACCGACTTTGTAAAGGAAAAAGTCCAGGCAGTCTGTTATATAAAGTGATTTCCCAATGTAAAATAATTATTTTGGTTTTACTTCTTGTAGGCATTAACTTGTTTGTAATAGTATTGTATTTATCTTTTGTTCTAGGAATAATTCCTTATGTGCTCTCATGGCAAAAATGAAATATTCAGAGATGTCAAGGGACATCTCCTGCGACAGTCTCTCTACTCTTCGGCTCATAGAGGTGAACCACTATACAGTAGCCTCTTCATTCCATGATATGGAGTGGTTGTGGATTGAATGCTAACCTAACCTAATATGCCCGCGAAAAACTAAATATTGACTTTGAATGTAGATAGTTAATCTAAAAAAGGTTTATGTAGGCCCAATATTATACGTTACTAGTCCTGAAAGTAACTTAGGTGTTCACTGGATGAGTGTGGTTGTTCCTTTGTGAGACGAATGCGAATGTGGGATTACCATACAAGTCTGGTAAACACATTTTGGACGAGTGGTACAATTGTATTTTATGCCATACTACCTTAACAATAAAAAAAAAAACTGTACAAATCCTTAGTATATATTCCCACCACAATCGCTACAGTAGAACCCCTCATATCCGGCCACCACGGAACAAAGCCCCCTGGCCAGATAAACCAACCTACTATGAAAGTGACAATTTCATACCTAATCATAATTTATGTAATCAATATATGCAGTTAAAAGTATCGTTCAAGTATGTTCTGCGATTATTTTTAGGATAATAAACATGTTTGTCATTTAAACATCTTCTGTCATTTATTTATTTATTGCATTTGATTATTAATGTTTATGTTTTGACGCAACTACAGTCGACGCACAGGCTCGCTGCCCATGTCGGCTTATTCCATATAAACATGTACGCTTTTTTAAACATAGATGTAATGTAAAGGTTAATTTTATTTTATTCTTAAATTCACTTATGTTTTTTCCTCCTTTAAATATTTGAGTACATATTCTGTATATACTTTGTTGGAATAAAGAAATAATTCATTCATTCATTCATTCATTCATTGTAAAAATAAAAAAAATAAATTTGTAGGTTAAAGTTGTTAAGTAATGAACATACAAATATTATTACTGGTAACCATAACCTTTTACATCACAATAAAGGTAAAAATTGCAATACATTTACCTTGTAGATCATTAGAACTTGATTGGTACGGTACATACAATTCTAATCAACTATCTAATCCATTTTGTAAAATACAACAATTTAAATGTACTATACCATAGATTAATAGAATAAATATAGACCGTCAGCTGTGCTGCGGTTAGCAGAAGTTTTGGCGTCCACCGCTAGGTTTGCCGTGTAGTTACGGCGCACACTGCTGCAGCATCTGCTGGTCGCATACGGCTCCTGCGCTCCCCGCCTGCAGCGGTGTGCGCCGTAACTACACGGCAAACCCTAGTGGTGGGCGCCGGAACCTTCCTTTGACAGTCTATATTTATTCTATTTGTCTATGACTGTACTAACCCCACTTTGAAAACAATCAACCAACTGTTCAGAGGTTAGGCCAACTAGCTCAACTGAGTGACACAGTAAAATTTATTTACAAACAGATAAATAGTAAGAACTCTCAAGTCACAAAGACTAGTGCTTGCATCTACACGTCTGCAAGCTGTGAGAAAACTATTTATTATTGGCTTCCTAGAAGGGGTCAGATAAAGAGGAGACCGTTAAAATCAAGGCTGGATATCAGTGGCTCTACTGTACTCATAACCTCTAAGAGAGGTTATGTTTTTGTTTATAACCACTCATTGCCAAAATTATTCAGCTGGTGTCCGGTAAAAACTCATTACAGTATAGTTATAAGTCATGAACCCCATTTGATTAGTTTTCTGGACGAAATCCTTGCATGGGCAGTTCGTAAAAACAGTGTGTAGTAAAAACATTTTAAATACAGTGTTCATGTATTTTAACTTTGTTTCGAACATGTCTATTTTATAAAACAAATTAGTAAACTTAATGGCAACAATTAAAACACATACTAAATGTAACTTAGTAGCTACTTATTGGCAGTAAACAGTGACTGATTCAGTGGTCAGTGAAGTAAACAAAGGCTATAATAAGTTATAATCTAACTGTAACGTGGGCCTTCCAACTCTAAACATTTTGTGATCTGCTGAATAACCTACATTCAACTTACAATGGTAATACATAAGGTATATTTTGATTTTTTACAATAGTGTTGAATCTGCAGCGTGATTAATCCACCTGTAGACAATTGGGAGTCTGCTGTAATCACAGCTAATGAAATTAGGTAACATCGTTTCAACCTAATTGGTAATAGGCATGATCAGTCAACCTTTGCAAAGAGTTTTGATATAAAAATGTAAATACTTTTTTTGTTAATATTATTGGAAAGTTTTACCATGCAGTTTTACTAAGCATACTAATATTTATTGTGGTCATGATTGTACTCTTGATTAATTAAAATTGAGTTTGGAGATCCTTGGAAAATTTTGTTTTTAGTCATTGTCTTCCAGTTGTAGCCAATCTTCTGTATGTATCAGATGGGTTCTGTTGTTTATAGTCCAGTCAATGAATGATCCAAAAGTAGGTGTAGAGTGCGTGAGCAGGTAACTAAGCGATTCCTTCAGAAACTTGTTCAGGGGGCTTAGGGTGTTAACATACCAAAAGTCCTGACTCCTAGGTGGTGAGCCAGGGGGTGGAGGGGGGGAAAAGGGGGGGAAAAAGGTACGTATTTTGGGTTTTTTGATTATATCTCGAAAACTATCAACTTTTTGTATACTATAGTAAATTATAAAATTGAAGAAGATTAAATTTTCTACAAGAAAAGTATATAATGTGTTTATTTTGGTTCAACAGATTACGAGTTATAACTTATTTAATTGATATCTTTTTAAAATACTCCTTCCATAAGAAATACATGTAAATTAGTATGCGAAATGGGGCGAATCCTATCCGCCCAAAGGAAATATAACTGATATTCTGGAAATCTTGACCAAATTTCCAGTAATTTAACACTTAAATCATGAAATTTTGTCAAAAATTAAAGCGAGGGTGAGCGTTTAAAAATGGGATGATTTAAGGTTTTTTTTTATATTTCCAATAAAAAAACACCAAAAGTCGACATTTTGTTACCTCGCCCTCGCCTTAATTTTGGATCAATTTTAATGATTAAAGTGTCAAATTACTGGAAATTTTGTCAAGATTTCCAGAATATCATTTATATTTCCTTTGGGCGGATAGGATTCGCCCCATTTCGCATACTAATTTACATGTATTTCTTATGGAAGGAGTATTTTAATAAGATATCAATTAAATAAGTTATAACTCGTAATCTGTTGAACCAAAATAAACACATTATATACTTTTCTTGTAGAAAATTTAATCTTCTTCAATTTTATAATTTACTATAGTATACAAAAAGTTGATAGTTTTCGAGATATAATCAAAAAACCCAAAATGCGTACCTTTTTCCTCCCCTTTTCCCCCCCTCCACCCCCTGGCTCACCACCTAGGAGTCAGGACTTTTGGTATGTTAACACCCTAAGCCCCCTGAACAAGTTTCTGAAGGAATCGCTTAGTTAACTGCTCACGCACTCTACACCTCATTCCTTGACTGGACTATTAACCCAGATTTGAATGTGTTGAATCATGTGAGTTAGCCCCAAAATACTTGTAAATTATAATCCATTGGTTTTGTGTTCTTTTAGTAGTTTTTTTTTGTTTTTAAAGTTAATGACGTATGCATTTCTAGTATGTTCTTGGTGAACAACAATACAGGTTAGGCCTATTTTTTCAGGAGAAACATGAAAAAAAGACAAGAGATTGTGACATTGAGCCTGTGACACTTCCTAAAAATACTCCGAATAAGATCTCTCCAAAGAAGATCTCTCGCACTTCAACTGCGGAATCAATCAGTACAGCGTTGCCTTGTTATGACAATCTCGGGTAAATATTTCACTTCAAGTTAGATTTGTAACATAGGCTATAATTTAACTACAAAGTCTATTCCACAATAAAGTTCGGCCAAAGTTTCTGTACACGTGCCCAAAACTGGTCGGGTCTTGGTGAGGTGTTGGCGGGGGTACTTTTGTGAAAACATTTGTGTCTTCTTTGTCACTCAGTGTAACTGACTCACCCCTACTCCCAGCTCTGCCAATGACTGTCACCCATATGTTTTAGTTCGGCTAGTAGCAACTTGTCCGCGTGCACAGAATTTTTGGCCAAACTGTACAGAGTGTCCAAAAACAAAAAGTCATGGGTCGGTTAAATATTTTTTGAAATATTGAAAATAGAGCTACAAAACTAAGATTTTCATCTGACTCCTAGTGGCCCGTTCCCCTGAGGAAGGAGCGGATCACTGAATATGTGATAAAATAGATTTTTTTGTGCAAAGTTTTGTAGTTCTATTTGAAATATTAGAAAAATATTTAACCTACTCGGGACTTTTTGGACATCCTGTGTATTCCTACTAATTATTAATAGCTACCGAACAAGGTTTTAAATTCCAGTTACACTGTCGAATATCATGAGAAGTTTGATGCCGTGGCAATATGACATTCAGCATTGTTAGCTGCTTGTAGCACTGAGCCGGCCGAGCTGAAACTGTACCGAATCATGTTTACAATCAAAGTATGGTTGGCAGATCACAGTCTTTCGCTCACTGTAAGCAAAACCAAGATTGTGATTCTGACCAAAAAGCGGTTTTACACCATTGTGCCATTGAAGGTGGGGGACGTCGGTCCAAACTGTTTGTGCCGCCAAGTACTTTGTGTCATGTTAGACAGTAAGCTCAGCTGGCGAGACCATCTACTGTACAAGGCCGCTAAGGTGATTTCTTCTCTTAACTGCGTAATGGCCAAAGTCTGAGGTCCTCTGTTCAGTTGAAGCAGACTGTTGTGTAGTTGCCTAACACGGATGTTAACCATAGATCGGTCTATCGAGGCTACTGTAGAACCACATGCTCCCAAAAGTAGGTCCATTGGCATTATTTGTAAACTTTCTCATTACTGGTGATCTCCCTATAACACAAGAACTTGACTTTTTCCAGTGCCACAGGAGTCCAGTCGCAATCTAACAGCAAATCACAGAGTTTACCAGCCCAGGTGTCTCTGCGGTCTATGGACCAACTTGTCTTGGAGGTGAGTATTGTTGCTAAAGGCGCTTTAGCATGAGGCCAGTCGGCAGGTAGGCTACCTCAGGCAGGTTGCATCAGGTAGCTTGGAATCCATTATCTGAGGCTGGTAACCTGACTGCCTACATGCCTTGTGTGACACGGTTGAACAGTTTAGTCACTGTGTGGTGTCTGAGGGTGGGGAAACAACAGAAGTTTTGTTTGGAAACAATGAGAAGTTGTTCACAAAGCTCAGTAGGCCTAGGTATGAACAGTAGTCACAAAACTTAAATGGGTTCGGACCGCTTTCCCTAAAAAGTATTTGACTTCTTTTCAAAAATGCCACTGGCGTAGATACGAGCGAAAAAAAAAAAAATTGTCCACAAATCTTAGTACCTAAATTAATTACCAGTTAGTCTCTGGTATTTATTGTCGATTGTCTACTGTGTGGTTGGGAGATTGGGAAAATTCAATAACAGGAGCTTTGTTTGGAAAACTGATTGTCTAGCTGTGTATTGTCAAAAGATAATTATCTCCAAAAATGTGTAATAAATTGGTAATAAAAATGAATCCCTTTTTTGACGGTATTCCATAACTCAAGAAAGAGTGCACCAGATTGGATGATTCTTTTTTTGGTGTGTTCCTTAGTGCCAGGGGAAGGTTTATAAGGGGGAAATTTATAATCCGTCCAACTGTAATTTAGTAATTTGATTAAAAAAAAAAAAATGCCTTTACATTAGCATTGGAGGAAAATGTTTTCATTAAACTGTAAGATACAATAACATGTGTTAATTTTTAACCAAAAGGTGAGTGAACGTAGCGAATAAACTTCAACCAGGATGTGATTGAGTGATGCGAACGAGCTCATCTTGAAGCAAATTGACAATAAATCAGTAAAATTGCTAGGAATCCATATTGACCAGAAGCTGAATTGGATTGAGCATACAAACTTTTTATGTAGTAAATTGGCTAAAACTGTATTTTTATTTAACAAATTAAAGAACAATGTAAGTGAACAAATTATTCTAAATTGTTATTACGCATTTTTCCATTCTCACCTACAATATGGTGTTCTCTTATGGGGTAACTCTGTAGGAGCCAAAACCGTTTTCAAATGGCAAAGGAAAGCAGTCAGGTGCATTAGAGGAACAATGCCCAGGGAAGATTGCAAAGCAGATTTTAAGGCCCTAAATATCCTAACCCATCTTTATACATTTTAAATTGCTTATTATACGTAAAAGAGAATATAGACCAGTATAGCATCCGATCTGACATACATAAACATTACACAAGAAATAGCCATCATCTCAACTTACTACTTACAAGACTTACACTTACACACAATAGCTACAAATATCTTAGTATACAATTTTTTAATAAATTTCCCCCTTCTGCAATAACGATTCCAATAAAAAAATTCAAAACGGTCCTTGATTCATGGTTAAAATTAAAATGTTTTTACTCTGTAGATAAGTCCTTGGAAGTTTTAGATATAAGTTTTTAAATAATTTATTTAAGATCAAGGTTCCTGTTATTTATTCCATGACTATGTTTAATGCTTCAATGACAAGATGCCATTTGACAATGTCAATTGCTTTTGTAGAGCTGAAAGACAATAAAAAGATTTGATTTGATTTGAAAATGAACGAGCATTTGACATAAAACCACATTAGGACAGGATGACCTGTCGGGCCAGCTAGTTTAAAATAAATATCTTCAATAGAAATTCAGTTTGTTTCTTCTTTGCAAATTTATGTGTTCAAGGTTTAAAAAATCAATTAGTTATTGGTTCCTAGAAGTCTTTACACAAATCATGTTAAGACTTAAGTATTGGAATTTTCGCTCCTTTAAACAACTCCAAAGTCTTAATTTTTTACTTATCAACACATCATTAAACTTCCTCTAATAGATTTCTAGGAACTATAAATCTAATTTGTACAGAATGACAACTTTGACCAAATGTATGATAAAATTGAGCAAAGCTTTATCTGAGTGCTATCAGAAAGATTTGTCATGACAAAACAACGATATTAGTAATACCACAGCTATTTATTCGTTAGGTTTATTGTTTGTTCTGGGCAAAATGACAATCTGATTCACCTTCTGGTAAAATGATTTTTACTCAGCAAAATATACCACCACGGTTATTTCTGGTTTCAGTTCACAAAAATCATGTAAGTCCATTTTTTAAATTTAGAACTTTTGGACCTTATATTATTTCAGCGTACATTATATATTGGCATACACTTGACACTTTTTGATAAAATACAACATGCATGAATTCATTGAATTTCAGTAATTAATAAATTGCATTAAATAAATTAGTCATATTGATTTGAATACACTTCCATAGTTGATTTTTAAAATGTTCAGACTTTTAATTCAAAATCATGTTCAATAAATAGTTGAGTTGACTAAAAAAAATTCAGTTGAGCTGTGTCCGTCGTGGTCGTTGTGCGTATCCCACATGCATATTTATGTGCCATCATATTCATAAGTAATACCAACACACTTTCACTTTCATGTGTCTGGTAGTCAAGATTAGAACTTAATACTAGGGGTTTTCCTCAGTACAGCATTTTACTTGGTACAAATTGGGTGTTGAACCATTCAGTAGTCAGAGTCATTCAGACCAATTGCTACCTACCAATTAGCAGATAGTCAAACATTTTGATAGTTGGATTTTTACAAAAATTTAGGGTATTTTATAGAAAACAGGCCTAATTGAACCAATCTTTTGCTATCCCAATCGCAGATCGTGTCTACAAAGATTTTGCAATTGGAAAATCCACACTTTCACCCCAATCGCAGCCAGGGGATGATGACGATTGCCAGAGACGATGATCATGTCTACAACACCATGGACGATTTTTCCGTGATCACAACTTCTGCTTCCTTTAACATCTTTTCTTATGACTTTTTTTAGATTTAAAAAAAATCTTTCTGTAAGAGATTTGGATAGGCCTAGTTTAAAGTTTGAATAGCTGGAGTTCTACTGTATATCTATGAAAAATCGTTGTGGCTTAATAGGTTAAAGAAAAAAAAAATCCTTTAGAACTGTAATTAGATTGAGATTTTTATCCGCCACACCGATATAAAGCTAGATCTGTTCTTTTGCAGGCGTTACGAGTATCTGCGGAGGATTTTGCATCTCAACTCACTCTCCTCGACCTTCAAGTCTTTGTTCAGATCACTCCAGACGAGCTGGTGTCTTGTGCATGGAACAAAAAGAACAAACTACTCGTTGCACCCAACGTCGTGGCGTTTACCAAACGATTTAACCATGTGAGCTTGCTTTGAATAGATAGGCTCACTCAAATGTTTGACTATAGAGAATTAGACTTATCCTTCCCCTTGTGTTAAAGGAAGAATAATGGAAATAAATGTTGTTGAATTGAGCCGCAAGTGTGCTGATATCAATTATTATTTCTGCCCTATGCACCGACTTTTTCACCAAGCCATACTAAAAGAACACCTTACCACAAAACTACAGTATCTTTATACCACATTAATTATCAAAGTATCAACAACGAAGAGAGAAAACATAATTTTGACAAGAGCTTAATTCTGTTAGTGGCTCATTCAATTTGGTTCTATTTATATTAAGAATTAACTACAGGTATGGCTACCCTTGTATCTAATAGTCACTGCTCAAATGTTTAAAATCTTAACTGAGAAATTTCATACTATTTAAATTTTGTATGAATCTCGAATCAAAATTGAATGCATTTTACTTTGTTGAAACAAGGCCACACTAAAATAAACAGGCCGTAACTTAATGCTCGTCAAGCATGACGTCACGATAGAAGACGGCAATGACGTAGGTAGTTATTTATTTTCCAAGGAAAGATTAAAACAAGGGTACTTTCCTGTTAAAGGGAACATTCATTATTATCGATGATTTTTTTTCGATATGTCAATATTAACAAATTGAAACATATCAGCTGACAACTACGAAAAATATTGTTCAGTATCAACAAACACTAATGAAATGAAACTGTTCTAGAAAAAATAATCTAACATAACTAACCAAACTTGCTGTAACATTCAAAAGTGCCGTGTTTATAACTTGCCTTTTATATTCAAACCCAAACGAAATTTTTTAAATGGTACAGCAAGTTTAGTTGGTTATGTTAGGTTAGCTTAGAACAGTTTCATTTCTTAATCCATATAACAGACTATTTTAGCCTAAACAAGATCAGTTAGTTGTTGTCAATTTGTAATGGATCGGAAAACAAAAACATCGATATATCGAGAAAAAAATCATCGATAATAATAATGAATGTTCCCTTTAACAGGAAAGTACCAAAACAAGCAGCTGATCACAAACGGCAAACATTACGTCATTGCCGTCTTCTATCCTGACATCATGCTTGACGAGTATTACGGCCTGTTTTTTTAGTGTGGCCTTGGTTGAAACCACCAAAAATATTGGATTGTGTAATGGTTTAGGTTAATATGATTTAGGCTACCTAGTAAAAAATTACAGTCTATTCAAGAGTTATTGGTTTGTGAAATTTTGAAATTGAATGTATTTTGGATCTTGAAATATAAAATTCATAACTTTAACTCAATTAAGTGTAGTCTACCGTATATGTAAACAAAATCTGAACACTACTAAACACAATTTTGCACTTAATGAATCACAATGAAATGAACCGAGGGTCATAAAGGATTATGGATGATCGTCATGTACATCACAAAGCGGTTCCTGTTTGATAAAAGTTCTTATATTATGGGCAGTAGGATATGGATCCATATAAAGCTACAGTAAATATTTTTAGTGTAAAATTCTTAATTGAAAGCAAGATTCAGTACTCACTCAGACCATTTACCCTTTTGGACCGGATTAAATGAACAATTAAATGCCTGTGCTATGTTTGCGTCATTCATAAATAGTTATTGTTTTTGTCCAAAGCAAATGGGAATCTTGACTGAGTTTTACCATAGACAAAAATAATTAAATATAGACTGTCAGCTGTGCTGCGGTAACCATAGGTTCTGGTGCACACCGCTGGGAGTGCCATGTAGTTACGGCCTACGCTCTAAGTAACTACACGGCGCTCCCAGCGGAGTGCGCCAGAACCTATGGTAAACACAGCACGGCTGACAGTCTATACCTATTTAATTCTTTTTGTATATGGTTTTACCGACTCAACCAATTTATTTTTTTTAAAAGGTTCAAGGTTATCGCACAGTTTATTATTTTTAAATTTTGTTTAATGATTGCAGGTCAGTTTTTGGACAGTCCAAGAAGTGTTGAGTGGAACTTCTCCAAAGCATAGAGCAGAAATACTATCTCACTTCATAAAAATTGGCAAAAGGCTCTATGAACTGAACAATTTTCATTCCCTGTTTGCTGTTGTATCTGCTCTCCAAAGTGTTTCTGTTTATAGGTAAGAAAAATTTTACAATTCACTTATTAATTTGAAAATGTTAACTTGTTGTAGATGGCTGACCAGGGTGAACTTTTTAATCACAAATATGTTAAAGACGTGTTCTGTGAACATGAAAGTATCACAGGATTTGTGTCCCAGTTTCAGATATTTGCATTTGATCACTTCAGCATTTAGGCTCGTCTCGATTCTGCTTTAAAATCGACTTTCACTCACCTTTTATTATTAATCTTTAATTTATTAAGATAAAGCATAGCCTAAAAAGAATGATTTTTTTTCTAATGCTTCCCAAACATACATACTACTACAAAAATACTACAGGATCACAATGTAATGTATTTCATTCCATAGAAATACTGTCTTTGTCCATCTTAAGAAATGGTCCTGGTAAATCAGCTTCAAAAGTTGTATTAAACATGTGTTGTTAATGATCTGTGAATGCATAAAACAAGAAATGCTCTCATTGTTGTGTTAAATTAAATGCTGTTACTAAAAAATTATTAAAAGACATGCGTAATATAATTCCTTGTTAGATAGATACATTTATTTATGCATTGTGCTTTCAGATTAACAAAAACATGGAACCTTGTATCAAAAAAGGACAAGAGTACTTTTGATAAGTTGGCTGAAGTATTCTCTGACACTGACAACTGGAGGAATCTACGAGAACACATGGAAAATTTGAAACTGCCGTGTATTCCATATTTAGGTAAAGTGGAAATTGTGTATTCGTAGCGGTTTCAGTTTTGATAAAATCAGGTAAAGACAAGATGTGGCTGGAAGGTTTTGTCCATTTTAAAATGGAAGGAGGTCCTGAATATGATTCTTCTTTGGCTTTCTTCCAGGCCTTGTCTAACCATAAACTCTTCTTAAAAACATGTCCAAGTGAAATAAAGCCTTCATTGATGTTTTAGGATTCAATACTTCCAATATGAGCTAGCTTAGATTCAAAACTTAGACAGTAATATTTTATTCTACGAAGACATTTATAATCTTTTATAAATCCAATCTTAAGATGGACAAGTCCCAAAATTTCAGGAAATTTTCGGGAAAAAAATATTCCAGATTTTCGGGACGGGATTACGTTAGATTCGGGAATTTTTCGGGACGGGATTTGATCCGATCGTTGGCGATTTTGCCGCTCTCGCGAGAGATGTTCACGATAGTTCCGCGAACATAGAAGGCAAAGTCATTTCGTCGATCGGGCCAAGACCGCGAGTTATTTCGAAAACTGCAAGTCACAAGTTTCTAAACCCGTAAATTTTTACCCATTTTTTGGTTTTTGTAGATCAGTGCCACTTCTTCATCTGTACTCACTGTAGTAGTTGTAAATAAGGATCCATTGACTGTTGCTCGTTAAAATAAATCATACTAGATTATGGTTGTTATACCATTTTGGAATGTTGAGGGGTATTTGAGGTGAGTCAAGCATGACATTTTTGACTTGAGCCTTATGCCATACAGTGAAACTACACCTTGTATTTAAACTCTTCCTCGATGTTTTCCACCTTAAATTAGGATTGTTTGTTTCCAGCCACATCTCATATTTAACTGTTTTAAAACATCTACCTTGTTTAACTGATGTTTAACTTTTTTTTTATTTCAGGAGTTTTTTTAACGGATCTAGTCTACATAGATATGGCCCACCCTCACATGGGAGGTCTCGAGCCTGAACAAAGAAAGCTGAAGATGAACAATATTTTACGGATTGTCTCAAACCTACAACAGTCTCAGTACCCTCACCTCTTGCCTTTACCACATATCCAGAGATATTTGCATTCTGTGCGATATATCGATGAACTGCAAAAGTTTGTTGAAGATGACAATTACAAGTGAGTTTTTTACACACATTTTTGTCTGTGTTTTTTTATTGTGAAACGCTGGTGATAAGTACAATTTGTAGCAATGAGTGATATAAAAGTGTGAGACATACAATCGTGATTGTTGTATCTGTCTGTTTCAACAAATGTATGATGAGGCTTATGTTTTTATAAGTCTCATGTGTGGGTAACTCCTTCGACCCCAAATAACCCTAAAAAGTAACCTACAAAGCACCAACTGAAGTACCTTGTTCAATCCTAAAAATGTTCAAAGATTCAAAATGACAAAGTAGCTTTTTCATGGGTTGAAACTAAACTCAGCTGTTGCTGATCATTGAACTATTATTTGCAGATGATTAGGCTACTAAGCTACCTGTACCAGCTACCTGTTATTGTTGCAGCCCTGGAACTGTTATATATCAAATATTTGGTTTTACATTACCTTTTATCAGTTCCAAAAGTATCCTTCGTCAATGTGTTAAATGTTTCGGCGAGCTGCCATTGTCATTCACTTCATTTCAGGAATATACAATAATTCTGCTTGAATAGCTTCGTTCTCATTACACGACAAACAACATTTACACACAACATATAAATAAATACTTTTAGTTTGATAGGCCTATCACAAGTATACAACATTGCCGGTACAAGAGCGGGAACAGACTGTCGGTGGAGGGTTCAAGTGAATGCTATCTTAGTGAAAATATGAAACATGTTGTAGTACAGTCTTGGCTTTCTGTTGAGAGCAACCAAGACCATGAATCAGATGACAAAGAATATTGTGATGACTTAAGCCTACGAAAGAAAAGTTTATTACATGTGACACTCGTATGTTGTGTATTTTTACAAATTTTCATCCTTCAAGATTTGTTGTTTCTTGGGTCGAACTCCATATCGTGGAACGACATAAAAACTTGTTATTTACTAATCGTGACGATAGAAAATGTCTGCAATAATCCCTTCAATATTATCTCTCGACTATTTTGGTAAAGTTAAGTCTTCTATATGTTAAGTTGCTGAATTTCACTGCCTCATAGAGTATATTTGAGGCTAAGCATAGATTGTGATTGGCTAAATTCTTTAAATAATTTGCGCAGGCTGTCACTGAGACTAGAACCACCGTCGCCAGCCCCGAGCTCGTCAAGTTCGCGAGAGTCAGTCAGTGAGTTGGCAACCGTAGCGAGTCTCAACCTGTCCCCTGCCAAACCTTCGCTGCGACTGCAACCCGTCATCAAGTTTGTCCCCGGTCACCGCAAGAGCCGTAGTCTTGGGACCAAGTGAGTACACTTGTTATTTTTAACATTTAGGGGTTTTTAAATTAATAAAACCATTGACTATAAAACTCAGCTAGCTTACCTGAAGCTAGCTTATCAGTCCAAGATAGATACATTATAAAAGTCACACAATTTATAATTCACATTTTGTGCACATCGTTTACTCTCGATAGTATGACACGTATGGGATCTGGGGAATGTCAGATTACCAAAAGTTTTAGATTTTGTAAAATATAACTAAGTTTAGCCAGAGTTAAGAAAAGTAAACTTCTGAAGCTTTTTATCTTGATTGATCTTTTTATGTATTCCTCGAATACTGGGCGTTCGAAAGACAGGTTGTGAATTCATTTATTGCATTGAATTGCCAAGAGTGTCAGACTATCAACAGTCACATTCGCAACACACATAGTTTACAAGTTAGTAGTGCAACAAATTTGTTGTTGAGAAATCTGTGGCAATTCCTGGTAGTCAGCTTATTCAGTTTGCTCAATAAACTGGTTAAACCATTCCATCTTCTAAGAACTTGCTGATTCCATGTCTCTTAACTATTTAACACAATTAATGTATACAGTCAAACCTTGACCTAACCAGAGTCCTGCCAATCTGTACCTCGCTAGTCCAAAACCCGCTAATCCATTTTTTCTGTTGGGGGAAGAAGGTTACTCTATAGGTAAAAATAAGCTTTGTCACAGAAAACGTACTACTATAACCCAGAATGCCAACCGCATGGTAAAAAGCATTAAGTGTTTTGAGAGAACTTTGCCTGTCAATCCGTAGGCAGCGCCACCAGCGTTGCTATGCTATTGCATGGCAATGCTGGTGGCGCTGCCTACGGATTGACAGGCAAAGCTCTCTCAAACTGCTTAATGCTTTTTACCATGCGGTTGGCATTCTGGGTTATAGTAGTACGTTTTCTGTGGCTTTGTGTTCTTCCAGCCGTATTTGTCCAGCCAATCGGGAAACCAAGATTCGTGCGTGAATTTTGACAACCAGAAAAAAGACCCTGAATCATACGCGAATTTTGTATAGAACTGGTAAAATTATAATAATTAGTAATAGTATATTTTAAAGGGTTCATTCTTTACCGCCATTCCTTAAGAACATGATTGCAGGATATGATAGTACATTACAGGCTTTGTCGCGATCGCACAAGACAATCATTGTGTCGCAGAAATGTTATTTGTTAACAAGAGACAATCACAGTGTTGTCATGTTCAAGAGAACATGAGAGTGTTTGAGTTTTCATGATCGTGGGAACAGTGAATAGCTGTTTAAAGCCATAAAAATACATTTTTTAAAGGCAATTTTACTGAACTCCTGGTTAATCTGAACAATTTGGTCAGTAATCCAAAATGTCCTCATTAGTTTAGATCATCAGGACTCTGGTGTAGTCACAAATTTCTTGAAGTATTTTTTTTTCTTCTCGGATTAGTTTTAGTGTTTAGTTTAACAAATCTGGGGTTTTAAAAATTCTTTTTAAAGAATTTCCAAAAAACTTGAAGGAAAAATCTACATTTTGAAACAATTTCACAGAAAAAAACCTCTGTTAACAAAATGAGCGTATAAGAGTTACTTTTCAAACTCCAGTAAAACGAAATTAAACAAAAACAAATCTATTGATTCAACTTGTATTGTAACTTTTAAATCCGATGTTATTAGCGTTTTTAAAAGATTATTTTAGTGATACTGTAGCTTGCTTTTTGTTTCACTTAGGCCTACTGTATCCTACACTCTTCAGTGTGTTACACCTCTTTAGTAATTGTTGACATAAATATAGTTACTAATTAGGTAAGGAGATACCATCAATCACCTATGTATGGTTTAACCATTTTATACCACGTTGACCAACTGGTTCTGAGATCAGTTCAAGCTTTAGGTCCACTTATAAAGTACAGAAGTAACATTAAGTTTTGAATTTGATGTTACCTAGCCCCTCTTATTAATATACAGGGTGTTTTTTTAAAAACTTGCAACTTTATTTATGTAAAAACCGCAATAGATAGAAATATGCAGTTGGCGGTAATGAACTCCTAATAATGAACTCCTGTAATGTGGCGGTAATGTCTATTGACGTAGGGGGCACAATTTTTTTGAATTCAACGTTACATTCACATTCCCCCCCTGCCCCCAACTTAATTTTTTTAAACAGCAAGGTACCCCTTGTGACATATCAAATAAAAGAGCATAAAGAAAGAAAATGTTTGATGAAAAAAATTGAAAATCGGTTCATAAATGTGTGAGATATTCCCCCCCTCCCCCCCCCCCCCGGAACTTAATTTTTTTTTAATAGCAAGGTACCCCTTGTGACATATCAAATGAAAGAGCATGAAAAAAGAAAATGTTTGGTGAAAAAAAAATTAAAATCGGCTCATGAATTTGTGAGATAATCCCCCCCTTTTCCCCTACCCATAACTTGTTTTTTAATAGCAAGGTACCCGCCCTTGTAACATATAAAATGAAAAATAAATTTTACCAAACATTTTCTTTTGTCATGCTCTTTTATTTGATATGTCACAAGGGGTACCTTGCTATTAAAAAAAATTAAGTTCCGGGGAGGGGGGGGGGGAAATATCTCGCAAATTTATGAACCGATTTTCAATTTTTTTTCATCAAACATTTTCTTTTTTCATGCTCTTTCATTTGATATGTCACAAGGGGTACATTGCTATTAAAAAAAATTAAGTTGGGGGCAGGGGGGGGGGAAGGTGGGGAATGTGAATGTAACGTTGAATTCAAAGCATTTGGGCCCCCTACGTCAATAGATGATTCCCGCAAACTGCATATTTCTATCTATTGCGGTTCTTACATAAATAAAGATGCAAGTTTTTAAAAAAACACCCTGTATATATTCGTCCAAGAGTTGTTTGATCCTCAGAAAAAATGGCATATAAAATTCATAACTTATGTTGTACGGTATATGTTTCTTACGTTTTAACTTACTGTAAATTCCTTACAACATCTGATTTCTATTGCTTCCAACATAATTATGTTAAGCCAAAATCAACAACTATAAGTAAAAGCTTCACTTTGTTTCATTTAAATTATATCTGTTGTAAATTTGGATTTTTTTGTTAGAGTGAAAACAAACAACCCAAGTTTGTTTTAAATTTGGTCATGATGAGGAATGCCCTTGTGGATATAACAAACCTTGTAACCCAGTAACCTTGTTATACAAATCAGGGTCTACCTTGCATGAAATGGGGTAGTAGGTTTCTTTTTTTTATGTTGTTTGTAATAGTACCGAGTTGCTAAATCCAAATTTTCGACCTCGGCGACCTTCCGGATCACCTCCAAAAAGCTTAAAAATCGGCAGAATTACGCACAATTTTTACGTTTGTCCGATTTTGACCCTGAAGCATCACTTTTTCATCAAGAACAACCATAATCATTTTTAAAGTATATTATATTACCTATCATATAAGACCAAAATGGTTATTACAGGCCTAATAGTTTTCAAGATATGACTCCGCAAACAACGGCTAAAATTACCAAATTTTGAATTTTTTTTTTAAGTTTGGCTAACGTTAACCCTTAAGCAAAACTTTATCGTTATTTTTCATTAAAACAACCATAATTACTTTGAAACTGCATTAAATTACTCACAATTTAAGACCAAAATGGTGATTATAGGCCTAACACATTGAGAGATATGCCTCTTCAAGGTTTATAAAATCTTCCATAAATGTTTGTTTTTTAAGATTCAACTTTCAATTTATTCAATCTGGTCAAGTTTTATAAAAGAACCATAACAATAAATAAACAAATTTATTTCATTTCAAGTACAGATTGTGTTATAACAATTTATTTTTAAATTAATTTAAAATAGTAATTTAAAATTAATTTATTATAAATTGAAATAAATCTATTGTATCTATCTACATAAACACACACGTACATTGTTACAATAATTGGTTCTCGGACAGGCCTGTGACGAACGGTATTCATTCATTTTACGTAGTTTTGATTTTAAATTAACTGTTTACAACATAGAAATACCTAATAATGGCTTAAATACTATGATTTTGAATACAGATATGGCTTCTGTAATAGCATAAAGAAAGTATAAAAGGATTACAATCATATTTTTTCCAAATAAACCCCATTTAAGGGGTCAAAAACATTACGTAAATTGATTAATTAGGCCTAACACATTTTGTGTCTTAAACTTTGAAATGCTTAAAATTGGCTTAAATATTATAATTTTGAATACAATTATGGTTTTTTTTTAATTGCATAAAAAGTGTATAAAATGAATACAACTAAAAGGTATACAAATAAAGCTCATTTAATAGGTGAAAAACATTACGTAACAGATTTTGCGTAACAGATTTTCTGATTTCAACTTTAAAATGGTAAAAAAGCTTAAATTTAATAATTTTGAATAGGATAATCTTACTAATATTATAAATGTGAAAGTTTGTGTGTTTGTTTGTTTGTTTGTTTGTTTGAAGTTCAATCACGCATAAACCACTGAACGGATTGGGCTGAAATTTGGCATGATGATAGCTTACATTCCCGATTAACATATAGGCATATTCTTATCTCAAAAATCCTTTCGGGCTCCGCCCCAGTGGCTCTGTAATTCCCCATGTTAACCTTATGAGTATTCATATTTAAAGGGAATTAAAGAACTTAGTCAGCTGTTTCAACTAAAAAAGTTGGTTCTATGATATGGAAAATCATTAAAAAGTTATAAGATTTACCAACAGGGTGCAGCATTATTTTTTTTGCATTTATGAAAACAGCTAATTTGAACTAAGCAGCAACAAAAAACTGTGATTCGCAATGAGAACTGTCAAAGTAGGATTGTTTACAATTTTTCATTTCATGAATAATTTGTGATATTTTTCTCTATTGTTTAGGTGAAGTGGTAGAACAATATGGCTATGGTAGATGTGTAATACTATAGAATACTGTAAATTTTAAAAAGCAAATTTTATCAAACTCTGTCTTCCTTTATTGCAAACGCAAAGCTTGAGTAACTGCAATAAGCATTTTATACTATTCCAACCCCGTACGAAGGACGGGTACTCTGCTAGTGGTATTATAAATTACACAAAGAGTATATAAATGGAATACAATTCTGACTTAAACAAAAAAATCATATTTAATGAGTGCAAAACATCACGTAAACAAAATACTCAAATTATTTTTGCTAACATTTTACTTTATTTGTTTATTTCCTTGCAGTTCATATATTTTTAACGCTTGAAAATGCTTTATTACTGAAGGACTATATACTTAATGGTATAGAACCAATTTAGACTATAAAAAGTCAATAGTTTGCTTCATAATTCAAAAACAAAGTCAGATTTACAAGAATTTAAGCGAGTTTTGTTGTGCAAACCATACATTATTTGTTAATATTTTTCAAATTATTCACGATTGACTTTTTAAAACCTCATATATCAAAAGAGTACTAGTTGGAGCAAGGTAAGAAACTAAAAAATACCAATAAAAACCTATGGTTTACGCAAGAATTAAGTTTTAACATAGGAAAGAGCTAAAGACCACCCACAGTGCCAAGGGGACTATGGACACCTGAGGTCACTATTACCATAGAAAACGTACTGGTTATAGTAGTACGTTTTCTGTGCTATTACCTACAAACAACCATGATATGACTCATGATGACATATAGTTTTTTTTTTTGTCAGATATTGTAGATATTTGAATCATATACATCCTGCAGTTAATCCCATACTGATGGGTTGAAGCGTTCAAAAGTTATAGGACTTTGAAATTTCAAATTGAGAAAACTTTTTTCACCCAAAAAATCATATTATTGGTCTTAATTTCAATTGAATTCTCGAAATTTGTTACAATTTGTCCTCTTGATTTAATGCTTAAAGGTAAAGCATACCTAAAGGTTGTTTAATCTTATTCCTTATCAAGAAATTGTGAACATTCATAGGCATGCAGGCAGGCAGATCCAGTGTAAGAGTTCCTTATCAGGTTCATGTAAGGATACCTATACCCATGTCCTTCTAGTGTCAGTGCTGTAGTTTGAACAAGTTGGTCCTTCCCCCCACTACTGCTCAATTCATACAGCACAGACAGGACAGGAGGTCCTGAGGAATGCCAGTAAATCCTGGCATAAAAGAAGTAATATATTGCATGGCAGAACGACAGCAAAGTTGAAACCTTTTTTCACTGTTGCATCTTCATTCTTTATATCAATTTCTCTTGATAGTACTGTATAAACATTTTAATTACAATAGATTTCTTCCATAAAAAACGTATAATATGTTGTTGAAATGAAATAAATTTGTTTATATTCTTATTATGGTTCTTTTATAAAATTTGATCAAATTGAACAACTTGAATCTTAAAATACAAACATTTATGGAAGATTTTATGAACCTTGAAGAGGCATATCTCTCAATGTGTTAGGCCTATAATTACCGTTTTGGTCTTAAATTGTGAGTAATTTAATGCAGTTTCAAAGTAATTATGGTTGTTTTAATGAAAAATAACGATAAAGTTATGCTTTAGGGTTAACGTTAGCCAAACTTAAAAAAAATGCAAAATTTGGTAATTTTAGCCGTTGTTTGCGGAGTCATATCTTGAAAACTATTAGGCCTGTAATAACCATTTTGGTCTTATATGATAGGTAATTTAATATACTTTAAAAAAGATTATGGTTGTTCTTGATGAAAAAGTGATGCTTCAGGGTCAAAATCGGACAAACGTAAAAATAGTGCGTAATTCTGTCGATTTTTAAGCTTTTTGGAGGTGATCCGGAAGGTCGCCGAGGTCGAAAATTTGGATTTAGCAACTCGGTACTATTACAAACAACATAAAAAAAAGAAACCTACTACCCCATTTCATGCAAGGTAAAATGCGTTTGGTTACTGGATTATTGGACATAACGGAAGAATAGTGTTAGTTATTGTCAGTGAGAAATATCCTTTGATTGTAGCCTACTTCTTAAACAAATACACCCATTTATACACCCTCCTCTAATACTATTGAGGGTTTTAGATTTCGTAGTACAAGTCTTCCAAGAAATTTTCATAAGCCAGTATTTCCAGCATCTGCTGCCAATGGGTAAGTTAGGTTTGCAATGGGGCACTAAAAAAGTTGCATGCAGCATATGAGAACGTTTGCCACCTATTTCATCGATGAATGCCATATTTGTTTGTTGATCTTTTGTGTTTAAGTTGATTTATTTTAATTGTCATTGAATATTTGTGCATGTCGATGGAAAGTATTTCACAAGAACAATTGTGTAGCCTTTTGTTAAAAATATGATTTCATTTTTAAATTTTATAACAAGTATTTTTATTAATTTTGCTATGATACAAAACCAATTTTAAGCATGTAAAGTTTTGGATTTGTTTAAGCCATTTTTGTAACAATCGCTGCTTTGCATTTAAAACAGGAACAAGTTATATTTGCAATAAAAGTGTTTATAAAAACTGTGTTTTAATTTCTCTCTTGGTTCTCATTGCAACCTAACTTTTTTTAAAGGGATTTAACGCCGCTAAATTAACTACTTTTCAAATATTACCGAGTCACTGTTCACTATTTGCAAGAACTTAGTTGTGTTTCACATCAAGAGCTATGGATCCCTGATATTTTTGGGTCAAATCGGGTCAACATTTGGCCTCAGGTATCGGTTTGGGTAGGTAATTATTTTTCAGCCGAGCTCTAGTTGGATAATTTAAGTTTGAGGTGTACAAGCAGCTTGATTTTCAAGGCAAGCTCTTATATATTTTTGTGATCGCAGAAAGCACCTGTGAAGATGCACAATTGAAAATTGAGGACATTGCTCCTATGTTCACGGTTTTGATGTAACCACGGAAGAGGTTCATGATTTTTCTGTGACCTTAGGCCTATATGATTCTATTAATTTCACCGTGAACATAGATGACTTTCACAATTTGGCCGTGACCTCGGAAGATGTTCTCGATTTGGCTGTGACTTTAGAAGACGATCCTCATTTCGCCATGACCGCAGAAGAGAAGATATTCTTAGTTTCACTATGACCGCTGAAGCTCTTTGTCTATTAAATGAGTTTCCAAACAGCTGATGATCCCAGTGTTTCAAAACAATTTGTATTTTCCCATTTTACTACTATAGTTTACAATTTTAAGTATATTTCTCCTGACCTCTCAAACTTGGAATGAACAGTTTTTAATGTAGGATGCGTATATTCAATTATCATCAAACTCATTTTATCTTTAAACAAATTAGTGGAAAATGACAGTTTTTGTTTATATTTTTGTAGTTAAATTGATTCTTACATTTTTTTGTGTACTGTATTTGTAGAAAAGTATTTTTATTTTTTATGCATGGAAATTCTGAGCTAAAATTTTAAAAGGATTTACAATGGTTGCAACAGTGTACATAATGTCCATTAATGTGCAACACCCTCTAGTGTTCTGACCACAAGGATTTTTTTCTCAATCAGCCAGTTTACTATTTGTTGTAAATAAATAGATAAAAACGTCTTTATTGATCCAGCAATTCTCAGTTGTTACGTAATATTATCCAGAACAAATTAATAAACAACAACAACAGACCTTAGTTAAATTATTTGATTTTCAAAATAAAATAATACAAAGCATATGCTTTGAGGCCAGATTGTAGGTTGTTATATTGCTTTGGACCGAAGTACAAGAAGTAGAATTTTTATTTTGTGAAATCAGGTAAATCAGGACTACATTTTTAACAAAAAAACTACCTGTATAATATTTGCTTGAAACATTTTGTTAGTAGTTAGTCAGCTACATGCACACCACTATTATTATTTTAAATCAATAAGTTATGATGTACTGTTGTAGTGGTCTACTTTGTCATTCTGTACATCTCATGCCTTGTCAGTACTCACACTTAAAATCTGTTGTCTGTTGTAGTGTTTTTGCCAAGCCTTGTCACTCAAGCCCACTCAACTTGCTGGACGACTCTGTGATAGTGGAGGGGGTGGGGGAGGATTAGGTCCACTCAGTCATTTTGTGCATCTCATGCCTAGTCAGTGCTAACACTGTGTTGTCTGTTGTAGTGTTTTTGCCAAGCCTTGTCACTCAAGCCCACGCAACTTGCTGGACGTCTCTGTGATAGAGGAGGGGGTGGGGGAGGATTAGGTCCACTCAGTCATTTTGTGCATCTCATGCCTAGTCAGTGCTAACACTGTGTTGTCTGTTGTAGTGTTTTTGCCAAGCCTTGTCACTCAAGCCCACGCAACTTGCTGGACAATTCTGTGATAGAGGAGGGGGGTGGGGGAGGATTAGGTCTACACGGTCACTCTGTACATCTCATGCCTAGTCAGTGCTAATGCTAACACTGTGTTGTCTGTTGTGGTGTTTTTGCCAAGCCTTGTCACTCAAGCCCACGCAACTTGCTGGACGTCTCTGTGATAGAGGAGGGGGTGGGGGAGGATTAGGTCTATTCAGGCACTCTGTACATCTCATGCCTAGTCAGTGCTAACACTGTGTTGTCTGTTGTAGTGTTTTTGCCAAGCCTTGTCACTCAAGCCCACGCAACTTGCTGGACGACTCTGTGATAGAGGAGGGGGGTGGGGGAGGATTAGGTCTATACAGTCATTCTGTACACCTCATGCCTAGTCAGTGCTACCACTCTGTTGTCTGTTGTAGTGTTTTTGCCAAGCCTTGTCACTCAAGCCCACGCAACTTGGTGGAAAACTCTGTGATAGAGGAGGGGGTGGGGGAGGATTAGGTCTATACAGTCACTCTGTACATCTCATGCCTAGTCAGTGCTACACTCTGTTGTCTGTTGTAGTGTTTTTGCCAAGCCTTGTCACTCAAGCCCACGCAACTTGGTGGAAAACTCTGTGATAGAGGAGGGGGTGGGGGAGGATTAGGTCTATACAGTCACTCTGTACACCTCATGCCTAGTCAGTGCTACACTGTGTTGTCTGTTGTAGTGTTTTTGCCAAGCCTTGTCACTCAAGCCCACGCAACTTGGTGGAAAACTCTGTGATAGAGGAGGGGGTGGGGGAGGATTAGGTCTATACAGTCACTCTGTACATCTCATGCCTAGTCAGTGCTACACTCTGTTGTCTGTTGTAGTGTTTTTGCCAAGCCTTGTCACTCAAGCCCACGCAACTTGCTGGACGACTCTGTGATAGAGGAGGGGGGTGGGGGAGGATTAGGTCTATACAGTCATTCTGTACATCTCATGCCTAGTCAGTGCTAACACTCTGTTGTCTGTTGTAGTGTTTTTGCCAAGCCTTGTCACTCAAGCCCACGCAACTTGCTGGACGATTCTGTGATAGAGGAGGGGGGTGGGGGAGGATTATATTTATACAGTCATTCTGTACATCTCATGTCTAGTCAGTGCTAACACTCTGTTGTCTGTTGTAGTGTTTTTGCCAAGCCTTGTCACTCAAGCCCACGCAACTTGCTGGACGATTCTGTGATAGAGGAGGGGGTGGGGGAGGATTATATTTATACAGTCATTCTGTACATCTCATGTCTAGTCAGTGCTAACACTCTGTTGTCTGTTGTAGTGTTTTTGCCAAGCCTTGTCACTCAAGCCCACGCAACTTGCTGGACGACTCTGTGATAGAAGAGGGGGGTGGGGGAGGATTAGGTCTACTCAGTCATTCTGTACATCTCATGCCTAGTCTACCCGACGATACTCAGGAGTGTGTCACACTTCAGGTACAGTTATTGATTTTTTCTGTAGGATAAAAATAGAACTAGTTCTATGGGACTTTTGAATGCTGATTACACGCTTTTCCACTTTTTTGTCGTATCATTTTTAATTTTTGAGCAAAATTATTGTTAAAAAACTATATCTTTAACAATAATTTGAAATTGAATATTTTAATTTTTTTTTTAGATAAGGCTAATGTAAGGTAATGTTTCCCAATAGTAAGGAACATAATTTATTGCAATTAATCCACAAAAACATTTTTAGAACTTTTTGGAATATATCTCTTTCTTTAACAATGTATAAATTTTATAACTTTGATAAATATTCTTCTTGTATTCTTCTTTAGATAAATATTGTTTATGCAGCAAACATAACCTAACTTAAGAATTGTGCAGGGTTGCCTGAGACGTAAGACTCTGATGAAGGAAGGGCGTAAGCCTACTGTGTCCCCATGGCAGAGGTACTGGGTTCAGCTATGGGCGACTGCTCTTGTCTTCTACTTGCCAAAGACTTTCAAAGGGTAAGGACCTGTGTAAAAGAATTGTAGTGATGGTCAAATACATCAAATTTATAATTTTTACCTATCATTCTACAAATAAAAATAACAAGGGAACCCACAAGCTTCTTCCACTTCCATCACAATCAATAAAATCAATGGCTGATGAAGTGGCTTGCCACCAAACAGGCTTCCAAAGTGGTGCTTCCACGGTGGCCTAGTGTGCAAAGGCCCTATTGGTAGTAGTACAGCTGTCTATAAGACCTGTACTGCTTGGTAAACATGGAGTGGAGTATAGTATCTAATGTTTGTGCTTCCTCCTTTACACTCAAACTATTGTAATATTATACTAATCGACATTCCTGGTTGGTCACAGATGTGAAAGAACTGACTTCAAGCGAGACCCTTGCAAGATGACTCCACTGACCGGGTGTCTGGTGACTCTGGGCCACAATCCGGTCCACTCCGACGTGTTCCTCATCCGGGACCCTCACAGAAGTAAGTATACTATATCTATATATATCTATATACTCAAAAGTCATGTTAGATGAAGAAATGCCAGGAAAAGGATGTAGGCATATAGGCACAATGATCAATCTTTAAATTTTTTGTTAGGAGAGAAGCTTACCTGTAAGGGGAAAAGTCGAATCTGGCTCATGAAACACTAACATTTATACTATACCACATAGAATATTTTACTGTCACCAATTTCTACCAAGGAAGGTTTTGAATCCTGAACAATGGACCTAAAGACCAACTTCCCAACTCAAACCTTACTTAGTTTAAAATGTTTTAAAATTGGATTACATTTTTTGTGTATTAGTTATAATATTTGTGTTCTGTTTCTTGTGTGTTTGGTTATCCAAAAGTTAAACCAAATACAACCTGTAAATATTTAATTTTTTATTTTGTTTTTTGTTTTTAAAGAACATAACTATTAAAAACCACATAAAAGTGATCCAGAACATACACTTTAACTCGCGACAAAGTATTTACAGCAATTACTATTTTCTGGCTATTTATTATTTCTCATGCAAATCTCCTAGAATGGCCTGTAATATGGTTATGTATTGTTAATTTATTTCAGAAAACTGAGTATAACCCTTTACGTTTCTTAGATAAAAAGTTTTTTGCTAATTGTGACTGAATTTTGCTTTTTCAGGCAATATGTACAAATTCAAAGCGATCAGTGAAGAAGATGCCTTAATCTGGTACAACTCATTGCAACAAATGCTCACAGAAAACAACACTACCTCTACTAATCTCATATCCTTCGATTGATTTGTACAGTTCCTATTTTAGTCCCTTAAGCTTTAGCTGTAATCTCCTTATCTTTTTATGTAGATATTTTGTTAGCTTGCCGTAAGACGATCTCACAGCAGTGTTTTTATGTTTACATTCTGGTCATACACTTTGTGATTTATTTTTATAGTCAATTTGTTGATTTATTTCATTTATGTTGGTGACTACCAAATTCAATAAAATAAGCAAAAACATTATAGTGGCGATTTTTTTATGTGCCCTACCTACCAAATCTCATCATTTTTCATGGAACTGTTTTTAAAAACTGTCAGGTTGTGGGTTTTCTCTGGGAGCTATGGGTGTAAATGAAGAAACTTTTGACTCTGACATAGTTGCTCTGATATAGGTTAAGGGTCTGACGGGAATTTTTGTAATGGATAGAATTTAGTTACGAAGGACCTGCAAGAATTGAATTAAGGTTGGATCGTGGAAGTAGTTAAGTAAGTAGTAAATATATTTCAGCATAGTGGCTAAGGTTAGCGGAGTGACACCACAGGAGTGCTGGAGATCGAGATCAGGAACAAAAGATGAAAAGGCATGGACATACCTGACGGGAGTAATAGCTGAACCATGGGAGACACCAACGTGAAGGGGAGCAACAGAATAAGTAAACAACTGCAAATTAATTTGCTATTATGAAATTAGTTTTATACTAATTCTAAAATGTCCCACAAGTTAGAGAAGTAAAATATTATTAATTATCACTAATGTACTCAGTTCCGAATATAACTTACTAATCTCAATCAGTGTTAGTGGTTATCTCTTTGCTCCATTTCTGCCAGCCTAACAGTGTTGTAAACAAAAATAATGACAATGATACAAATATGTCAGCAGTTTCAAAACCAAAATGTTTAATTTCAAAAGTTATGAGATTTGTCACATCACTAATGGTACTTGATCTATTTACATTTCTACCATGCCTTAAGTGTTTCACCTATAGTCTATTTTTTTATGCTAAAAAGTAAATTTAAATTTACTGTATTTACACATTACGTTTTTGCACAGACAGTTTGGTACTTATTTTGGCTATTAAAAAAGAGACTAAGGAGCTTAGGAATTACTTCAACAGATTAAACATAAGTTTCAATATTCACTTGTTTAAAACGTTACGAGAATGTACGATGATTGATTTAGCAAGACTCAATACCATACAGCATGCTACATTACATGCTGATATTTACTGCCAAGCAATATATGCTTGTAGTGAAGCCACAACAAGCACCGGGCACAAACGTACGAGTTGAAACACGTTTATTGGAAAATGTTAGTGCTGTTACATTTTAAATTAAACCAATAACTTTTGTTTTGTTAACACTTTCAGTGATGAATATTTTTACACACGTGAAATAAAGACATCTAAAATTAAGACGGTATACAGGGTGGGGAAAAAGTATCAGGACAGTTAAATATTTCAAAACAAATATAAAGCAACCAAATTATGAAAAAAAATTTAGTGGTCATATAAAAATGTTAAAACATTCAGTAATGTTACCTTCTCAGAGAGATCAGAATAAAATCTAAAATATAAAAAAACTTTGATATTATGTCATCTAAGATAGGAAGGCCTACAACGTACAACAATTTCTAACCATCCAAAGAGTATAAGGAGAGGCTAAAATAATGTGACAGTTGTTTTGTTTGAGCTTTTTCCATTCAATCTTTTGGAAATTTTGAGACGTTATATCCTGCATCGACGGAATTTTTTAAAATAGCTCTAACTTATGATTTTCAATCATAAAATTATATTTCTTGCATTATGTCAATAGGATTGCTTTCATTTTTTGAAAAGTTGAAATGTATTTATGGGAAATAAGCATTTTAAAAAATAATGAAAAAGATATACACAAATTTAATAAAACTTAACTAAATATTTGTAAACACTCAAGCAAAAATGTACAACAAACAAGTATTAAATGTCAACATTTAAAACCATTGTGGTATCAATCAATAAATCATTTGAAATTTAAAATAAAATCATCACCAATTTAAATATTTTTTTAAATTTCATGAGGCTTTTTGCAGCTATGCATCATCAGACACATCACAAAACTTAATAAATAATACCCCGTCGCAGCAAACCTGCAGACTTACCGAATTTCCATTTGCCTGTGGATTTACACTAAAATGTTTCCTTAAAAATATCACATTTGTTCCCTATTTAAACAGAATTAGTTTAACGAGTACTTAGGTTTGCTGCAACAGGGAGGGTAAAAAAGTTTTTTTTTTATGTAAAATGTTAAAAGGTACTGTAGTTTAGTAAGAAATTAATGTATTTTCCAAATTTTATCAAAATATGTTCATAAACAAGCAAACTACAACAGTTGACTTATTCTCCATAAGAATAACATGGGAATTTTAAAATTACAATTTTTCTGAATTTTATCCGTAACAATTAGGCGCATAATAACGCTTCAATATACTAAATTATTTGTTTTTTTAAGCTCTACAAAATGGTTTAGAGAGAAATTGTGAAATTTTGTGTTTTTAGGGTCAAAAATGGGGAAAACCTATTTTTACCCCATAAAACCCCCCATAAACCCCCGTTCCCATAGTCCGATCATGCTGGTTCGCGAACTCATTCAAGTTTATCCCTTACACCTTCAAACCAAATTTTATCAAAATCGGACAAAAATTACTCAAGTTATCGTGTGGATGGACACACACACACATATATATATATATATAAAACTCTATATCTAATATATAAAATTCTCGTGTCACAGTGTTTGTCTGCAAACTCCTCCGGAACGACTTCACCGATCGTTATGAAATTTGGTGTGTAAATTCTGAAGGTATGCGAATAGAAAGTAAACTATTTCCCGTTTCGAAATTCTTAAAAGGGCTCCGCCCCAGTGGCTCTGGAGTTTCCCATGTTAACCTTATGAGAAATGGAATTAATGAATCTTAACAGCTGTTTCAATTAAACAAGTTGGTTCTGTTCTATGATGTTCAATAGCATTAAAGTTACAAGGATTACCAACAGGGTGCAGCACTATTATTTCTTTTACATTTATGACAACAGCTAATTTGCAACCAAAAGGTGAGTGAGCGTAGCGAACGAACTTCAACCTGGAGGCGAGTTAGCGTAGCGAACGAGCTAACCTGAAGGCAAGTGAGCGCAGCGAACGAGCTCCAACCTAAAGGTGAGTGAGCGTAGCGAACGAGCTCCAACCCAAAGGTGAGTGAGCGTAGCGAACGAACTTCAACCAGGACGTGATTGAGCGATGCGAACGAGATCATCTTGAAAATTAAACTTAACGGTACTTTCTTTCCATCGGTCTGTCTTAGGGGAAACCTATAACTTTGGCGATACGAAGTTCGTCGGGTCAGCTAGTATAGATATATAAAAATTTGAACGAATGGTGTTTTTGGCCTCTGGGGACATCAAAATGAAAAAGTAAATCGGTCCCGGGCCTAGGTCTTACCATGAGACCTACGGTAATAGCTACTTCCCTATAGGGAAATTCGCTAATAACTTGATTAATGAAATAAAATAGTTTGTAGAGCATAAATTGTATGAAACACATCTTCCCTAACAAAAAAGATAAGGTGTATGCTAATTGGGAAAAACACTTTCCCTAACAACATTCTCTTGCTTCACTATCAGTTACTCCAAGACCTTGGTTACCTCATAAATAAACTTTCTTTCCCAACTCTTCCTCAATTGACCAAGTAGGCCTAGTGTACACCAGTGATTTAAAACTCTTGCATTTGTCATCTGTTCATCAAAGTCATTAATATTATTTTATTAAGATTAAAGATTTTTTATTAATAGGTACTTTATATTATGTAATCAATAATTTTGTTTTGATATTTTATTTTTTGTAATATAGTTATTTCTGTTAAAAGTATAGTGATAAATATTAGTCTAATTATCAAATTAGACTGGAGTGAAAACTTTGTTATCCTTCAGGCATGATTTAATTTAGAAAGAAGTCAGTAAATGTACTTGAATAGTTTAATTATTTTTATAAATAAAAATATATTGTCTTCACATTCCAAGGTGGTAAGCCATTTAGGTATTGAAAGGCAAGTGGTTATAATCTAGCTTTCAAATCTGAAGTTTACTGGTTTGATCCTGAGCACCCAGAAGTTGGTTGATCAAGAAACTACTCGGCATTGGGCAATCAAATCAGAAGCTGTCTAACAAAAGGTCTAGAGAGTAATAAGACCAGGCTTAAACCATTCCCTTACGAAAACCGTAACGAAATTCCAAAAGGCGAAGAAAAAGTACAAATACAAAAACTATTGAAAACAAAATGAAGACTGGGAGGTTAAGGGCAATGGTTGACTGTGGTTTACTCAGTGATTAAACTACATGATGGATCGTCTGTTCACAATTTCAAACTCCAGTAACTTGATTCCATCTATCCACCTCAGTGTCAAAGTTTTTCTACCCACTACTGTATAAACACTATATGAGTCCGTTAGCATGATAACTCGAGCAAAAACCATCCGATTTAGATTAAATTTGGTACAAACGTGTAAACCTACATTCATTTGACAGAGTTTGCGAACCAGCATGATTGGACTATGAAAAGGGGGTTTTATGTGGTAAGAATTGTTTTTTTCTTATTTTTACCATCAAAACATAATTTTTTTTTATTTCTCACTAAATCATTTTTAAGAGCTTAAAAACAAATAATAGTGTACTTGAAGGGTTTTTGTGTAGTTATTGATTGACAAGAAAATCCAAAAAGTTTTAAATTTTAAATTCCCATGTTATTCTTAGGGAGAATAAGTTAACTGTTTGTAGTTTGCGTGATTATGGATATATGTTGATCAAAATTGGCACATTTATTTATTTTGTACTAAGCTATTAATATTTTATTAAAAACACTACTACCCTCCCTGTAGCAGCAAACCTAGGTACTTGTTAAACCTAACGTTATTTAAATAGATTTAAGTGAGAATCAAATCGGGCAAATGGAAATTCACTTAGTCTGCAGGTTTGCTTCGGTGGGAGTATTAATTTGTGTGTTACCGAATTGTGTATTAATCTGAATTTTTGTAACCGAAATAGATTGAAATATGCTGTTTGTGGTATTGATTGTTAACAAAGAATGGTTAATAACAGGTATTTAAAATTTTGAATTGGTGAAATGGATGCTTTTTCACCCAATCAAATTTTTAAATACCTGCCAATTTGGCTAGGGGTGACATATCGACTTCGTGTTTGCACCATTGCTTATGTCTTGTAAAATCCTCCAAAATGAGGCGTCACTCAATAGGGGTGGTTATTTGAACAAAATAAGTCACCCCTACCCCCTACCCTGTTAAGGAGGTTTTAAAATATGTTTGATGTAAAAAATTGTGGAACCTTTGTTAATGCCACAAACAGAATATTTCCATCTTTTTCGGTTTAAAATCACAGATTTGTTTCCATATTTGTGAAATTGGTGCTTTTTCACATAAATAAAATGTTGGAATACCTGCCATTTTGGCTAGGGTAAGATATCCACCTCGGGTTTGTGTCATTGTGTTTCTTTTGATAAACCCTTCGAAATGAGGGGTCACTCAATAGGGGTTGCCATTTGAAAAAATAAGTCACCCCCTACCCTGTTAGGGGGGTTAAAAAATACTTTTTATGTAAAAAATTGTGGATCTTTTGTTAACAATCAATGCCATAAACAGAATATTTCTATCTATTTCGGTTTAAAAAATACAGATTTGTTTCAATAATACAGGTTTTAATTTACACACTGTATAAGATTCCATAACCATCTGTTGGAGGCCAAGAGAATAATTAGCCGTGTAATGCACAAGCTATAATTACGCTAGCATATGCCAAATTAAATGTTGAATTGAATACATTTTGGGTGGATTCTTTATCAGTATCTATCTAGTATTCCAAATTCGTAATTATTTATCGGGAATGTGTTATGGCAAGATCTAGTCAATACCCAACACTTACTAAAATTAATAAATGTCAAATAGCAAAATGATAAATATGTTTATACCAATTTAAATTCAAAAATTGTTAAAAAAAACAAGATAATCTTTTAGGCCCATCTCCAAATATTTCTAGAAATTTTATAAAAAAAATTGCATTAGCCCAATAGTTTTCAGTCGTGTGTCAAAATAATTATTCAATTTTGGCGTTTCAAGGTCGAATGAAACATCCATTGTGTCACTTGTCAAATTGTCACTAGAGCAGCAAGTTGAAACAGCTGGCGCTATGACGCAAATAGATAAGAGACGGTAGTCGATAATGCGACATTGATGTATCGATATTTTGCACCGACCGAACAATTGCATCGGTACTTCAATACAACAACAACCGACATTGTAAAGCAAATTCGTATTGTTGTAAGATGTAGATGTAATTAATTACTGTTTGATTGTTGGGTTCTAAGTGCGTGATGTAACACAATTTTTTCTAAATAAACCTTTTAGATTAAAAAGAAGCTTATGCAAATGTAGCAAAATATTTATTCTATTGCATTGGGGATAAAACATGTCTTTCAAGACTAGACCTAACAAACTTCTCAACTTCGCCACAAACGCTTTTCGCTTTATAAGATCTATACAAATTTACTGACCTATGAAGCAAACCTATCTTATTTTGTGGTATAGAGAAAAGAACAATTTATTGACAAGCCCACAGATTTAACAGTAATTAGGCATTAGTATACAAAGCTTTACTTACTACTAAACAAAATTACAGTAAAGTGCATAAGTCCATGGACATTGAAGACATTGAAAAAGACAAAAGACATTGAAGTTACGGTTTTGGTTGGATTTTGTTAAAATCAAATATGTACACAACTGGCTCATGAGCTTTAGTCAACGGTTCATTTTGGTTAGTCACCCCCCTTAATTTCATCTGGTTTTATGATTTTAATTCATTTTTTGTGTGGAAACTGCTTCTTTAGCTTTATACCTCACCTAGGAGATTTCCACAGTAATTTATTTACGACATTGACCAGACACACCGGGTTTTTGAGGCGAAGATTAAATTTTTCAAACCATCATTCATATAAAACCACTATATAGCCTATCCATAGAATTCTTTTAGATTTATAAATTGCACGTTTTCATGCCCAGTCACTCCATTTTTATTAGGTTGCTATTTTATGAATTAAAATTACATGTAATGAAACATAACCTCACATCGATTGGTGCGTGTAGATACATCGAAGTTCGTTCGATTCAACTATCGATTCAACCGATACGTCAATGACAGTTGTTATCACGCATGACTATGCGCCGGCGCAACTGATACTACACCGAATCGACTACAAACAGTCAAAACTGACACTGTTGAACTGAAGCTTACCGGGAAAGGTATCGATTTTTCAAAATGGAAGTGTGACGGTACCATATGGGTAGGCCAGTCAACATAGGTAGGCCTGAAAGTATGCATTTGGTCTTGTGTTGTGTTTTGGTTTATGTTTCCGTTTTGCCGCATACTTTAGTCGGAGCTGAACATCTAGACTATCCAGGTATGTCTTACTGAAAGCCACGTATTTCTCTTTATTTCCTCAATGGACTCATTCATGAACTCGTTACAGCTAAAGGTGTTTATTAATTAATCACTAAGATAATTGATAGTGATTTTTAAATTCAATGGTGTACCGTAGGTCGTGAGTTCCCGATGTACTGTGAATTAACTGGGTGGAAAGGAATTGTATGTCAAGGATGAAGTTGTAAATTAGATTGATTTTGTTGGTTTGTTTTACTTGAAGTGTAGACAGCAATGTTGAGAATGATAAATAATTGTATTGACCCATTTGACGATTTATTTATTGATTTACACAGTTTTTTTTCTTATGGAGACTATATATATCTTCCAATTTATCTACCTACCCTATTAAAAAAAATCCAATGAACTAAGAGTTACTTTTTTAGTGTATGTGAGTCAATTGAATTTGGTTTATGCTAATGGGAAATAATCTAGCTTTCGATACTATGAGCTCTTTGAGAATTCAAATGAAAATCTTCCGAATTTAGTTCAGTAGAAACGGTAAAAGTTGTATGATTGACTAGCAATTACAATATTTTATTTTTATTTAACGTATAAAAATATCAATAACTCCTCAGACCTCAGATATATTAAATGAATTAATTTATTGACCTTGATTTTATTTTGTCACCTCATGTTCTGTCTACAATAACAATTTGATAGAAACATTCACAGATACAAGCTAGGCCTAGCGTATGGTATTAAAAAAATGCATATTATTATTATTAGTCACAAGGGTTATCATATGCAGCCCAGATTAAAACATTAAAAAACTAAAAGAAAATTTAAAAAATATTTGTTGAAATTAAATATGGTAAAAAAATTGTGTTTTTGAAATAGGCCTAGTACAGTACCTATAAAAAAAACCAACCCCAAAAATATAAATGAAATAAATGAAACTATATTAAAATAAAATTAACATAACAAACATTTAAAATCTCTAACCTAGAAAACTGTCAAATAAATTTACAATTTTCTTTTAAATTTTAAAACCATTATAGTTTTGGAGTTTAGTGTACGCGGTAACTGTAATTTTGAATGGATTTTCTTAGTTACAAACATTAGGGTTACCGTTACACAAAAAACTAATTTTAAAAAGTTGTTCTTTTGTAAAGTATGTTTTTGGAGGCACTGTCATAGCAGTCTAACAAAATTAAATTACCCACCCAGTTCTTCTGGGTTACTAGCAATTTTGTGTAGCAGGCTTGATTTGTAATCCAATGAAGTTTCAACAACAAAATCAAAATTAATTATTTCAAGCAAGACATAAAAATATAATCAAAAAAGTCATTCATTTGCAAAGCTATATGGAAGCACATATTTTGTAATAAAACTCACACAAAATTAAACTTTAACCCTCACTGATTATTATAATTGTGTTCCTAAAAACACACACCTATAGTTGAAATAAAATAGTTTAACTATGTACAATCACACTCAAAAATATACTTTAAAAAAGTCATTACACAGTAATATTTTTTACTTTTAATTTTCCTGTGTGAGATTCCCATGTGATTTATATAAGTTTTATTATGAATGTGACATGGATTGGATCGTAAGTTTCTAAATTCCTTGAATAGTGTTTCTAAGGTATTTGGAAACAGACCAAACTCTGGTCTATTGCAAGTATAATGTTTACTATAGTTTATTTTTGTTTAAAATTTAAATTTCTCTTGAAGAATATCAAGAGGCAGCTATTATCCAGCGTATCCAGCGAGTTCTGAGCAAATGGCGGCAATACCAACTACGCAGAGAGGCGTCTGAGCCGGAGGTGGTTCCCGCACCACTTCCAGAGTTTACATATCGTTTCCCGGAAGATGGCGGCCGCAGTTACCAAAACGATTTATTTGCAGTTCCCCCTTCTAACCCTAGGTTCTATGATCCTGGTATGGAAACTCTACTCTGCATGCTGCATGTTGTATTTCCTCCTCAGCCAGTACATATTTTAATTTTGGTCAAGTTTTCTGTTTTTCGCTCTGTCCTCTGTGCATGTAGAGCTATAACAATTTTAAATTTCCATGTGTTATTTTGATTTATCATTGTCTGAACATACTTCCCTCGTTATGTTTATTTATATTTTGGTTTCAACATTTGTCTTGTTTGTGTTGAGCTTGTAGAGCTTTTCCTTTTAAATATTGAACCTTCCATATAGTATTTTGATTTGTCTTTTTATATTTCTGTAATTTTCTGCATGATTTCTGTTCATTTGAATTTGAAGTTCTTCATTCTGTGACCCTCTCGTTTGTAGTAATAAGTAAATCTTTCTGAATCTTGAATATTTCCACTAACATTTTTGTTTCTTTTCCATAGTTCCTTCTATTATTTAATGTCATTGGTGGCAAGAAAACACTTTCTTCTCTTATAGTCCAGTCAATCCGTTGTAAAATTCAACCATACGTGGACAAAATTGGCGTCCAAGGAATTTTGTCTGAAATTTTTGTTTTTTGGGGCGCTGAATCCGAATCTGAAGTTGTCCAACAAATATTTCTTGAGCGTTCCAAGATATTCGCAAAAAATAGCAAAATTTTAGCACTTTTCAGTTTTTATATTATAAGTCGAAAACTATGAATTCTAGCGAATTTTACCCCAGTACAAAATGGAAGGTGACAAAATTTCCTTCAAAATGCACTATTCACACTTGAAAATCGATTAGAAATAACCTCCGCTAGAGTGCATTGAAAATTGGTTATTTTTCTGATTTTAAAAAAATTCAAGCTTTTGCTCTGATTTTAATTATTATCAGCAAACACCCACACCCTTCCCCTATAACTATCTCAACCCGAATTCCCCCATCGGGGGGTGTTTTGATGGGGGAATTCGGGTTGAGATAGTTATAGGGGATTATTTTTAGCCCCACCCAATGTACTATATCATTCTTCCCCTTCATTCCACAGCGTTCTTTCTATTTTTCTTGGGCGGAATTAATAATCTTAGAGAGGTAGGTTTCCATGGTTATCATAAACATGACAAGACAGTTGTTATCATTGACCCAATGACACTACACCAAAGAATGACTATTATAAAGCAGTCTGAAAACGAGCTTAAGGAATCCTTGAAATTCAAGCTAAGTCCGTATCCTTCACCATTATTTCAAGAAGGATCCACGAGGAAAGGAAAGAAATCGAGCCTCTACAAATCTTTCTATAATATGCCCGATTCTGAAATACCAAAAGACACCCAAAATGTTATATATGGAGGGTTAAGAGGGTGTAGTGTCATTGGGTCAATGATAACAACTGCCTTGTCATGTTAATGATAACCATGGAAACCTACCTCTCTAACATTATTAATTCCGTCCAAGAAAAGTAGAAAGAACACTGTGGAATGAAGGGGAAGAATGGTATAGTACATTGGGTGGGGGGGGGGTGTGTTTTGATGGGGGAGTTCGGGTTGAGATAGTTATAGGGGAAGGGTGTGGGTGTTTGCTGATAATAATTAAAATCAGAGCAAAAGCTTGAATTTTTTTAAAATCAGAAAAATAACCAATTTTCAATGCACTCTAGCGGAGGTTATTTCTAATCGATTTTCAAGTGTGAATAGTGCATTTTGAAGGAAATTTTGTCACCTTCCATTTTGTACTGGGGTAAAATTCGCTAGAATTCATAGTTTTCGACTTATAATATAAAAACTGAAAAGTGCTAAAATTTTGCTATTTTTTGCGAATATCTTGGAACGCTCAAGAAATATTTGTTGGACAACTTCAGATTCGGATTCAGCGCCCCAAAAAACATAAATTTCAGACAAAATTCCTTGGACGCCAATTTTGTCCACGTTGTATATGGATAGACTGTACTATTAGTTCTTACTTCTATTTGTGTCTGCTACTGTACTTATTTACAATGTTTTTTTGTGATTACCCTGAAGCAAATGATTTTAAGAAGATGAATAAATCTAGTTAATAGTTATCTGGTATTCTTTAAGCTCACAAGGTACTTGCCCACATCCTGTGTCCCCCATGTGTGATTTAAAGCAGGTGGAGATTAATTATCGTAGTTGGGAACACCTGCCTAGTTTAACAGTTATGTTCTTCAACTATACAAGTGACCTGTGACCCCTGTGAATCATGTCACGTTAACAAGGAACGCTTGTTATCAGCATGTATTGTGAAGGCTACCTAAAATAGTTATGCCAAAATAATCAGGGGTACATCCGGTATATTATAGGACTTTTGTCTTGAAAAGTTGGATTCATACCTGATCAATTATAAAGTTACCTATGTGTTATTATCATGAATCCGTTCCATTGGTTCGGTGTCAAGCTAAGGTATAGGTCCATCTATCTACCTAAAATAAAATACATTACTTTTAGGATTGGAGCATTTTTTTGTCTATGAAAATTTTCTCCTGAAAAAGCCCAATAATAATTTATTTAGTTTTTTTTATAATAATGTGTAGTAAAATATCGCTTCAATGCTGATTATTTTTCCTCTGTTGGAATGTAAGCCCAATGTCCTATTGATTCTATTGTTGAGTATATTCCTTTAAAAACTCCATTTTGGTCGAATATTAGCAATGTTGTACATGTTAGTACCTACCTAATATCATGTAGTTGTTTTATTAAATAAAATCCATATTTTCTGCTGATCAATGCAGGATTAATCATAAATATTCTCCAAACTGCTCTACAACTTTTTTTGAAGGAAATTCAATCTTAACATATTGACAATGCAAAACGTATTCAACAAAGTAAATTACGATTGTGATTGTGATTTAATATAGTATTATAATTGTCACTTATTAATACCACTTTTTACTTCCTAGATCCAGACTTGCTTGCAAAAGAAACTAAAAGGCTAGAAAGTGAGGCGCCGCCAACTCAAGAGGAAGATGAAGCTAAGAACCCTACAACGGAGCCGGAAGAAGTAACTACCGGCTGGGAGGAGGATGAAGCTACCTTAGAAAGCAGCGAGCCTAGAGATGACGAAGTTTCATATGTTTTTAAGAAGTTTTTGGCCAAGGGGGATCAGGATGTCGTACTTGTTGGTAAGAATATCTAATTTTTTTAAAAGTGAATTTATAATTATTATTAAAGTAAAATGTATATCATGGTCACATTTTTGGCTGGATAACCCATAAGTGGCTCTGTGTTACCCTACAATCGTTTTATAACAAAAAAAAGTAAAAAAATGTTAAACTTTAAAAGACGTTTTATTTAAAGTTTTTTTTATTATTATGATGTAAACTTAAAAAAAAATTAGGCCTATTTAGTATCTCCACTACCCCAAAATCTGATCCTTTCAAGACTTCCAATGACTAAGTAACGGCCAATGTAAGTTTTGAATGTAGATGAAATTTTATGATAAAATCGTTAAAAAAAACAACAACAAAACCCCGTAATGGCCGTTTATGGATTGATAAATAAATCTTTATTTTCCGTAAGGATACAACATATGATTGACAAAGTCTTTCAAGGATTTATAGTTTGACAAAAGTCTTAAACAGCAAGTGGATGACACCAAATGCTTATATTAAATCTCAATGTAACTTCTTTAAAAAGATTTTCACGTAAATTTATTATAGGCATTTATCTTTTGTGTTATCTACTGGTTATAAAACACAAATTCTTAAATCCTAAGTTTTAAATGTTTTTTTTATATAACCTACTGGGTGATACATTTTCATTAATTCAGTAATTAAGTTAATTATCCCCTGAAAATGTTATAATCTGCATAAAAGTTATTTCTTATTTTGTTGTTAAATGTATAGGTCTAGTTGATTCCTTGTTAAATAATCCTACACCAACAGTAATTGAATGTAATATAGTTACAAGTTTGGTGGTCAAGTAAGTGTCATATTTCCTGGAGATTTCTTATCCTTGGGTCAAAGTTATCAGTGTCACCCATCTTTGCATCCTGTATGAATTTATCTTGTTCTTATTATAGGTCAATGAAACAGTTCATTGTAAAAGTTACATGTAAAAAGAGGTATGCAGTTAGTAAATAAAATAATCAATTTTAAGGTGTATACCAATTCATCTTGAAATATATAGAAAGATATTCTTCAAAATATTAAATACTCTGGTAGATGAAATATAGTTCTTAATGTTTTAAGTTGTTTTTCATACCACAAATTTTAAAGGTTACCCAGCTATTTAAATTCTAGAAGAGTTCTTTGTTCAGTATTTACTTGTTTTTTATGAATTTGTTAAAAAAGTTACAGTACCTAAATTAATACTGTTTTTTACTTCATCAAGATTAAGATTTATCAAGAAGTTAAGAGATCTTGCTTTACAATAAGTGGTTTGCTTTATCAGAAAAAAATAAAAAATATAAAAGTTTGAGTTCAAAAATATAAAAGTGATATACTTACTTTTAACAATTAATTTATGATCTAAAAAAACATGAGAAACTATTAAATTTACAAAATATAAAAAATAGTTATTTTTAGAAAAAACACTTAAAGAAACAAATTAAAGGTATGTCTAAACAATTAATACAGTACTAAATGGCTGGTAGAAAGATTGACACAAAAAGGACTGAATACTATGAACTAAGTTCACACCAATCTTAAACAAATTTTGATTAAATGTTTTTCTGCCTTTTTCATACATTTTGTCATATCCTTATGTTTCACAACCTTTTTTCAATCCATATTGTATATTTTCAATATAAACATTTTAAACTAGTTACCAAAATAAAGTGTAAGACTAGGGATTGTTTAAAATGTATTTAACTTTTATTCTGCGATAGCAAGTGTCTGATATTTTAAGTTAATGTTCAATTTCTTTCACTGCTCTCCATCTTTTAAGTTTAATAATTCGGTTGAATTAAGTCGAGGAAAAGAGTTATTAAGTGAATTATTCTGCCCTAGCTATCATCGCGGGCTGTGGGGCCGCGGCAGCGGCTGGTGTCATAGCACTTTCTATTGGCTGGTACAAGTAAGTACGATTAAACATACTCCTGTTGAACATTTTTGAACATTTGTATTTTGCATCTGATCCCTCTACTGAGCACAATATTATCTTGGGAAAATTCCTACGAAATATCTGTATAAACTTTTAGTTCCACCACCATTTTGCATCTAGTTATTCCGAGTGTACGCTGAATTCTACCCTTAAAAAAACTTCCCAATCATGTGGCTTTAGTTTAATGTATTGCATTTGAATTTCCCGGTGAGGTCAGAGGGATTGCATGTGATCGAGAAATGCTGTGACAGTCACCGATACAGTTGGGACCCATATGTGTTATGTAAACTAATTATTGCTACTGATCTTTTCAAAGTAGTCGGTGTTGATACCTATAAGTCTATCTGCACTATAGCTTTTGAACATGTTTACTCGCAAATTGTAAACATTGTTTATTGTTTTTTTTTTTTTTTTGTTTTTTTTTTTTTTACTTCTACTAAACCTAGCTTTGAGTTTAAAATAAAAAAGTTATAAAAGTTGACAGAGTAATTGGCCTTACAAAAACCTAAGAAAACAGTATGTTTTTTCTCTATTGAATATAATCATCACAAAAAATACTTGCCAAAATGATACCGCGCAAGAGATAGAGGCTAAATGAACTGTCTAAAATGCATTTAAGATGAGTGGTTCTAGTTGAAAAATAGTTGATTATTTATGCTGATATCATTTAACCTTGGAGCTTTGCCTTCATGACCTATTTTGCACAACAATTACATTTCCCATTATTTTTTTTTTAGTTGAAGAAGATTTTTAATTGTTATGTAATCATTAGTGATTGACATCCGCACACTGTAGTTGCCCAATTCAACTACATCCATTTTGATTCTAAAACTGGTGACAACTTTAACAAGGGCTAGAATGTCTAGCTCCATAGCTGAAGTGTTTGATTGGTAATAATGTTTGTATTTTATGAAGCAATTAACATTTGAACCGTTGCAGATTGCACTCAAACTCCAAGGCTGCCGCAGACATTGAGTATCCTGCGTATGGAGTGACTGGTCCCAACAAGGAGATTACACCTACAGGAGACCGCAGACTAGCGCAGTCTGCGCAGATGTATCACTATCAGCACCAGAAACAACAGATCATTGCTATGGAAAGGTAATTCTGTATAAACCTCATGAAATAATTTATATGAATTGGTGTAAATACCCGCTGCGTTATAATCCTAATGTTGCTAGTGTCGCAAATAGTTTAGACTTTCTACAAAGTCATCTTCAGGCGCCAAGGATGTCAAAACGTTGATCACTTCATAAGAAGGGCATTGATTCTTATAAAGGATAAAGACACACGAACACGGACAATGAAACGGTACATTTAAAACAAATATAAAACAGTAACTGCGGTATGGGGAATGAGTTTTTACAACCGGATGGATGTAGAGTCAAGACTGTCGGTCATTCCCGATACCGCGGTTACCGTTTTTTGTTAGTTAAGCAGGATAGAAGATGGGACTTGGTTCTAATTCTGCTTCGTTTATCAAACCCCAAGTAGGTAATAGTAATGAAAATAAACCCTACAATTCCATATTGTTGTTTTAAATGTTTGTTTACTATTTTATTATCATACGGTAAAATACTAATTTGATCTACCTAAAAAGAAAATGAAAACAGAATGAATGACATTTATTTTGAACCCGGGAACCCGGTTCAAGTTTTATCGTGTCCTCTGTAGCCTACTTGAAAACTGTATTCAACTCTAATAAATAAAATAATATAAAAATAATAAAAATTACATTTAAAAAAGAATATGAAAAATGTTATGAATCTATTTGTTACCTGGCATTACACAACAAAAACATATCTAATAGCAAACATATCTAAACATAATATGTTTAGATAAAATTGTTAATCCATATTATGGTGGCGGAGGAAAACCGGACTAATTTTGTTTTGTGGTATCAATTATAACTTTTATTACATTAAACTTACTGTAAACTCATGCCATTTAAGAAATACACTATTTACTAAACATAGTTGGCTACAATTATCAGATATTCTTTACTCTTAGATGAAATTTCAGTATGTAGTCCACTTTCATTCATGCAGGTTTGAATCATTTACTTACATTCTTCCATTATATGTCCCAACATTTCATGGCCACCAAAGATTTTCCCGCCACTTTCATGTAAAATCCATCAGAGTTCAGGGTTTATGAGTGTAGACACAAAATTTGAGATCACCTTAACAAAAAATTCACACACCCTCAAACGCTGGGCGTTTCCACAGAATATCATAGGAACGTGAAATAACCTTTTCTAGGAACATACCCTCCACGGCCATTGAACCCTGAGTATTTGTCATAGATAAAACATACTCCCTTAGTAAATTTCTCATCCTTGTGGATCAACAAAAGACAATTAATTGTTAGTTCCGCCCCGTGCACTGTAGGAGTTGCGTTTTGTTTACAATTTGTTTCTTGTTATTTCAGCTATTTAAAACCTCGTTAAACCAAATAAAACTTTAATCATAAACAACAACTCGTCTCCTAGTTATATAACCAAACCGTAAAGCACAAATCATGGAATTAACCCTAAAATAATAGAAAAAAAATTTTGTTGACACTAGCGATCAGTGTCACCAACATGAAGTAGACACGAAAAACGAGCTTCCAAATGTGCAATGGGACGAGAAGTCTACTTTTGTTGGTTAGTCTATAGTAGTATGTTAGTGTGAATCTTGTTGAAGACTAACTCATCTGTGACCAAAAAAGTGCCTAAGCACATCAACACTTACATATTTAGAGCTTACAAAACTATTTCAAAATCTACAACATTCTAACAGCTATTTTTTGGCCAAGAGGCTTCTTTTTAGCGAATTTCCCATATAGGGAATAAGCTATTACCGTAGTACTCATGGTAAGACCTGGACCCGAGACCGATTTAATTTTTCATTTTGAGGTCCCTAGAGGCCAAAAACACCATCTGTTCAAATTCATATATATATATATATATTTATATATATATTTATATATATATATATATATATATATATGTGTCCGTTAGCGCGATAACTCGAGCAAAAATGATCCGATTTTGATGAAATTTGGTACAAACGTGTAAACCTACGTTTATTCGAACGAGTTCGGGATCCAGCATAATCGGACCATGGGAACGGGGGTTTATGGGGGGTTTTATGGGGTAAAAATGGGTTTTTCCCATTTTTGAACCTAAAAACAAAACATTTTGCGATTTCTTTCTAAACCGTTTTGTAGAGCTTAAAAAAAGAAATAATTTAGTATATTGAAGCGCTGTTGTATGCCTAACGGTCACGGAGAAAATTCAAAAATAGTGTAATTAAAAATTCCCATGTTATTCTTATGGAGAAAATGAAAATTGTTGTAGTTTACTTGTTTATGGGTATATATTGATAAAATTTGGCAAATTTATTTATTTCATCCTATACTATTGACGTATGGTCAAAAAACACTTTTTGCCTTCCCCGTAGCAGCAAACCTAAGCACTCGTTAAATCTAATGTTATTTAAATAGAGAATAATATGTCTTATTTATGGAAATATTTTAGTAAAAATGTAATCAGACGAGTTGAAATTCGCTTAGTCTGCAGGTTTGCTGCGGCGGGGGTATTTTTTTTATAGATCCTCTTTTCTCAAACTTTTAATCAGCTTGAGAATTGTAATTTGGCTGGAAATTATGTCATAAGATGAAAGGGAAGTTTAAAAAAAGTTACTGCGAGTCCTTGATAGGCTCGACATTTCGCACATACTCATGATAGAGAAACATACAATGTTTACTGTCCAACGCTCCGTGGCTAATAAGATGGCAATGAAATACAGCAATGAATTACACCCCTCCCTACTCGCATCGATAACTGCAGGGCATATACTATCCGTTTGAAAAACGTCCAGCTCCTGTCAGTCACCCTGTGCACGCAAGCTCCGCTCGAAAAAGTTTATTAAAAGTATGTCTTGAACTTGGCTCATTGTAAGACCTCAGGCTCACTTGCCTCTGCCAAAGTCTTTGTACAACGTTCGCAATACAACACACACTTTGGCGTAGGATAGGAGAGATAATGTAGCTATACTAACACACCCCATTGTTTACAGTAACCGCGCCAACAACGAGCGAAGGGGGTCTGTGTCGGAGGGTGACAGTGAAGAGGAGAATGAAGAAGGAGATTACACCGTTTACGAGTGTCCGGGATTGGCTGCTGTGAGTACTAACATGGTTTGTTAATAAAAGTAATAAGTAATGAAGTATGGAAGTAAAGAGATAAGAACGACAATAATCATTGGAGAATAAAATGTTATGATTTTAACCCTTTGGACTCTGTGGGTTATTTAATAATTTAATTATACAGGGTGTTATTATATAGGGACATAATTTACTTTGTGATTCCTTGGGTCAAAATAAGCAAAATATTTTAAATAAGGTTGTTGACAATGGTTGTTCATATAGAAAGTATGTGTCAGATTGATGATACCGTTTATTTTGATTGAGTTAAATATTGGATTTGGTCCATATAGGTGGGATGTTTACTTGATATCTGTCAATGACTGAACCGGACTTAAAAACAAGTCTGTATGTCCTATAGTATCCTATATATTTCTCATCTGTTATTTTCATATTCCAGACTGGAGAGCTGGAAGTGAAGAACCCTCTGTTTTTAGACGACCCGACTCCCGCAGCCGTTGTTACCGACGAGCTGCAATCCCCTTCTGCTGATAAAAAACAATAAATTATTTCTCTGGTTTAACCCCTAAATGAGAATCTCACCTACTCCCTTTATATACCAACCCCTGTATTAGCAAGGTGTCTAAATCGGTCCGTCTCTATAAATCGATATATAGCGCTATAGAAATGTGGTGTAAATTACATATATGTCAAATATCAAATACAAATATTTATACACATAGATATAATTAGGGAGAGCTGGCTGGCTTCTTGACCTTTGTTGAAAAATTGTAGTTCTAGTATATGAATTTTATTTATTGTTAGGTAATATGATATATTTTTATACAGAGCTCTTCCATTATCGTTCCACGGCAAAGCCGCTAGCAATCTTGATGAGTTTTATTTTTCTACAGTTCTGCTCGGTCGAGTATGAAGGTCCTAAGGAAGATACATCGAGTTGATTTCGGTAAAAACACTTGCACAGTCGGATAACGCTGCACCAAAAATATTTTCACAGTTTTGTTAATACTCATATAATTTAATGTTTGGAACGTTTATATTTTTATAAGTACCTCGATCACGCATAGATACTTACTGTGTACCTTATCTATAAGACACCCAACAATCCATTACATATTATAGCTCTCTGCTTTCAAGTACAATATTATTCTTGTTTCTACATTGGGTCACCTTCCTTTTTCGGTTAGCTGGAAAGTAACTGTCGATAAAAATTTACCTACTTTCTTTATCTATTCACGGGTTTTCATTTAATAAATTAATTACATTCAACTTTTTGAAGTTGATGAAAAATGTATGCACTTTAAAGATCATATAATATACTAAAATAAGTACAATAACTGTGAAACAAATCTAAAATGACTTAAGTACCAATTTAATATCCACAACATATCAATAGTAATAATCCCCCTATTTGAATTATTTGTCTCATAAAAATGAAATGTTTGCATTTTATTTACTTTGATCACAAAAAGATATATAGGAACAACCAAATCAAGTGTACTCATTTTTACAATCACTTAAAAACAGACTGTGATAAAAAAGGAAAACACCAACTAGTTGCAGCTTATTTACAAATAGTTTCTTGAATGTGAATCATTATTTTTTCAATACTTAAGTACTGTATACCTCTTTTATACGTAAAAACGCAGGAACATATGAATATTACTGTGTTAACTTGATTTACAAACACAGACACAACATTAAAACTTACCATTAAAAGACATTCACAATTAATACAGTTACTTTCCAGTTAACCAACAATTTGAGTTAAAACTCAAAGCCAGTTTAGAAAAATCACAATTTGTTGTAAGCAACCCAATAGATCTAAAGTGTTTAGTATCCTACCCCGTTATTGTGCCAAGATGTAAAAGAATAGTTACCAGTAAAAACTTGTGGCTTTCAGTCTATAAATATGCCTTGTAAGGGTAATAAAAAACAAAATATATAATTATTAAGTTAGACTATTGCCTTGCAGAATGAGAGGGAAGGATAACTTTCAAGTTTAATGTCCAAGATAGTGTGCAAGGGTGCATAGCAAAAGCAAAGCCATACTGATTCATTTAAAATTCTAAACCAGCTGTATCTTATAACTGTTAACATTATCATGGGAAAGTTGCAGTTATAAGAAAGGAAAAAATCTGCAATAAGCATGATTTAACATTGTTGCTTTTCAACAATTTGTAAAAATCAGTTTATTTAATATTAAAGAACATCTAATCATCTTGTATGTGTCTTCATTCAAACCTATAAGTGAAATTAGTAAGGTACCTAGTAAAATTGTTAAATGTTATCAACATCTTGTATTGTAATAACATCAATGACCGGACCACTCATATTTTTTTTTTCAAATTTTACTTAACACTTCTCTATCTTCTTCTTCCTTAACTGTCCTCCCTGGAAAATCGTATACAAAACTTTTTATGCTCAATTCTTGGTCTATAGATACCTAATGCACTTAATTATGGAATTACTCTTTTATAAAAACAAAAGTTTCAGACAAGGATAAAATAAATTTCAAACATACAAAATTGACCATTATCTTTGTCAACTAAGGTAATAATACTGTATTACAAGAATAACTGTTATAAAAACAATAATCACTACAAAACTAAGGAAAAGTATTGAAACGTAGAACATGTCTTGCTGTAACAGTGCAGATGTGCCGCGGTTGAAAACGTAAGCTCTTCTGTTTTTTGTTGGATTTTCTTCATCATTGAGTAGGAGATAAACATTGTCTTTCTCCATGATGCACCTGAAATGAAACTAGTTTTCAAATATCATTGGTGCAGCCACTAATACTTAAAGGAAACATTCAATGGCACACTTAAGTGGTGTCTAGCTCTAGTGCTGGTGACTCGGACAAAGTACAACACCCACCCCCAATCCTTTCCCTTATGTAGGCTACAACACATTCTCATGGTAGAGGAAGACCCTGTGCCCGCGACAGGAATTCCTTTCTCCTAAGCTCTTTCTTGCTTGTCACAAGTACATTTCCGGCACTATATATCGGAGATGAAAGCGCACTGTTATCACATAATTGTGCTCCTCTTTACTTCTATGCGGTACAGCAAAACTACTCCATAGAATAAGCAAATTCCCATTTGAAACTTTGCATTCTTGATCGTTGAAAACTGACCATCCATGACTGGTGAGCTAAACTGTCTATGTTAAAGAAAATTGACACTTTGTTTCGCTCTTATTAATTGTAAAATAGGTTGGATTGTACGGGATGTAATTATTTTTTAAATACAGGGTGTTTATAAAAGAATCATCATATTTTAAAACATTTTATTGACATTAATGTTAAACAAATACAGAAAAAAATTTGGAAGTGCTCAATTAGTCCATTAGCAGTGGAGCAAGTTTCCAATCTATGCTGTAAATTGTCCCATACAACGGCTAGCATCGCAAGGTTGATTGATTCAACGGCATTGCGAATTCATCCACGAAGCTTTTGAAGCATTGCCGGTACATGAACTTTGTCTTTTACATAGCCCCATAGAAAAAAATCACACACCGTAAGATCAGGAGATCTAGGGGGCCCATTTGAGAAGGGTCAGGTCATTATCGTTACATCTGCCAATCCACCTCTGAGGTAGCTTCTCATTTAAGAAGTTACGAACTTCACAGTGCCAGTGAGGTGGGGTCCCGTCCTGCTGGAATACAAACCCTTCTGAGTCTTCTCCCAATTGAGGAAAAAGCAAGTGTTCCAACATGTCAAGATAGGCAACTCCAGTAAGGGGTTTTCCCTCAAAGAAAAAAGGGGGCCATAAACTTTGGTTTTCGTTACCGCGCAGAAAACATTACACCTCGGAGAACACCTCTAGTGTTCTACGAAAGCATGTGGAGGCTCAGATGCTCGAATACGCACATTATGTTTGTTTATTTTCCATTCAAATGAAAAGTATCCTCATCACTAAATACAAGATGGTATTACGGTCTATTAGGTTGTCACAAAGCTCTTTACGTTTATCAAAATCACCTAGTTTTAACTTATGAAGTAGTTGCAGTCTGTATGGTTTCAATGACAAGGATTTTCGTAAAACCTTCCACACTGTAGATTTGGGAAGGCCAAGTTCACGCCCTGCACTGTTTATGGATTGTTGGGGCGTTTGTTCAAAGCACTGTCTAACCCTAGCTACTGTTTCTAAGGGAACTCTTCCGTGACCACTGCTTTTACGTTTTAATAGACTACCAGAGTTCTTAAACTGGCGGATACCACCTTAAAATGCTTTGGTGTGTAGGAGGGGTCTATATAAAACTCGTCCAAGGAAAAAACCAAGACTGATTATTGAACAGCTGATTATAAAACTTGGAAACATGCTCTTTAAGCACATGTTTCTAATATTAATGTGGACAAGAATTGGGTGTGTACATGCCATTAAAACCTGATGATTCTTTTATAAACACCCTGTATATCAAAATGAAGCTAGAAAGATAAATTTGATAAAGATATACATTCATAAAAAATTTGATTATAGCAATTTACTATCCATATGGTTGAAAAGATGTGGATGGGCAATAGAGTGATAAGAATATTCAATATCTTATTATACAGGGTGTTGAAAATGTCTGGAACCAACATTATATCTCGTGAGTGGTTAAAGAAAAACAACTGATATTTTGTGTACGGATATACTATGGTTTTACCTATCTTTTAGTGCCTTATGAAAATTTTTACCACTTATAGGGAACGTCCTGTGGAGGATGCAGTAAAAAGTTTTAATGGAAGCCTATGGTAAATGATACATTATTTCAAAGGCCATTTTTTTCTGAGTAAGGAGCCACAACTTTCATCTCAAAAGGACCACCCTAGCAAAAATGGCGACTGTTTGAAATTTAAAAAAACACTTATAGGGAACGGAATTTTTAAATTTCAAACAGTCGCCATTTTCGCTAGGGTGGTCCTTTTGAGATGAAACTTGTGGCTCCTTACTCAGAAAAAAATTGCCTTTAAAATGATGTATCATTTACCATAGGCTTCAATGAAAACTTTTTACTGCATCCTCCACAGAACGTTCCCTATAAGTGGTTATTTAAATTTCAAACAGTCGTCATTTTTGCTAGGGTGGTCCTTTTGAGATGAAACTTGTGGCTCCTTACTCAGAAAAAAATGGCCTTTAAAATGATGTATCATTTACCATAGGCTTCCATTTAAACTTATTACTGCATCCTCCACAGGACGTTCCCTATAAGTGGTAAAAATTTTCATAAGGCACCAAAAGATAGGTAAAACCATAGTATATCGGTACACAAAATATCATTTGTTTTTCTTTAACCACTCACCAGATATAATGTTGGTTCCAGACATTTTCAACACCCTGTATGTATACACTACACAGATATCTAGTTTTGATTCATCAAGCCAAATCTTGTGAAATAAGAAATATAAAAATGTATAAACTTTAAAATCAATAAACACGATTTCTGGTAATAGACACTAAGTCCTACCTAAAACAGTGTATATGCTACAAAATAAAATTGATTATGCACATTTTAAAGGCAAAAACTATTTGGAAAAGAATACTTACCCCTAATAACAAAAAATATTATGGTATTCTGCTAAATTACATTTGTTTTACTCTACTAGATTACTCTAAGGTTCTTTTTTCTTATAACTCATTCACTCTGGATTTGTGAGCCGTTGACAAAATATACTTGTAAAAACAAGAGTAAAGTCGTTAACTTACTATCTTTGTCATGACAACATACAACATGGTAGTTATTGGAATGTTCATCATAGCAAGTATTGCTCAACTTTCGTTGCTTTAGAGATTAAACAATAATATATAGAAAATATTAGTTGTAGCTTTATTTAAATTTTTTAATGCTGCAAACAGACTGTTTCTTCTTTTTGTTTTTTTATGACTCAGTGGATTGAATTCATCCTAAGTTTTTAAAAAGATGTCATGAATATAGTTGACATTACAGTTAAATCTTTTATTGACTTTTACTTCAACAACTTGTCAACTCAATACAGAAATAATTATGCGTGTAGATACAAAAATAAGGCTACTAACGGTTTACATTTACTATAATGACTTTAACAGCTTAATTGAGCCTAGCCAGAGAACACAATTTAAACATTACTTCAGTATTTTGGGGCAGAGTTATTTAGCTTTTTATGGTTTCATCTTTGTGATTTCATATTCAAAATATTAAAAAATTTCATCAATCCAAGAACAAATTATAATAAATATAAATTCTGGTTGTTAACTAAGACTTTTGAATCTTTTGATGAAT